TTCCTCGAATCTTCCATCATCGTTCAATATTTCTCCCAAATCAGTGTTGCTGAGATGATTCACCATCGACAATGCACCTAGAATATCCATAGAAATTGATGAATTTATTATTAATGCATTATTTTTTATTATTAATAAATGTCATGGTTCTTTTTTGATTCCAGGTTTTCAAATAATATTTTTTTATATTGACTTAGTGGATTAGGCCTACAGGGGATACCACGTTAAAAAAAACGCGTCAAGGACTCTACCTCTTGGGTGACGTGGAAAGGGTTTCACTTTAATTACTTGATTTATGAAATTTAATAATTTATAATAATTCATAATTATTAGTAATAAATTCATCAATTTCTATGGATATTCTAGGTGCATTGTCGATGTTGAATCATCTCAGCAGCACTGATTTGGGAGAAATATTGAACGATGATGGAAGATTCGAGGAAGTTGTCAATGACATAAAACAGGTGAATTATTTAATAGTCAATACTGGGGAAGAATCTCTCTTATGGAAATAATCATATACCCATTGTTCATTTTTTTCATGTCAATTTGAAAGAAAAAAAATCAAACGACTCGACTAGCATTCAAATGTAAGCGCCAGAAATCGCTGAATGGTGGGGACGAAATGCGCGTGAGGAGAAGGGCGTTATACAGCGCTACGTACGACGTCTGAAGGTACTTGTCCCCTGTTTTGGTGTCGGCGACATCAAAGCTTGGCAATACCTCCCTGTATCATACCTTCAACGCGACAAACAGCAATGGCGTCCTCTAGGAATCGCCATCTGGAGGGGATAGTATCTCCATTACCCCGTAAAGAAAAACAAAAATGTGTAGTGTCCATTAAAAAATCCTCAATAATTTGAAATGGCACCGACGTGGTTCGACAGGATACTCCACCCAAACACCCACGAGGAAACGGAGAAAATTCTCGCCAAATTACGCACACGAAAGGTAAATTTCGTTGAAAAGTAAATCTCAAAATTCTCACCTCGTACTCTCACTGTCTCCAGATAAATTCTCGTTCAGGGGACGAATTATCCAAGTTCTTCGGTAAATTGAACTCCGAGAATGCACAGAAGCCACAGAAGAACGTTATCATATCCCCAGGAGGTCGTCAGGACCCCCAGGTGAGTGCATCTCTGCTTTTCGATGAGAAAAAAATTGAAGAGGTTATGTCAGCCAATTAACACTATGAGAGACTTTAAAAATTTGAATTTTTCAATATAAATCAGGTGCTCCCCACGTACGGTCCGATCCCAGGATTTCCTGCAGGCTCCTGGTGGGGCATCAGGATGGACCTCTCACGGGATCAGGTGCACCTGCCCTTCGACAAGGACCTAGACGAGGCATCCGCAGGAGCACTTTCTCTCTGCACATCTCACTCAAATCCCCACAATGACCTTGACTTCGGTGACTACTTGACGTTCACCACGATCGAGACCCTGGCCTCTCCCTTAATCCGTAGCTGTCAAAATCAAATTCCCATAAGACTAGTGCGTGGGTACAACTTGGCGAACAAGTACGCACCAAAAACAGGTTATCGATACGACGGTCTTTACCAGGTAATCTCATTGTGGCAGGTGGAAACTGCCTCTACCCCAGTCAAGATCCTCAGATTCGCCCTAGTGAGATTGAATTCTCAGGATGTGCCCCCCTGGGAGCCCTCGAAGTCCCCGAAGAAGAGGAATAAGTCGAGGACAACTCAGAGGTGTCACATGGACTGCTGCAGGTCTGATTCCCTCAAAATCAGGGCAGAAGACCCCGAGAAAATTTCAGGACTCGAGAAAGCCCCGAGGGAGAGTTCGATCGTGATGCGTCACGTCTCTAAGAAATGCGATTCGATTCCAGGGGCTGAATCTCCCAAGCTCAATACCTCGAAACTCCAGAACACAAATATATCGATTAGAACTGATCTGTACGACTCCTCACCGAATCCCCAGGACGTCAAGAAGACACCCATGACCTTCTGCAGGGTTTACAAGTCTTCGGTTAAAAGCCTTCCCTCACAAATCCTCAATCTCAACACTTTTGGGCCAGGAGCCAGGGACAAACTCCAGGAGTCACTCATCCAAATGCGCTCGGGGGTGGGGAAGATCGAACGATCACCTGTGTCTTCCGCGAGGAATTCGTCAGCATCCGAGGGCCCAGAATTTACAGCTGTTTCGAGTCCCCCGGACTCTAGAGACAAACCTATCGAGGTCTCCAAAAAACTTTCGGAAGTGGTGACTCGATCCCCAGTGGCCGACTCCAGGAAGAGCTTTGAAAAATCCCAGGAGGGCCTCCAGGTCACCCCGACGATGGAGTCAGCATTGATAATGCCGAAATTGAATAAACACGTGGTAAAAGTTCCTGATGTTCTTCGATCGACTCCCAAGTCTTCCAAGACCCTTTACTCCCTGAGGTCAACATCCACTGGGAAAAAGAGCGTCGAGGCCAGCCCAATCCTCCGGAAATCGGTGCTGAAGTCGAAGGCATCAGAGAGCCACAAAGAGAATGCCGGTCACAAGAGCAGTGGAAAGAAGAGTGGAAAATCTGGGGTTCAAGGATATTCCAAGGCCTCGAAGAAGCGGCAGAGTGAGCTCGCGAAATTGGCGATTGACGCGAATTTTGTGGCAAAATCGCGTGGTCCGAGGACCCGGAGATTCCCATATGCCATGAGAGGGTTCAGCAAGAGGAGGGATAACCTGAGACACCTGAAGGGAAGATCCAAGGACCTCTCAAAGAAGACAAAACTCATCAAGAGGAACACCGGCCGATCCCTAAATTCTTCTAAAACGGAAAAGATGGAGCTGAGGGAATTGAAGCCTCAGGAGAAGACTGAGGGGCGAAAACCGGTGAAGTCGACGCAGAAGAGGGAGGTCAGAAGGCTAAAGATGGTGGATGCTGTTGTTCAGTGCACTTTGCAGAGGGATGCCTCGACTTCGGTGGATTTTGAAGAATTGGCGAGTCCTCGGGGCTTTGGCCAGTGGGGGAGTCTCGAGGATGTGAAGTCAGAGGGCTCGGAGGACCTCCAGGAGATCGTTCACAGGAATATATCGGTGCAGACGACTCAGGAAGGAGAGATTCTTAGGCCAAGCTGCGTGAGAAGGGATTTAGAGGCCTCTGTGAGACTCGGGGGTGGGCTCTCGGCTTTTGTACCTGTTAATATGTCCGATGTGGAGTTCAGGGTGGCGAGGCTCAGGTCCATTGGCTTCAAACCCATTCATCCGTGTATTCTGTCTGGGTACGAGGGTCAGGCTTTCAGTGAATACAGGCAGGGGAGCTCCAAGGGGGCTGTTTCTGTTGTCAGGAGAGATGTCAATGAACAGTACAAAAAGTACACGACTGAGGAGAATAATGTGGTGGGGTACATGGACGATCAGCTCAGGTATCAGGATATCGAGGAGGAGGGAGTCAAGGGAAAGGGCAAGCGAAGGAGGAGGCGAGAGGAGGAGGTCGAGGGCCCGTGGCATGGGTGGAAAAAGTTTGTACAACTGTGATGGGGGAGTCATCAGAAATTGAGATAAAAATATTTATTTGACGCTTACAGACTCTTCTAACAGATTATGGGGAGAGGGGGTAGGCCCGGTGACAAAATAATTGGGGGAAGTAACAAAATCTCGGATATTTCAATACCTGGGGGAGGTGCAGCGTTTATTAATTCTTTTGGATTGGACTGTTGTTTATTACAACAGCGAAATGCTGAGGTGAGATTTATTTTTGCGAAATAACTTGGCAATTGTGGAAAATACAAAGATGATTGGGGGAACTTTTTTCGAGATCTCGGGGAGATAAGGAAAAAAGGTTTCTATCGATTTTTCGATATCTTTCCCTGGTTCTGAGATATTTCGCGAGAACTACTGCTTGAGTGTGAAAATCTCGTTTCAACATTTCGCTAATGAATTTTTTTTCCACTTCTGCAGTAATTAGTGACTCGCGCAAATTTACTCTGTAAATACAATCTATGTTAACGATATATACATATATTAGTTTTTTTTATTAGGACGCGAAGATAGTCTGTTGGCTCAGAAGCTAAATTATTTAACGTATGATTTATCCTCTTTCATGATTTATTTTTTATTATCATTCTTGCGATTTCCCTCAGCTGATTTGGGTTCGTCTTGTGGGCTTTATTAGCGTCAATCGTGTCAATGTTTAATGTTCCAGAGTGTTTCAATGACAGATTTACACGCGTCAACATTGATTTCGCTAATTCCTTTTGTAGGATTTTTTTTCTTATTTTTATCTTAGTATTTTCGCTGTTGAGCAAATAAAATAAAACAGAACTTTATATTTTTTGAAGTGATTGACGTAAATAAAGAGTCGATTGTACCATGGAAAAATTATAGAAATACTTATTTTTAGTAGTGTGTAAGTACTTTGGTATGTTTGTACAAGTATTACAAAGAATCAAATAATTGTTTATGAGAGATAATAAATTAATGTATTATACGTGATTAGTTTTCTTTCCCTCTGACAATTGTTTGATGCACGTCAGAGCTGCATGAAGACTCCTGAATAATTAATTGAAATAATGAATTTATATTTTCGAGAAAAAAAACTACTTTTATTAATTGAAAATGCGAAATTAATAGAATATTACTCAGTCGAGTGGAATATAACATTTATATTCGATTTTATGTAGTCAGCTCTGAGGAGCAACAATTAATCGATAAATCATATAAATTATTTTCAGAACTACTCACAACTCGTAACGCAATAACATTCTTTAAAAAATGATTTAATCAATGAATATAATACGTAATCCACACGAACTTCAACATTTTTCAATTCAACTATTCATTTTTCTCGCGAACGAGATTCAAATGGCCTATTATTTATGGAGAAACTAAATGCAGCAAATAAAAGACTTAATTCTCCATTGAAATGCCTTACCATTCTTTTTTTTTATTTGGATTGAATTAAATTCTTTGCATTGTCATGGAAATTTTGGGCTCCAGTGGTGTTATCCGGGTGCTTCTATTGAAATTCATCGTCGCTGCTCAGCAACATGGTTTTTTCATTGTAATTTTGGGAGATTGTTGCGACACGCTGGTGCGAGGTATTTCGTCTTTGAGGCGGTGGAACTGGCATATTTTGCGGATCATCGGGGTCGTAGCTTGATACTCGCATTCCCCGTTGATTCTTAGTACCACCTGATGGAGGTATTGTCACGACTCATTCAATATTTTTATCTAGTCTACACGAATTCATTAGGCAAGTCTCACTCATCCCAGGTAATTACTATAAAAAAGGTATTTAAGATACCTCCAGGATTTAATTATTAATTATTTTTCTAATTGACTGGTGAATATTTTCAAATACTTTATCCAAGAATTTAGACTTTAAAATACATTATTGTGCATTACAGCTCCAAAAATTGTGACTAATAATAAAACCTGGATTTGTTAATAGTGAAATCATCACGAGAACGAGTGATTTTTCCTTATGAAATTGCTGGAAGAACATTGAGCGTAATTAGTCATGCAAATTTGATGGCGAAGGATGAATGGAGGAGATGGCAAGCTCTGGGAACCATGCAGAATATTTTTTTTTTAAATAATAAACAAATCCATGAGAATATCAATCATTTAATGAACATTATTTCCAATTTTTCAGCTGCAATGATTTTTCCTGACAACAAATGCATGCCAAATACATCACTAATTTCAGGCACGATTAAACAGATAATTGCGTTATTTCAATTAATTCACGTACACATTTAAATCGTTTTTTAACGTAATCTCCTGTGAAGCTCATTCGTATCCTAAAATACAATCTCGTCTAAGTACTTTCGAATTATAAACTGCTTATGTACTACTTTACAATGGTCCTGTTTATCGCGATTTACCGCATTTTTACGTTATAAAATAAACCCTAAGAGATAAAAAATATGAATCTCCCCAGATGAAAATCAGTGAATTCATCCATTTTGTTTTCAAGTGAATTGAACAGAAGTTGATTATAAATTCACATTAACCTGTTTTTTTTTATATTAAGTACTTTATTTAATTGTTTTAAATATTTTTCTCCCAACGAATTGGTGAATTCGTCTAAGACAGAAAAAAAATCGCCTGCATCCTGTGGGATGTTTCATATTAAATCGAGATGATCTCGCGCACTCACAGCTTTTCATACGGCAAGTTGGTATTGACGTCTGAAAAAATAGCAAACAAAAAGGCACTCTCAGAGCTTCTCATTCTCTATTCATGATTCTTGGAGGTGGCATCCTCTTGAGAATAGAAAATTTTTCTTATTCTGGATTTGGTGATTAATTCGCGACTCTCATTGTCGCGACTGGAATGTCGTTATTTTTTTTTTACATTGTCTTATCTCTGGACTCGATGCAAGTTTAATTGTGCTCGGGGGTAATACTTGCTGTGCGATCTGAATAGATGTGCAACGGTGCAATTGAGGGTCACGAGGGGTGAAAAAATAATCAGAATTTTTTAACTATCTAAATTTCAAAATTAATCTCAATACTGGCGGCATTTTTTCAGTGCCCCCCTCTCCGAGCGCATGCAGTTCCATTAAATCAAACAACGAAAATAGATCAAGCAAATGAAATATTTTAAAAATAACTACGGACATTAAGCGATTCTCGTTCTAGGGATTTTCAATCGGTCGACACATGCTAGATATTCATGCCATTAAATTAACATCAGGAACACTCAATGTGCCATTTCCACAGAGAATTTAAATAAACTGCGGTAATATGTGCAATTTAAGGTTCAAAATAATGATTTCTAGAAAGTAAATTCGACATACCAGAGCTGTACTGTGTGTATTGCTGATACTGAGGATGGAAATTGTGGATGGCATCGGTCATAATGTCCTTGGGGTTCATCGTTTCCTGCAATGAAAAATCCCCAATTATCAAACATTGTCGTTTTGTTTATTTGCTTATTGCGAAATACCTTCAAGCTACTGCTGATACTCTGCATCGTGACACTTCGACCTCTCGAGTCTGTCACGCAGCCGGCTGCGTACACCTGATAAGGAAATGCATAACGCAGTGCAATCGCTGCAAAAAGCATCTCAATACAAATAAGGAAATTCTGATAGCCAGCTGATACTGTTCCAGTGTTGGTGGCATGTCCCATGCTGTCAATCACCGGTGATATTACATTAGCCTTTTCAAAAACCGCAAGAAGAACTCCTGAAGCACAAATATGATAAATTAATTTACATTACAACATATTTATTCACATCTCGTCGACTGAATTATTACCTTGCCAAAATGACAGGAAGATGACACTCTTGACAGTGCAGAACTTGAGGACAGGCTCGAAAGGAGTGAGTAAATCCCTCGTTGCAAAGTAGAATAAAAAGAGTCCGTAAAGTGCAAGTGAAACGCTGATATTATAGATGATAGTGGCATAAATATATCCACCATCAGGTGACCAGTCACCATCACGATAATGACCAAACGATTGCAGAATTATTATGACGAATGCCATAACCGGTTTGACAAGGCAGAACTGGAGGGTCGCCTGCTTGCAGAATCTCAGAAAGCCGATGGTGTAGGTCTTCTCGACAAGACACCACGTACCGTACAGACAATTGGAGCGTATTGGTTTGCCACGTATCTCAGACATGATATTACCTTCGCCTCCCAGGTACTCGTAGCAGAGGGACAAGAAGTTGTAGATAACAAATGCCTCGTAGCAATCACGTACCGTGAAGAAATAAACGTAATAACCCTCACGGTTGAAAAAGAGCAGTGATATCCATGAATAGGTGGCGTAGATTGGCACGATGAATAATATACGGACTATCCATCGCTGTTCAGTGGGATTTGTGTACCACCTGAGGTGCTGGTAGATCTGTGGTACCCAACAAATGAAAAATTTTTTAAAACCATTACTTTCGATATTATTCCCCTGATTTTCTCTTCATCCCCATCTGTCCATCCCCATCTGTCTCATATCTAATTAGTGATACTGACCTGTTGGCAAGTGATAAACAGAGCTAGCCACACAAAAGCACCTGAAATACCCTGTGCAGCTCGTGTTTGTAAAAAAATTGGCTCATTATTCTCATTATCAATGATTCCACTGGCTATTGTGCTAGTAATCCCCATGACACTGCTCTGAGTTATTCCTTCAGTAATTCCCCTAGGAGTAGAAGAGACAGCCTCAGCTGTCGTCACATTAGCACCCATATCTCCAATCCCTGAAACCCAAAGCCATTAACCCTCACAGCATCCTCACATCACAGAAGAGAAAAGAAAAAACACAAATATTAACTCGTGGATTTGTCCCCGCGCTTTAAAAATCAATATGCATATCACAACAACACATAGTCCCGTTCGAGGACAAGAGAAGGCTCTAGTGCTCCCACTAAAACCCAAAAGACAGAGACAGTCGTCCAATGACGACAGCAGTGACGATGTAGATAAAAGAAGGAAAGAACTAAATTCCCAGGTGAAATAGTAATTCTGACCTGTGGGACAGTCTTATGTGGGAAGACTCTAGGCGAAATTCCAGGGTAACGACGCAAGTCCTGATGGAGGGCGAAAGCCCCTGAAGCCACTTATCCCCAAATACGTTAAAAAATATTAAACAAATAAAAATCCCTGTCCTGTTCACTTGAATTGCCTCGTGGATGACAGGACTCCACTCTCACTCGACATTTTCAGTCCTTAAATACAATGAAACACTTTTTATTGAATCGAATTCGTCACCCGGAGGACGCAGGACTGGGGAATTTTCGCGGAGGGAATATTGTGGTGGAAAATGTATTTCCCACTGTCATGCTCACACTTTCCCGAGCTCTTCACTGTCTCTCTCTTGGTTACAGATTTTTTTTATCGGTTTTATCTTCTTCAACTGGCTTTTGCGCACGCGTACATTCACTGGCCCCGAGCCATCGGCGCATGCGCATACCCGCCAATGAGATTACGCGACACTAAATTCTCCGGAAATAGAGGCAAAATTGAATATTCAGGGGTTGTTTTGTTTGATGCAAGGGTTATTATTTTGTTCTTTCAATGTTATTAATTGTCTCATACCTGTGATGGAGGGCTGCAGGTGTTGATGAGTACTGGATGTCCCTCGGGGCCCAGGGAATGTCGGGCATCAGTCGGTTATGCACTGCCTTATGGCGAGGGTTTTACTGGTTTTTTTACTATACTATGGCGGATCCTCGCTTGCAAAGGTGAAAGGAATTTTACGGTGGGGGGATACCACGTGTCGTTAATGACTGACAGCCTGTCATTTGGGTTGAGACAACTTGATTTCGGGATCGTCGGGGGCTTCAAGGCGTGAAGATCTTGGGTTTATGGGGCTCGTTGACGTCGTCGAGGAGTCGAGCTTCCTGGACTGGGGGAATACCTCAGCAGCACACAATGGCGCTTGTTTATCTTGAAGATAATGATCCCTGGTAGGAGTGAGGTTATTGTGATTCATTAGTTTATTTAATTTGGGAATTGCGTAGGATCACTGAACATGAGGCATGTGAAGGACTTTTTCGGGAGATCATGGAGCAACTTCGCCAACGGGATCGTCAGGAGAGGACTTCACAGGTGTTCGCCAGTTTATCAGCAAATGTACGATTTCAATTGAAGCAGTACACAGATCAGATAGGACAGCTCAGGAAGAAGGTGGATGAAGCTTCGAAGATGAGAGTTATGTATCCTTTCAGTTCAATTGAAACCCAGAATTCACAACGAATTTGAAGCTTACACAGTTGTCTGGTGTTATTGTTTTGAATTTTCTTAATTAAAATATCCCCTGAAGAACTCACGACGAAGCGGAGAGGAGGCGACGACAGGTTGAACATCTCCAGAGTAATGTCTTCAAGATAAAGCAGTTGTACGACGCCAGGATGAATCCAGCAGCTTCAGACCGGCCTAGTCTGATAAAATCCAGTGGCTCTGCCTTCGCGGATGGAGGCACCACTGGCTGGGGACAAGATGACGATGAGGATGATCCTCCCTTGGATTTGAATGTCTCTGTAAGCGACTTGAAGGCGCAAAATGAAGCTATTATTCAGGGTGATTTTCTATCTGAATTTTCATAGGCGAAATACATGAGTAAAAAAATATTTGATGAATAATTTTGGTTCAGAGCAAGATCGTGGGCTCGACGAGCTGTATCAGGTCATCGTGAGGCAGAAAAATATAGCACGAACAATTCACAATGAAGTGGATCATCAAAATGGTAATTAATTCGTAAAAAGCGGTAAGAGAGTAGAGAGGTGGGATTGAATGATTGAATTTTTTTATTGTGTTTTTTTAGAGATAATTGACGACCTGGCCGATCACATGGAGCGAACAGACGAGAGGTTGATCGATGGAACGAGGAGAATCCGTGCAATCGATCGCAGGGACAGAACCTGCGGATACTGGGTCATAATAATTATCTTATTCATAAGTATAATTGTCGTTGCTGTGGTCTGATTAACAAATGTGATAACTCAGCAACTCGTATATTTTAAGAACATAAATATTATACTGTTAATTACTGATTGAGCATCACGGACTGCAATTACTCGCTGGGAGTATCAATAACGAAATTTATTAAATTAGTCACTGAAATTGGTCTCGTTCTACAATTCTAATGCAGCACTGAATAATAGGTGTTTCGTGAGGAGATGGATTCATAACTCGTTGAAAAATAATTAAAGAACTCACTCCGATAATTCGTGATGCAATACTGTTTTTTGTTACTTCAAGCTCATTTTTTTTTTTGAGGCATAATTGATATTTATTTATTTTACATTGTGTAATTTAATTGAAATGAATATTTGCTACTCCTGTGTTTGTTTGTTTTATTCTCTGAACGAAAAATAACGTTGAAAAAAATTCGATGGCAGATTTCCTCAACCGATCATCACTGCATTAAAACCAATTAATTTATATCAACAAATTCACTCTCTGGGATCCTTGGACTGCAGTCCTAGGTTCTTAAGTAATGCCTTAGAATTGGGATCACGTCCCCTAAACCGCCTGAAGACCTCGCCCGCAGGTACACTTCCCCCAAGACTGAGAAAAGTCTCTCTAAATCGGTTTGCCGTCTCCCGGACAGCCTCCTTATCGCCCTTGGTCTCGAGGAAGGCACTGTAAACATCTGCAGCTATCATCTGACTCCACAAATCACTATAATACGCAGCTCCCAAATTATGACAAAATATCGAGGACCACGCAGTGATCTGGGAGTCATCGGAGTCATGAGGAATAACAAAGTGCTCTTCCCAGAGTCGTTTCTGTATCTTCGGCCAGAAGTCCTCAGATTCGTGAAGCTCCAGATCGCACCTTGACAAATAAATTTCCTTGGAGAGCATGAAACCCGCCATCTGAGACCTAATTTTCCTGATACTGTCGACGTGCTCCTCCCCAAGAGCCTCCCCCGTTCGATAATGACTAGATATTTTTTTGATGACCCTGGGCTCGTAACACCAATTGGCCATGAAGTGTCCACTCACTCCAACAGAGTCCCACTCAACATTGGCAAGACCTGCTATCTCCCCATAGGATACCGTCGTCAGCATGTGCTGGAGGGCAGTTCCCACCTTCTCAAAGAGCTTAACCACGTCCTTAACAGACAGCAAAGATGGAACATCTGCGTAGGGAGTTGGAAAATTAAATACAAGAGCTGCCAAAGGCTTTGTCATCATGATTTTACTGGCACTCTGCATCCCCACCATCCAGCCCCCCTCCTCCAGATTCATCTTGTGCTTCTCTCTGGCATAGGGATCGAGGTAGAAATGGGCAATGGGCTCGGCAGAGCCTTTCAGGTCGATCACATCGAAGAACCTGACGTCTGTATGCCACACGTCAGTTTTTCTCCCCTCGACGATTCTCACATCGAAGAGTTCCTCGATGAGACCAAACAAACCCTTGAGTACCTGGGGAAGAGGAAAGTACTCACAAAGAACTTCGTCTTTGTAATTGTATACTGTTCTACGATGCTTTTTGCTCCAGTAATCCACATCCCACCACAGAAGATCCCCATCGAAGCCCCTGTCATGAGCAAACGTCGTCAATTCCTGGAGCTCTTGCTCTTGGGCTGGTCTCGCTGTCTCCAGGAGTCTCGATAGCACTGAGTAGACTGTTTCCAGGCTGCCAGCTGTCTTCGTCACCATACTCATCTCTGCGTAGCACCTGTAACCCAGGACTTTTGCCTGGTTCTTCCTGTGGTCTCTGATGTCCTCGAGGTTGCCACTTGTCCTCAGGGTATTCTCCATGTGCAGCGCACATCTGCCAACGTACGCCTGCCACACGTTCCACCGTAGTTCCCTGTCTGGACAATTCTCCATGAATTGAGAGTAAATTCTGGGCTCCAGGGTGATCTTCCAGGGGCCTGTCCTTGGATTCTTCGAATCTACCGAGATCTGACGGAGGAAATCCTCCGGGAAGTCCTTCATTACTGTTGGGTCTGAGACTGTTGTCTTGAACATTGACGTCGCTATCTCCACTTTTTTCAACATCTCTGTTGTTTTCTTGTGCAAGTGGAAGATGCTGTGCTGCAGGTCTTCGGTCTGTTTCTCCGTCAGGTCAAGACCGTTCAGGCGACCCTCCAACAGGTACTTCTGGATCAGACGCTTTTGCTCAGGTGTCAGGGGAACTTTTGAGGCGAATGCCTCCTTCAGGGCTTTATAGATGGGTAAACTCGTGAATTTTGTGGCACGAGCTCTTATCATTCGATTGTGAATGTTCAGGTAGTACTTCGTTGGCATCAGGCTCTGGTTACCGAAGTACAGAGCCTTCGTCACACCCCAGGTCGTTTCCAATGGAATCGAGAGGTCCTCCAGAGGATGCAACACTTGGGTCACAATGTCCAACTTTTCTGCCTCTTTAATATCATTCTCTATTTTTGCTATTCCCTGCTCAAACAAAACTGTCTGTTGACCGATAGCAGCCATCGATTTTTCGATGGTGAATGTATTGAATTCGGGGAGGCCATCCTCCTTGAGTAATGGATTTTTCTCTGGCAGGTCTTCACCGATCTCAGGCAGACTGCAAATCAAACATAAGCCATTGGTAAAGTGCTGGAACAATTCAAGTTGAATTAATTTTAATCTGGGAGTTGAAGAAATATCTCGAACTCCAAAAAATCATGAAAAAAATCAGGAGCTCATCTCTGAACTGTGAGATAATTCTCGAAATCTTGATCAGTAGTTCAAAGGACATCCTCACGATTTTTATATCCAGGAACATAACCTCGGAAATTATATTTAGTGCACTTACAGGATGATATATCCATTTCTACGTTTCAGGGTCTTGAAGAAGCTGTTCCTCGTCAAAATGACTCTCTTTCCGCAGAATGCAATAGCCATTGTGTCGGTATTTACAGTAAATTCTTCATATTCGGTGGTGAAATTGAATGATTGAATTTCCGGCACACGACGCAGTAGTGACTGGTATACTCACATCATATATAGTATTTGAATAGCTTTCAGGTGGGGTTGGGACAGTTGGGACATTCATCACTTGATGAAATCAGTAAGGGAATAAATTCCACGGATTATAATGTTTTCACAGTTTTTCATTTTATTTTGTTAAATGCGACATACAATTCCAGTTCGAATTTGCCAGAAGTGGTAAATGAAATAGTTTCCATTGTTTTGGTTAGACGATGAAACAGTAATGAGGTTGTAAGTGGCTTAATGCGTGCGCTACAACTATGCAGCTTTTAAGCTAAAGAATAATCTCTAGATTTTTTTTTGTATTTTCCTTAGTTTTCCTGGGGGATCTACTCCCACTACGATAAAAATTATAACCGGGTGATCGACGTGAATTTAATCAGTGGGATTGACTAGAAAATAATTATTTTATCATCACTTCACCTACCGTCAATTATAAATTCCACGTTTTATTATTCGTTTTCATCATCCTTGTTTAGTGTAAAAAGGGTGCAATTTTCTTTTCGGCTGAGTTAAAGCAAATTGGTGTTTTGTCTTTTACATTTTTAAGCTAACATCACACAGGCAAATTGAATTCTTTTCATTAATCAGAATGTTTAACAAGTGAGGCATGGAAAAATGTCAGAAAGAGCTGAGCACTTTTTCCAGGAAAGGAAAATTAAAGAGTATTCAATTATTTCGATTAGATATCCGAGAGAAAGTAGAAATTCAAATTTCATGGCATTGCCTGGAAAATGAACTCAGTTCCTCCATAAAATATTCTCACACATCTTTCCAAATTTGAAAATCAAATGTTCCTTTTCTCTCACCTAAGTGAGGGCAATTATCCGGGTAATTGAATCATCCCTGTATATTAATCTGTATTTTTTACAGCCCAAACTTCACTTCTATCGACTACTCTTAGATACTGGCGTGATGAAAGTACGAAAAAACATTCAGTCTCTTAGATTAAACCTAACAATTCTGGAATCGAGTGGAATAAAAGATAAAGTATATTTTCTCCTCATTACACTCGATTGCAGAATTTCTTGGGGCTCAAGTGATCCTTTGAAAGCGTTTATTCATTACTTTTTCTCTCTCCCCCATAAATACGCTTTTGCACAGTGTAATTTAATTCGCGTGCGAGATCATACATTTTTTTTTTTGATCTCCTCAGCCTGCCAGAACACGAAGCAGTCACCGAGTGAAGATACTTTTGGAACGATACAGCACTGAAATGCTCGAATTCTGAGGATAATTGAAGGGTTTAATTACGTAGCAAAGAGGGTGCAATCGATCGTTTCGATATGTCTGGGTATCGAAATACTAGGACTCGTTTGGTGGAAATTCACGTATCAAATGGGTCTCTATCGTTCCAAAGACAATTGTATCACAGGGCTTTATCAATCTCAAGGGTTCTGGTGGTTTAAGACAATTGGGAAATTATTCCCATCATTTTCTGCTAATTCAATTGCTAGGAATAAAAAAATATTAATAACAATCATGCAATTTAAAATACATCGCAGTGGAACTAGTGTTTATAAAATTCTAGAGATCCCTTTTCGGTTTTACTACTTTGAAATTTAGAGTAGATAAAACTCCCATGAATGAATGAATAAATAAACCGCTATGGCTGAGGGCTTAAATATAATATCATATAGTAAATTATTATCTCCCAATTTTGTCCATCACCACCAGAATCTCACATTTTTTTGCTCAAAACAGTACAAGCACACTTAAACGATAATTAATTCCCTACAATCCCCATCTTCAGATCTTTGGGTCATTGATTTGTTTCTTCGATTGTGCAACAACTTCTGGGCTCGATCGACCTGTCAGCTATGGATTTGTCTCGTTGAGACAAAAAAAAATTGGTAATTTGCATTCCCATTACGTCGCACGAGAATTGACGTTTCGCCAGTAGGTTGTATTATTTCTTTTGTTCATTATTTATTTGTTCGTTAGCATTGTCTTCCTAGCAAATGCAGCCACTCTCCCCCTCCGACTCCGATCCATTCTGCATCGGTGATTGATTCTGCAGGTCGACCGCTGAGTTTTTTTTTTCATTTTTTTTTGTTAAGGTGTTTTCATTTCCTTGGGATTTTCACAGTTATCACGTTTTCTGGGACTTGTAAAATTCACGGGTCTCTGGAGGGCACGGGGAATTATTTTCTTCACTTTATGTCTTATTATTTAGTTGTTTCAGGGCTCGAAAGGACGGAGTGTGATTAATAAAACCTGAAGCTTAATTAATTTGACAGTCAAGTGGTATTTGAAGGGATTTTCAATAGCTCAAAAATTGACAAACTCCAATATTTTACCACTTGACCATAAATTTAATGTTAAAAAAGTATAAAAAATATAATATCATGAAAATAAACTCTTGATTTCCTCCCACTGTGTCGTCGCAATGCTAAAAGATGATTTTCCGAAGCAAAAAGGCAGTGAATGAAATTCGAAATAAAAATGACGGAGCAAAACAAAAAAAAATCAGCGGCCTAATTTTTTTTTTCAATGTTTCCACTTTTAATACAAATCATAGATTACAGTTATAATAATTAACAAAAAGTGACATGACATAAATTATTAGCTACATTAAAATGTTCCATATTTTTCGTTACTTTTTAATCCGTAATTCCCCCAAAATTATTTACAATCGGAAAACAAATGCTGCGCATGATTTTTAATCATTAACGAGACAATTTTTATCGTGGATCCTTGAGCATGGCGCATGGCCACTACTATCCATTATAGAATTTAAATACTCATTCGATATTTTGTAAAAATTCCAAAGCGAAATCGATTGGTCATCCACGATTGGAAAACCAGCGTAAGCATATCTTAATGCTATTTATTGTACTTGAGTCGAAAATCTGAGCTTCAGTGATTATTTAAACAATTGTTTATTATTTGGGTGGGAACAATCGGTTTTTTTATGAAAAATCATCGAATAGTGAAAATGAATGGAACTTGAAGATGAATAAATCAGTGGTTTGAGATGAATTCATGGATTTGTAAAGCACATAAGCTACCACGGCATCCACTGCACCAAGAGAAATGCAAATTAAATTAATTTATCAAATGCTCCAATCGATATTTTAATAATTACACTGGTAAAGCTATCGTTTTTCAATTTTTACGAAAGAACTCAATATTTCCGGAATAACTAGAATCGATAGAAAAAAAGACAAAATAATAAATCGTATAATTCAATCCACCGTTAAAAGGCAATTGATTCAGTAGCTTTTATAAAATCCGGAATTATCTGAAATTATTTTCTCAATATTTTCCCAATCAACAAAAACACTAGATCGAAATAATTACCCCAAAATAAGTTTGCTACAGCCTCTTAAAACATAAATCAGGGTAAAGGACATAAAGGATAACGGAATTGTCACCCTTCACCCCTTGACTCCTGAAATAATAATTTAATTTACATTACACCCTCCCTCAGCTAATCGTCATTGCAAATGAGTCATTACCTCTTAAAGAGTCAGTGCCTGCTCACAATGCTTGAAAAGAAAAATAAATTATGCGTGAAAATAATGCAACTGAATAACAGGATAAACCAAGCAGACAACTCTCAGATTCTGCTCGACGATAAATTCGTTATCATTTCGTTACGTAAATTCGAATTAAGTTAGTGTTCGCTCCTCATTTAAAAATCATCTCTCTCGTATCTACCATTTTTAGGACCGTTCTCCGTTTAATCAAGTTCTTAACATGCACAACTGCTCTCCGATGCTTTCAGTTCAATTGGTGTATCCTTGAGAACTACTTCTTGCACTACGAATTTTTTAAATGACAACATTAAGGAAAACACAAAAATAAATAAATCAAAATATTCACCTGGTTATAAAAATTATAGAAATCAAAGGAAATAAATTCTACAGTCTATTCCTATGAGAATATTGCATCATGCGATTATTTTTGTTTATGTACACAGCAGGAACATTGAAAATAACCAAAATACATTGACACTCGATTAATCAGAAATTTACTATTTTGGTCATTTTGTTTTCCAGTAATTTCTGTAATTTTTAAAAAATTCATTCGTCATTTTCTTTATTGGAAAAAGGATACTGTCTTCTGGTGGTTTGTTTTCTGTCGAATCCATGCCAGGCAGGGCAGCAGCTACTCTTCTGAACAGCTGAGTAATCAATTGCAAAGTTTATTCCCCTCGATAAAATCAATACCGAAATATTACGAGCATTGGATTACCTGTTTGACATTGTATCCTGCCTTAGCACTTGTCTCAATAAACATAACATTCAACTCCTTAGCTTTGCGCTCACCATCCTCAGTCGATACTTGTCGTTTATCACTTAAATCTGTTTTGTTGCCAACGAGCATTATTATAACGTCACTACCTCGCTCTGTTCGCACGTCATCGATCCACTTCGACGTTTGATGGAATGAATTAGCATCTGCGACAATTAAATCGACATCAGCAATTACGACAATTTTCAAATCGTCTAAACGATGGAAAATTACATGTTCCCTCTCAAAATTACTCCTTAAAATTACTGAGAGCTTTCAATGAATTTATGAAATGAATTTACTTTCTTTATCAATTGCATAATTATTAAGAATTGAAAAGAGAAAGTTTTGTTTTAAAGAATAACTCAAACAATTGCGACTGGTGAACCGATCGATAAGCGTTTTACGGCGATGAATTCGTAATAATGGGATTGACAGCTATAAAAATTGACGGATTTTTTCAACTCACTGGTAATATCGTAAACCACAACAGCAACAGTGGAGTCCCTGATGTAACTGGGAATGAGTGAACGGAATCGTTCTTGTCCAGCAGTGTCCCACAATTGTAATCTCACTGTTCTATCCTCGAGATACATGGTTTTACTCAAAAAGTCTATACCTATGGTGGCCTGCAATCAATGGACACATGAATGAATAATGCAGCACTTACAAACCTGACAGAGGTGAACTCATCGATTTTTTTTCATCTTGTTTAATATCGCATTATCTCAATAACGAGTCAAGGAATATCGAATAATTATTCAAATTGTTATTGATAAAATTATTATTTTATTATACCTGATACGTGTTGTCGAAACTGTCGTACATAAATCGCGTTATGAGCGATGTTTTTCCAACTGAGAACAGAAAAAATTTTGTAATGGAATACTGTTGTTGGTGAATTAAATAGGGCAGTTTCGATGTTTATTCTTTCATTCATCTTTCTAGTGGATAAAACGTTTACTCTGAGGAATGAATCGAATTTCCATTTGTCTCAGGCTTTGAAAATCAATACATCCATTCTTAAAAAAAAAGGTGAAACGAGAATAGTAAATTCTGGGTCAATAAATTTATCGCCAGCCACACGTAGATCATCGCAGCCATAAAAGGCTCGAAGAATGGCTATATGAAAGTCATAATTACGGTAGAAGTACGCATATATTACATGCCCATTTGATATGAATCTTACGCTTTCTTTGTGAATTCAATCTCCAGCAGTCCAAATCTGTCATCTCAAATGGAAAATTACTAGAAAAAATTTTCAGCTAAACATTTTCTCGAATTTCCGCTGGCTATTCGACAATGAAATATGAATGAATTCTACTATCTCCTACTGAGAATATCAAATCGAAAAAATTCTCCGTCATCCTAAGGCTTTCTCCACGACCTCCAGACGCCAAATTAGAATCACAACTCCAAGACTTTCCCTTCAAATACAATTTCCAATTTCTCCCACATAAAAAACGGAGAACTACTCCAGAAGAGAACAACCACCACTCCCAATCCCTGAAAACCCTGTCTCCATCGAACCATCAAATAACATAAATCTCAACAACAAAAGACACCCCAAAAAATGTTTGCAATTTGCGACTCCCAAATCCTCCCTCCCAGTTCCACCCTGACCATCCCCTCGTTAAAACCTTCAACCCTTGAACCGAGGTCTTGTTGGAAAAAAAAAAAACCCAAGAGCATTGAGAAGCGAGAGAGAGCGACACGACGAAACGGCCACAAGCCATATCGATTTATAACCTCGAACATGAAAATGTTAAAAATGCATGCAATTATTCAAAATCCATCCCAACAATAAGCGACAATCACTTGTCACCTTATTGCAATAAATTCTTTGAAAATAACTCACCACTTTGTTCCCCCAGAAAGACGAGCTTGAATTTACGCAACGGGTTACCAAAATCACCCGAAGACGACATTTTAACGAGAAAATGCTGATAATCCCCTGGACAGTGATGTACTCTTCACCTTTGACACACGTTTGTTTATCAATTGTTCATGTAATTGAAATATTTGGAATTACTCCAGTGCAATGTAATGACAGATCGTCACGGCCACTCCTTCCCTGTCGCACTGTCCGCCGCCACGTTTGAATGGGAAGTGACGTCATTGGTCGATTCCCCCCTCCCAATTTTGTTAATTAGAATTTATTCACTTAATCTGCTCTATTTTCCACTCATTTCCCAGATGATTTTCTCAGGATTCACCTAGATTTGGGCTATTTCACACGAATCCACTCCGATTAATTAGACAAATCTAATTTTTTAGTGCTATTTTACACTGAGAGATGGCGGGATTATTCCCATTTATTCAAAGTGCATATTATAAACATTCAAGATGTCGTCTGCGTTGGAAAACTTGGAAAATCAGCTCGAGAATTTTATCGAGAATGTCAGGAGAATTCGCATTATTGTTAGTGATGTTCAGCCACAGGGGCAGACGGTCCTCAATAGTAAGATGTGAGTTTAAAAAATTGGGGAATAATTGGCTCAATTAGGATAACACTGATTGGTTGAAAACTGGGTTAACTCGATGGTTCGATTAACTAATTATCAGTTGAGGACGTTGGTAGTTATTTTATTTGATAAATTTTAACAAATTTTATTTCATTTTTCAGACAAGGTCTCGTAACAGGACTCCAGGAAATTGATAAACTTAAATCTCAAGTTCAAGATGTTCATGTGCCACTTGAAGTCTTCGAGTGAGTATTCATTTTATTGTACGAAGAAAAATGATGTTTTTGTGATAACGTGAATTAGTTGCTTGAACTTTTTTAAATCAACATTTTTAAGATAACGTGGAATACTTTCAGTTACATCGATCAAGGCAGAAATCCTCAGCTTTACACTAAAGACTGTATCGAGAAGGCACTGACAAAGAACGAACAGGTTAAAGGAAAAATAGATGCCTACAGAAAATTCAAGGCAAATATGCTCGTCGAATTGAATCGTGTCTTCCCGAACGAATTAGCCAAGTATCGACAGATTCGTGGGGATGAATGAACCTCTCCTGGCAAAATTATTACCATACAATAACCTCTACTTTACGAGTATTTATAATTATTTACGCATAAGTTGGAAAATTAATTCGCATTATGTAATAATTTTCATATCGAAGGACAAACCGTGAATAAACTATTTCATACAAAATTGACAATTCATCTTTTCTCCGTTACTTACACTCTCTGCATAGCAAGAGTGCGTTGGGATTCCCTCTCCACTGTTGTAAAATAAATTCCCCTTCTCTCAGGCCATGGCAAGGCTGCATGTGGACATAAAATAAGATTGGCGATCACGACCCAGAGTTCGTCAGACACTTGACTTGGTGATGGCTCTAACTGTGATCATTGGTATAATAATTGTTGTCCTTGTATCTTCGCAGGACAGCATCAGTGCAACTGGTCAGAAATTTCAGTAAGTCTATTTTACTATTCAATTAACAAAACCCCAGAAATTCTTTAGCAATTATTAATTGAGGACCAATCACTATCCATAATTTGAGAAAAATTAGAATTGCACGTTAAGTCGTTCAACTGGATTTCCACTCGAGGAAAAGTATTTTTTTATTAGTATTTTTTTCTCGGCGATTCGATAAGATTTCGTTGAAAGAAAAATCGACTTTCGTCAGTGGTGAAAGCAGATCACCTGAATATAATAGGATCAGCATTGCAATTTTCTATGTCATCGCAGTAAATTACCAGTTTCTCACGTACCTCACGATAGTTGACTACAGCAGAAGAATTCCTTGACTTGAGCCTCTCATTACAAATAATTCTCTTCAACTTTCACTTTAATCGCTCGATGAATTGATCGAAGATTCACCACGATAATTGAATTTTTGCATCAGTTCACCTTGGCATTACGAGTGCACCGGTGGTTTATGCAAAAAAAAGGAGTTAACACCAGATGTGGAGTCTCCACACTCGTTGGAGGTGTGTCAGCTCTTCTGCGGTGAAGGAGGTGCACTCTGGCCGAAACCCACTGGTCATTTCTCACTCGGCAATTATGTCGCCCATTTGGATCCTGAGAGGATTAGCATGCGAGGTATCTACGAGAAATCCCCTGCTGGACAACTTCTTCACAGGAATATTCAGCTGTTGAAGAAAAATGTCAAGAAACTTGGGAACGGACTCGTCAAGGGCGGGGGATTAGCCCTAGGAATTGAAATCGCAGGGATCAAAAATACTTATGATACAAGAATTACTTTAAATACTAGGGAGAATTATACTCTACATATTCATCAGCCGGATGAGGAAAGAGTGAGTATTAAAAAAAACTATTTACTCCCGTTGATATGTGTCCAATAATAAAATAATAATTCATGCGCTATAATTTTTATTCTCATGATAAATGCATTTAAAAAATAATAACTATTATTCAGCTGATGGCTAGGATCCTCGCTGACACGTACTTTGGTGCTCGCAATGCAATGGAAACTCTTGCTCAATTAATTGTTTATAATGATCTACATAATGAAATACAAATGGTAAGGGATGTCAACGTAATTGATGCTCCTGTCTACCCATACCGGGGTATTCTTCTCGATACCAGTCGCAATTTTGTGGACAAAGCAACAATTCTTCGGACGATCGAAGCCATGGGGATGAGCAAATTGAACACCTTCCACTGGCACATCACTGATTCCCACAGTTTTCCGTACTCCAGCAAGAGCTATCCCAATCTTCAAAGATATGGGGCATACTCTCCTCTCAAAGTCTACTCTGAGGAGGACATCAAGGAAATCATTGACTTTGGGCTCCTTCAGGGAGTCAGGGTATTACCAGAGTTCGATGCCCCAGCACACGTGGGCGAAGGATGGCAGTGGGTTGGGGACAATGCAACAGTTTGCTTCAAGGCTGAACCCTGGAAAAATTACTGCGTTGAACCCCCGTGCGGACAATTAAATCCCACCAGTGAGATAGTCTACGAAATTCTCAGTGGAATCTACAAGGATATGATTGAGGATTTTTCTCCTGATATTTTTCACATGGGAGGGGACGAGGTAAATATTCCATATTCAGCAGTCTTGAAATTATTATAAAATTCACTTTGATTCTCAGGTGAATATCAACTGCTGGAACTCTTCATCGGCTATTCAAGACTGGATGCTCCAGAAAGGCTGGAACTTGTCTGAATCCAGTTTCATCGGTTTGTGGGCCATATTTCAAGAGCGAGCCTATGAAAAACTCAAGGTTGCTAATAATGGAAAAGATATACCGGTCGTTTTATGGACCAGTGGGCTTACCAGTGAAAGTAATATTCACCATTTGGATCGAAATCGGTATATTATTCAGGTTTGGACGACTGGAAAAGACCCCACCATTGGACGACTGGTTAAGAATAACTTCAGGATGATCTTCTCCAATTATGACGCACTTTATCTCGATTGCGGGTAATCAATGTATTTTTAGAGTATTTTTAGGATTTATTGGTTTATCATTGAATTTGAAGGTGAACTCAATGATGATTGACGAGGGAATCAATCGATAGTAATAATAATTATTATCACTGCTGTTATTATCATAATTATTATTATTTATATTGTAAATAAATAATTTGTTGCTCAGCTTCAGCGCATGGGTAGGTGAAGGCAACAATTGGTGTACACCCTACAAAGGCTGGCAGAAGATATACGAGAATTCTCCATTACAAATGATAAAGTCACAAGGATTTGGCGATTCGAAAAAATACTTAATTCTGGGTACTAAAATTTAATATCGTGTATTAAAATATTAAAATATTATATAAAAAATGATGAATGATGGTTGAATGATTGTTGACAGGTGGAGAAGCAACATTGTGGACAGAACAGGCAGATGACGCTTCAATAGACTCCAGACTCTGGCCAAGATCATCAGCGATGGCTGAGAGACTCTGGAGTGAGCCTGAGTCATCCTGGATTCATGCAGAGCAGAGAATGCTCAGACATCGTGAGCGTCTAGTTAAACGTGGAGTGTTTGCTGATAGTTTGGAGCCCGAGTGGTGTCTGCAGAATCAGGGAAGCTGTTATGCTTAATTCTATGGTATTAATTATTACCAATAAATGTGATTGATTGAATCATTGATCGAATGATATTATTTTTTTCATTGAATTTACAACACTGATATATTACTGGTGGGATTATTTGCTCTGATACTTCTTCGGCTTTTTTCTCCGGTTTTTCCGAAATTTCTCTGGGTCAGTATGAGAGAATCGGCACCTCGACGAGATCTCTGGGCCCTCCAGGCTCGTCTCATCTCTGCTCGTACCTCACCGTTCATCAGACAATAAAGAAGAGCGACGAAGCATCCCTGTGGAATTTTTTTTAATTGTATAGAAAAATAATAAGATGCAGGGCTTTTTCATTTTTTGTATTTATTCACCTGGAATGACGCAAATAATTGATCGCAGAAGAGCCAGATGAGTTCGACCTGGTGATCTGGGTGGTAAGATAGACCAATGAAAATTGTGTAATGGGCACCGAAGAGTGGGACCAACACCAATGTCGATTTAGCCCACCTCCTGAAGTAACAATAATCATTTTAATTGAAAAAAAAAACGCTTACTCAATAATAATTTATAATTGTAGAGATTGTACCCATAATGCATTTTCTTGCGTTGTAGATGTACAGAGGTCTTCATTTTTATCAATAATACCCTCACGATATTCAAGAAAAGAATGAAGTTCAACTGTAAAAAATTAATCTGATATAAAGCCAAAGGAAACGCTCGGAGACAATTGAAAAATCGAGTGATTACCAGGATAGATATCATTATCGGAATTCGAATGATTAGAAAAAAATTTGGATTGTTGTGCATCGTCCAGCACAAAGTGTTTTCCATGAAAACACGAATTGCAATCCACACCCCAACAACAATTGCTGGTAATCCCCAACCGAGGATTATGTAGACAGTGATTGCAGATGTGTCAGCGCAAAATGCGAGAAAGACAAGATTGTGGAGGTAAAGTCCTTCCATAAAGATCCAGGCGTAATTAGCCACAATAAAGTACTGCCAAACGCTCGTAATTACTTTGCAAACCCAATACTGTTAACGATAAAAATATAAAAATTATACTAATTCTGTAATAGATCGTAGAATGGATTAATCGAATTTTTGGTAATTATAGGTGCTTACGTGCTTTTCGGTGACGAATGTACTTTTTCCATCTACCAGGATGATATTCCAAGTTGAACCCAGACCGTCTACAGTGATTTTGTCTTTAAGGAGAGCCATGAACGCTCTCATGATGAAAGAGACGAATAAATGCATGTGAAGACGATTTCGATGATTTCGCAATTTTCTTAAGAGTGAAAATATTATCAGGGCTATGATTAACGTTGTCATTGAGGAAGCATAACCGACATTTGCTATGGTTTTTATTATTGGTACCCATTTCTGTAATTCATAAGGTGTTTATTATTTTTTTAATTACTGCAGAATGATTTTATTCATTTTTATCTAGAGGCTTTAGAGGATAATCCGCTGGTAATTCGCAGTTCATTTCGCTCCGATCGAAACCTTCGGAAGGCCCTGTGTCAATAAAACCGGGGGAATAGTGACCCCCCGGGATTTCATTATTATCACTATTAATTGAAGAAGGCTTTGAGCTAATAGGTCATTCCACTAAACTCTCCCCTTTGACCTTCGAGAACGCTCAACCCTCTGGTAATTCCGCAACGATGAAGATGAAGATGAAGAAAAACGTCGAAGCTTCAGGAATTTTCACAATTTTTTCCAAATTTTGGCATACTTCCAGTAATTACCAAATAAATATTGTAAATTGTAATCGTAATTGTATGTAATGTTAATTTTAAGAGTGACTTACGATTAGAATAGTGGAGTTGCTGGTCTTGGCGAATTCGGAATGTGTGATGTCTATACTTTCAACTCCTGTCACAGAGTAATCGGGGGGTGGTGTACAGAGGGAATAATTGGTCCAGATTATTCCAGCGGGATTATTGTACCAGTGCCCACCAGGAAGACATTGTTTCGTTGAGGTGCCATTGTTTGGATTTTCATACCCAAGAACAGCTTGCGGTGGGCATGACAGTATAGCTGTTGCATTGGCAACTGTACTTGGCCAACAAAGTAGTCCATCAAAGGTTGGCGGACACTCATCTGTCTCATTATTCACGATATCTACGAGTAGCGAGTGGATAATTACTCTTTCATCACGTACAATATGGATATTTTAACTTATCAATTAATAATACACGCATCGATGTCTTGGGATGGAATTGGTAAAAACTCTCGTTCCCAGCTGTTACAACTTCACCCGCACAATCAATGATATTTTTAGTTTCATTTTTTCATTGAACCCCTGGGGCTCGTTATTGCGATATCTCATGTCGTGGAAATTTCTACTCACATTCACTTATCAGTACTTTACAAATTTTCTCTTGTTCACGCTGAAACCTCTCTGTGTCATCCTTTGTCATTCTGAAAATGGAGTCAATAAGCTAGATAAAAGTCTTATTTTATTGTTTAAAAAATGGCTCTGTCACGTCTATATCGGTACGTCAATTTTCTCAGTCATTTCGACAATCGGTAAACCAACTTACGTTCCGCTATTTTTATTGAATATTATTATTCCCGCACAGAGACAAGTCTACTTATCTCTTCAGTTCATATCCACAAGCGGAACAAGTCCGTGAATTCAAGGATAAACCCATCACCGGGGGTTGAGATTATTTTAGTAGTAATCTGATATGTAATTAGCTGTAAGTCACAGTTCACCGCTTCGGCAAAAAAATATGATTAATATTAAATTCGGAGATAATCCATCGATCCACTTGAGTGATCACCAAATAACTAGCAATTTTCTCCGTCAGCTCCGAAAATTTTGAATAACAAATGTCGAACCCGGTGGATTTTTTTTTTCTTTTTGGCGATCGCGAGAATTCACTTTTAAGTTGACATATGACCTCAGCCGATAGACATGTCCGGAAATTATACTTTCAATGACACAAGACGCTATACATTTGCTTATGAGACTTGAAAGAGTTCTTTGTGTGCAGTTACTCTTCGACTTATTCGCGAGTTGAATTGTCGGGTGAAAATAAATTTGAATAAATTGGAATAAAACTATAAAATTATTGAATTTCGATGGTGGAACAATATATTGAGGCTTGGAATTCATCGGTAGGTCATATTTATATTTTATTGAGATAAAATAACCAACCTGCCACTGCTCGTCTGACTCACTGTCAAGTGCGTCCGCGAAACGTCTGTTACCGCTGCCAATTGAATCTGTAATGTAACCCACACTTTTCTTTCCCGCGCTTAAGAAATCGCGCAAGCGTCAGACGATTCACCGAAAAAATATATAGGGAATTAATATGGATTAATATGAAATTATCCAAGCGGAATTATATTTCGATATTATAGTCCTATAAAAACACAAATATATAAAATCAATATAAAATCAATATAAAATCAATTAGTGTCACCCCATGTTTACTCATTTATATTTTTATTTTAAACTCATTGTCCTTCATTATTTTATTACACCCAAAAAATTTGGGAACCGGGATTTCGAAAAATCTGTAATAAAGTGGCGGAATGAGAGGAATTAACTCTGGAATTTTCCCGGGGTTTTCGGGAATATTTCCGAAAGAAAGACAGACGGGAAAATGTGGAAGCCTAATACATCCACTTTTGATTTGAGTGTATCTATTTTGCTCGAGGGGAAAAAATCCATCCATCAAATCACTAATAAATTCCTGAAAGTGTTTGAGGAATATAAATATTGGTTGAATGAGATTGAAGTGCTCATACGATAGGATTTGTGAACAGAAATTCAAAATAAAATGTGTCCTCATGATTAAATTTCTTTCACTGAAAATGATATTACGGAGTGAAAAAAATATGAAGGATACATAAATCAGTCTGGATAATGTAATTTGCAATGAGAATTTTTTTACGGAAACATTTTGTATTAAAATTCAATTTACATCATAATTTTTTCGTGTTTACATTATCATCAACAATTATAACTTTGCCAAATACTGTTTACAATTTGGGTTGCTATATCCAAATGAAAACTATGAATAACACATTTAATTAAATTTACGATTTTTTGTATAAACATTTGTTAAAAGTATTTTTTATTCCCTAATGTGGCAGAATTTCACTAATATTTCTCCTTTATCAACTATCGGACGATATTATCGCAGGAAACATTTCAAGGATGAATAGGAATTGCCGATAAATCTTCGTTATGTCGGTCAGTGTAAAGATGGTAAGTACACCATTTTAATAATAGATTTTTCTGTCGTTTAAATAAATTATATGTATTGCGATCAACGAACGAAATATCTAGACCACAACAACTGAGTCGATTTATACAAATTTCATACTTCCCGGTAAATTCATTCAATTTCTATTTCTACTCTTCCCCCCTCCACCATTATTCTCATAAAATGTCATTTAATTGTGGCGAAACTCTCCATTAATTTTTTAGCACAAAATCGCTGAGAAAACATATCAAATAAATTATAAATTTCAATAAAATAAGTGAGTCCAGAAATACTGCTTATAAAGAAAAACTGTGAGAATTACATAGTCTTGTTAATTTCACTAATTAATGTAACAGTGTCATTTAAGTATTACTAAATGATTAATTAAGTAATTTACAGGATAAAATCATAAAACCTGTAGTACGGGGTAAAACGGTTCGAGTTGCCATGATGCAGTTATAGTAAAATAGTTCCACTTACAAAAAATTGTTGTATATTTGCAGGATAATCTCCCAGACAATTTGATGAGAAAGAGATTCAACTTGACTCGTTATACTACTCCACCAATAAAATGTACAATGATTTTCCATGATTTTTCGTGATTCCTCGGAACTATTATCTCTTGGGCATCTTAAGTTGATTGACCACCACAATTTATCATACACTATTATACAGGATGAGTTCATGATTCAGGAAAAATAGCCAATTAAAGAAAAATCGATTGAAAATTAAGATCCGTGTGAAAAAAATTGTACAATCCATCTTTATCTCCTGCATACCTTGCATCGATCATGCAAGAGAATGTTGAATAATACTTTTCATAACTTGACAACTTATCAATGTTATATTCTACGATTGCACATGTAAACTCCATTTTTCTACTATCGTTCATTAATTGTCGGGACAAGTAATGAACTCAATATACTATTCTTCATAGTTGCACTTCGTTGATATTCATTTCACGACTTAGCTAAAAATAGAAAAACTGAGTGTTTGAAAGGCACTTTTAAACAATAAAATGACAACAATATTCCATCCACATTTTTTATACTTGTTACGCCATTTTTCAATGAGCAAAAAATTCAATTTCTCTGTGTAATCAACGCTTATCAACGCTTGTCATGTCAGAAGATTTTGCGTGAATTTCGGCATTTTGAAAAAATATCAGCTACATCACTACTACTCCATTCTAATTATAAATCAATAACTACAAAAAATGCCACTCACTAATTTGCCTGGATTCACCCAAAATATTATCTGAATGAATAAGAGGAAATAAAATTCCAATTCAATCGATACTTTCATCAGTGCGCATATCAATCCTCAATAAATCGACAAATTATTGATTTCATATAAAAATTCGCTCTACAAGACCCTCCCTCCCATTGGACCCTGTGATAAACACTATTTCGATTAGTCCACATTATTCTTAAATAACAATACACAGATTAAACTCCTCGGGTTATGGAAAAATCTCCATTGTATACAACTGTAGTATAAAAGTTTTTCGCGTCACATATAAATTTTCGTTTTCGCTACATCCTCGAGTTGCCTTAATAATTACCTATAAGTATTTCTTCATTTTCCTCTACTAATATTTTTTTACACCGGACGTCGTAAGCACGGCCAACTGCTGATGATGCGACACAGGCCCCATCTGATCTAAATCATACTCGGTCAGAGACACTTACCAGGATTCTGACTGCACCACTGGGGCCACATTGCCTCCGTCTTGAGACCACGAGTTTGAAGAACATCGATGTGAGTAGCAAGACGAGTATAAACACTCTCTTCTGTGATGTACCCTGCTGTTGGTAAATCGCTCCACAATCTCTCAGCGAATGCCGAGGCCCTGGGCCACAGTCTAGGTCCCAAACTGGCCTGTCCAATTTGTTCACTCCACAGTGCCACCTCACCCCCCATCACCAAATTCGCAGCCTGATAATCCCTCCATGGCCTGTGATTGTAAACAGTCTGCCACGTTCTGTATTCTCCGCAAGCAGCCTCTCCGGTCTCCCTCCACTTTCCAAATCCGCAGTCCAAATACCAGGCGTCAACGTGTGACAGTATCACCCTGAAACCATCCTCCAGGAGATCTCCAGTCTCAGGCCAATTACTCCCACCCCACGACTGAATGACATGGACCTTTGGATCGAAGTGAGATGTAATCCACGGTCGTTTAGTCAGTGGTGAACTCCACAATATCACAGCTTTGGGCACCTCATCCTTATTCGCCTTGACAATTCTCTTGAACACTTTTCTCTCAAAATCAGCCCAGATTGCATGCAAATCCGTAAAGTTTGACGCTTGCATTGCCTGAGTTATATTGGTATACTGCGCCCAACACTCCAAGTTCACCTCGTCTCCCCCAATGTGGATAATGTCTCTTACTTCCGTAATGTCGAGTATTTCACGGTATAAACTTTCAAGTACTTTGTATGAGTGTTCATTTATAGGATTAAGCTGTCCACAATTGGGTTCACCGCAGTACGACGACCAGGGCTCTTGATCAACGCACAAAGCTAGTTCACCAAAGCCGTAATCACTGCCCCACTGCCAACCAGCTCCAGCATGAGCAGGCGAATCAATTTCAATAATAACCCTGATGCCCCTGATTTTTGAATAATCTACCAAATCCTTCATGTCTTCGGGTGTGTAAATCTCATCACCACTGAAGGCACCCCATCTTGCCATCTGCGGGAAAAACGATGAATCGAATGGAAATGACTGAGAGTCCGAGATGTGCCAGTGGAAGGTGTTGAGTTTAGAGGCTGACATTCCGTCGATAACGCGTTTTAATTGTTCTATCGGGAAAAATTGACGACCAGTGTCGATCAAGAGGCCACGGTAGTGGAACGATGGCCTGTCCTCGATGGAGGCTTTGGCGAGTACTCGGAGGGTGCCCTGGTGGCCCGCCGAGTCGTCCCACCAGAAAAGTTGCGAGAGAGTCTCCAAACCGTGACGAATTCCGTAGTAGCTCTTCGCGGAGATCTTCGCTTCGAGGAGACGAGCCTTCTGTGACAGCTCCAGGTGATAGGACTCATCGGTGGAGAGGGTAAGTCTAGTGCCCGATGCACCTGCTGGGTCCAAGTAGATAACAAAGCTGTCGATGCTCCATCTCTCCCGGGCATTTGGCGTCTTTATCAAACTTCTGATGTTTCCAATGAAAACGTCCTTGGCGTGTTCGAGTAGGCTTTTGAGATCATCATCAACGGTGTTGATGGTAACTAATTCAATGTGCTGAAGGGATAATGCAATCATCTCCTCACCGAGGATGACGCTGCCAGTGGGTCGTGGCCAGAGCAATCGAGTGTTACCACCGCAGAGTGCATTGCACGTCGCCAGGGACGTGCGCGATGTTCTTGACGTACGTCGCTCGCATCTGCCCGCAACACAAACCCACGTCCATGGGCTTTTGAACGATCTGGAGACAGTATAAATGATTCAGGGAAAGCACTACCCATATACTGCAATCGTAATCATAATGGATAAGCTCCACGCGAAAAAAAAATGGACTTGAATCAAGTATGATTGATCCGTTGCTTTTATTTTATGCATTTTATTTTGTACTTGACTTCAGTAGATTTCATTTTCCATGTGTTAGTCATTTTTTGTTAGATGAAGATGGTGATGATCTTTTTAATAATTTGGAGGATAAAGAGGTTGATCAGCTGTTCCTGTTTAAAATAAGGGAAGAAAGGACGAAACTTCAACTTTGTAGAGCACATGCAATACTTAGCATTTATCGATTTCAACTAGCCCAGATTTCGGTCCCACGTTCATACATTTTTTTTTACCTTGTATAATTTAGAGATTCCATGGAGAGTGCGTCTCCAAATTCGACGATCGTGATGTTATCACTCGTCTCATTAATTATCTGTCGCGATAACTGCTTCAGACTATTGGGATAGCGTGCAACGATCATGCAATAATTAAACATCAGGTGTTGTGTGTGTTAAGAGAAATTTTGTGGTAAAATCCATCGACGAATATAAAAACTTAGGATTTAATTACCTCCTTGGGGCGAAGGGTTGGAGGGACACCAGAGGTGATGTGTGGGCGTACATGGCGATGAGGAAGATCCCGGTGATGAGCACCAGGAGGAGGAGGACTCTCCTCATCCAGCCACTGGGGAGACCCCCCATCATTCTTCTCCACCTATCAACAAATTAAATATTACAAACAATCAGGCAATTCATGTATACAAATCGCAGCGTCTAAATGCTATTTTTCTCTGGTTGATTATTACGATTTTTCCAATTGTTCAATGCAATCGTTAATTGCTATTGAAAATAAACAGACAACTCCTCGATCTAACAATAACCATTACAAATAGCCCAATAAATATATTAACTTCAAGTTAATGAAGTAACTAGATACTCCGATAACTCATTCCATTTTTAGTACCATAATTTGTGGCCTATCCCCACTATCGATCACTGACGTTCCTTATCACGTTTACCAGAGACAAACAGCATGTAACCCGGATCCTTGGCCAAGCCAATCAATGGTTCTTTCCTTCTTTCCTTCGATATACAACGACAGGCGATTAATTGTGTAACAATCTAAACAGCCTCCCTTGAACTTCTAATCACGTCGATCCCTTCTCATTTCTAACTCGAGTGTTCACAACGAATTTGATAAAATTCCATTAACGAATCATTAAGCTGTCAAAAATCTCCAAATTGAAAAAATAATAAACTGCATACAAACGAATATAAACGTAATCCATTGGTGAAAGTTAACCGGATCATCTACAGGGAGAAAAAGAGAACACAACACCAAGTTGAATGAATAATAAGGGTCCTAATCATAGATGACCTTAGATATCGTGCTACTGGTGGTGTCATCGATCTAAGTCCCCAAGTCGATGCTATGGCTACTATCGATCCAAGCTATACCTCAAGCACCTAGAGATTCTTATCTTTTTATAGTGAAAATTCAGTGTATAAATGGAAGTGAATAAAAAAGAAAATGAATAAAAAAAAAACAGCGGTCGAGTGAATTACAGTGGTGGTATCCAAAAATAAGAATCACCAGCGATGTGAATGATAACGTCATGGGGTGAAGGCGTCGGGGTGAGGTTTATAGAAGGGGGGGGTTGATAACTATGAGAGAAAACTATGACGCAAGTGGGAGGTTGGCGGATCGGGGGCTCGTTGGTTGGGGGTTGGTTGGCGTCGGTTTGTTTCACACAACCATCACCACCTTTGTAGCCAAGCAACCGCGCAATCACCACAGTCTAGATCTAAACACCAACGGATACGGACGGTCCTGACCTTCCGCTATCTTCATTTTTTTTTCATTTTTTTAACAGCCCAAACAGCAGAATTACCTCGTCAATAAGCCAGTGTCAGTAATTCGTCATGTTATCGTGTTCGCTATAAAATCATCAAGTGAAATGTCTCTGGTGACCAGGGGGTACATGCTCCTCTGGGAATTCAGGCGAACTCGGAATTTTCATGGAAATTGTTCTACTTTATGGTTTTGAATTATGGTGTGTAAAGGAAGTTTAGTTTACAGAAGTGCTAAGTGCCTCTTTGAGAATCCACGAGCAGGTGAGCACTCCTTTTTTTAACAGAGATTGATTAGAAAATTGTGATTATCAATCATAATTTAATTTAATTGAGTTACCTGATTTTTCCGCCATTTTAATTGTTGGAGGCGGTCCATAAAATGGCGGAAAATATCGAGTAACTCCTCGATTCTTCTGTTATCCTATTACAAAACTCCCGTTTCATTAAAATTTTAAGGAAATACGTTCTAAATCTTTATCGATTATCAATTTTTTGTAACCCTTTCATCGATATTCCGTCTCATAATCTACACTTATTGCACTAAAGTTGAGGAAAAACCGACGTGGCTAAACCAATAAAGGGATGCGTAAGAGAGAGTTAAAAGTCGATGAGAACTAGAGCTACTAAATTATTAAATCTCCCTCGACAACTATAATAATTATAATTACCTTTCAATTCTGGCGATTTGGGGTCATCCACAAATTTCAGTTCCTCTTCTCCTAAAAACAAACATATAGTCAACACGTACTGGAAAAATTTGTTACCCGACCTTAACAAATAATTAAACCAGTTACAGGAAAAGTTCTTGGACTACACTAAATTACTCAGTCGTATTTTGAGTCTCGGTGAATTTGCAACCGAGATAAACCGAAAGTGATAGACGGATCACTCCTAAAGAGACGAAATCCCGACAATTGTCAAGTTACAATGTCGATGAGAAGAATAGCTGTGTTAGCAGCGGTACATTCCAGTCAACGAAACGATTCCTATGGTGCAAATTACGGCGGTTATTACACCCCCGGTTACAATATGTCTGGCAATGCCAGCGGAAAAATGGGAAGATTCGACGCGGATTTGCATGGAAATGTTAACGTACTCCTCGGAGGGTAGCTATTCTATTTTCTATCCAATCCCAAAAAAAATGAAAATAAAAGGAAACAGTCGTAATAACATATTGAATTTTGCTTTAGGGCAATGCTGAGTGGAGTGATTATAGTGGTAATTCTCGTTTGCTACTGCTGTCACAAAAACATGAGAAAGAATCGACCACACGAATACTCCCCTTATTGGAGGGAGCCAGATGTCCAGAGTCTGGAGGTCTTCACCATGGATTCCCACGCGATGGGACGTTTTTTGGGTGGTCAGCAGTGTTACGATCGAAGTGGCAATGCGGAAGACATCACCACAGTGTCATTACCCTGCCCAGGCACCCCAGGACCACCACCAGCTTACGAGAGTCTTATATTTAATCCCCACAATAATGCTTCACCCAGTGATAAGAAAGAGGAGCCAATTACCACTCCCGATTGTATACTTTCCGTCTCTGAGAATCAAGGGGATTCCCCCAGACAGGAGAAGAAGGAAGAGGATGAGGGATTACCCTCTTATGAGGCTGCACTCAAACTCGAAGCTAATGGCTATGTTTAATTATAAAAAATTGGTTAATGAGTTTGTAACTTCTCCAAAGAATTTCTCAGGGAAACTGTCGCCCAGTTTAAAATATAATCATATTTAATTAATTAGAAATTAATTGAATATCATTATATTACAGAGTTGATGCATAAATAATCATTAAATTTATGTCTTGAAGAGAAATAGAATCTTTTAGGGAAATATTTGGAGGGGCTGTGGTAGCTATTTACCGAAAATTGGTTGTGGAAGTGATTTTATTGTGATGTCAACAAACGGGATAGATCAATTTTGTTGAAGGCCGGTTTTTTACCGAGTATCTCCGAATCTAAGCGAGGTAGATCATTTGTTGAGTAATTGGGTAGATCTGGAATTAATTGAGTGACTCCTTAGACTCGGCGCTATTCGTCGAAAATTTATCTTCAAGGTGAGTTGATGTATTTCATTTTTCATTCCACTAGTGATTTAATATTAAGTCTTTTACAAGTCACTCTTTTTTACGCTTCTAGGTATAAGTTAATGAAATATTACGTTGTACAGAGAAAGTATTTAATTGATTATGTAATATTCGATGGATTATGTTATTTATTTTATTTATTCAGTTGTTTAATATTGATATTAATTATTTAACTGAGTATTGTTAGGGAGAAATTTGTTGGGGAGATTTTTGTTACTGTACTCAAGTTGTAGTGAGATTTTGTACATAGATAAAGAATTTAATTATACAGTTTGTGTTGAGAAGTTTTATTTTGATTTTGAGGTATATATTTTATAAGTTAGGAGGAAAAATTCATTTGATCATTTAATTTTCACACCGAAATATTTTTACTGGCTGAAGTGACAAAGGAGGAGTGATAAGTTCAAATCCGTAGAAATGATTCTGCAAATAATTCGCGGAGATAAATCGCGATTCTTTTTTGTAGTCGATAAAATCATCTACAGGAAGGGCCTTTCATTTCTCGCAATGTAAATTTCCCGAGATAATTATTTATTGAATTTTTCACCCGTTGGTAAATGATTACTTATTCTCTGTTATTTACCACCTCGGTTTCAGTAATTTGAACAGCGACGTAAATAACCCCGAAAACACGAGTACAAGTGATAAAATACATGTTCAATTGAGTGATTGAACGAGTTAGATAGGAAATTATTGATAGAGAATTGCGTGGCGTCCATCTGTGCATATCGTCAATTTAAAACGCGTGTAAAAATAAGTTTATCAGTAAGACCATTCAAACATTAATATGATACTGTAGTGTTTCAATGAAGCTCACCGTGATAATAATAATAGGGAGCTTGGTAATTTATCACTGACAATTGTCAATGCAGACTCGATCACTCCTGATTGAACTCACATGAGACTTTTTATTCCAAATGAAGTTAAAAATTAATTAATAATTTTAGTTCACTCATTTCCTTTTATTCTTCCTTTTCATTGAAAAATTCCGTTCCTTTACTAGGTCTATCTACTGATTGCAAAAAAATAATGAAAATTATATGGTTTATTGATAATTATGTGAGTAAATGTTGTAAGACTGGTTTGCAAGAAGAGAAAATTCTCCAGAGGGAAAATATCTTCACGTATTAATCCTGATTTTATACAACAAACCGTTTGATGTTTATTTCATTTATTTTTCCAGTTTTCTCTTTAGCAAAAAAAGATAACAATTGCCATCTGGCAACTCATGATATGAACGGCATAAAATTGAGTCATTCATTGTATACAATTGTCAATAGATAATCGATTGCTCGTAAATAAACTAGTTACGGAGGCACTTGCAATTCATTCTTCAATTGACATCCGACAAGGATATCACGATAACGATAACAATGAGTAAATAATTCACCCGGTCATTGTTTCACGCTCTTGACACTTGTTTATTTTTTACTCCTGTTCTACAGTCAAACATTAAAACCCGAATGGACCGCATATTCACGTCCAGGGTCCAAGTGCACTTCATTGGCCAGTCATTCGGCCAGGCCTTATACATAAATAAACTTCTGCTCAATCCTAAATTACTTGACCGCTTAATTATTTTCCATTCCAATCCTTTCAGCTTTAAAATGCCAAGCTAAATGCCGCGAGTAGAAAAATTAAATTTTCTCTGAGTGGCACATTGACTTTCCTCATTAACTATAGATCAAATTTTATGAGTTGTTCATTTTTTTTCAACCTTGAGGACTACTTCACGTCCATTCTCCGGTCTTTCTTGCAAATGGTATTAAAGTGGAATCAGTGCTCGTTGCCATGGGTAATAAAATAATTATTGTCATGGCGGATGACACGTGGGCGGTCGAATGAGACGACTGAGGAAGTGGTCACTGACTTGAAATTATATATTCTTTATCGCAATTTCTCTACCGGAAATTTTCTTGTGATTAACAAAAGACCGGGAGTGTTCTCTCATCTTAATATTATTCTATCCGTCTGAGTGCGCACTAAAGATTCTGTTAATATAATTATTCAGGTACGGAGTAAAGAGCTGAATAAAATTAACTAAAAAAAGGAGAGATTGGTTGTAAATATTGTCAAATATTTAAAAATGAAAATCTAGAATGCTATCGTATCCAATTGCATAAAAATTGCTAGGCTCGGTTATAAATCTTTAACAATATCCAACATTGATGAAAAAAATGGTAAAAAACACTGCTAAGGCTTCGAGTTAGGTAACAAGATATTTCCCGGTCTTGGCTTCACATGGGCTAAACATACACAAGTAATCTCCTTATATCACCCTTGACTACTCCAATCAATCACTTCTAAATTACATAACAACATCAATGAAAAATACCGTCGCGAAGAAACCAGAAAGAAAAAAAATACTAAGTAAAAATAAATCCCCAAACAATCTGAGAGAAGATAAACTCAATAAAGGCAAACAATCCAGATTACGACAGCGTCAATTTCCCTAATTACATTACAGTAACTTATCGCAAAAATAAAACCGGAAAAACCTGCCCTCATCTATCGATTTGACAGCCGCATAAATATTCGAGGTTATGTCCTACGCCTACAGGACATAATCCTTACGAATTCACCAACAAAAGTATAAAAATCTCGATAATTTAAACAATCAGAAATTCTCCAATTTGTGTTAACAAATTCAGCAGATGAAATATTTCGAAAAATCGATATTAAACCGTAGCACCTGTTACATTCCTCGCAAACAAAATCTAAACACCAATAATGATCGTCACTGTTTGTTGAAATCGAATGTAACAATTAAAAAACAACTCACCAAAATTCCGCAGTGTGTTCTGCGTTCTCCCGTTGTTTTTCCCAAATTTTCACCTGGCAATGTCTGAGCCTCAGGATTTTTTCATCGTCAACACTAATAACGAGACCACATCAATGACAAATTTATCACTGAATCACTCACTGATAAACTCGTTGAGTATCACAATTTATTACTGAATTGAAACACAATAGTAATGCAACAGTGAACACAGGTGTTGGAGACGATGAAGACAAAACGGTATCCCAGGTTGGCATATCACTTCTGTCTCTTTTTTTTTCACTCTCTCTCCACTGGTGCGCACGCTCACACAAATATTCACAAAACACCTACAGAGGGATGTGCCATATTTATTTTTCACTTACTAATTTATCCAGTTTTATTGTCAAGTTGACACTGACAGCTCCTTAATCAGACGCGTTACAAGTCAGAGTTGCTCAATACAACTGACTATTGAATAAAGAATAAATTGGTATATGTTAAATCCAGTGGTGGGGGTGCAACGGATGTGACGTCACGTGAGGTACCATTTAAAATTTTTGCGATTCAATGATTATTACCCATTTATTTACGATTACATGAGATTAATTAATTAATCTGCTCGTCCAAGTCGTTGGGACTGAGGGATTTTATTCAGAGATTATTGCATTATGAATTTTTTTTTGGTAAATTCAACTCGTATGTTCTGTTTCAATTTTATCTAACTTATATTTCTGTAGAACTAACCAAACTAAACGGAAGATTCATGTGTGCTTTCAGTTTAAATCGTAGAAATGAAAATTCGATATTTCAGAGGTTTCAATTGCAGGAGAAGTTCACGTGAAATTACTTTTTAATGGTTGATCAACGTTTTCCATGATAATTGTTATTACTCGATTAGAATATTTCGCAGAAAAATAAATTCAGTGCTTCGGAAGATACCGCCATCTTCATAGAATTTTCGGGGCTGATCACACAGGTCTCTCTATTTCTGTTATCACTTAAATAATTTATTGATCTAAGCCACTAATTTATGTGTAACAATTATAATCGTGTAATCGTGATGTATTATGAATGATAATTTTTATAAATAGATTACGTACTAAGTCTACGATAACAATAAAGAATTTGTAGAAAAAAATATCAATGGTTACTAAAAAAATAATAGATAATGGAATGGGATTAAAAATGAGGTGCCAGATGAAATGGGATAATTAATTTTCCTCTCAGAGAGGTATTTAATATTTTTATGTGGGTCATTATTTCTTCTTGCGAGAGCCGTGGGTCATTCTTTTTCCTTTATGATGCGATTTACTCTGGAATTTTAGTGCGCATTTATTTGAATTTGATGTCTGACTCGATCCACTTTTTTCCACGTGTCCATTGCTTTTCTCTACAATTTTCCCATCTGCAACAAAAAAAAAATGATAAATTGTATTGATTTATTTATTAAGATTGATAAATTAATCAATCACTTGCAGAAGTCTTACCCGAATAATTATTCTTCACATCATTTATCCCCTTCAATTCGCATCCGCCTTGGTCTATAAAAAAACGTAAAAATAAACATTTAATATTACTTGTTGTGAAAATATAAAACGAAACAAATGAACTCCATATCAGGATAAACGAGCGGGGATTAAATTTGCGCTGCAAGGGATTTTAATTGATATTAATTTATGATATGACAACGCGAGAAGTTCATGGACGAAACTTACGTCCTTGAAAAGTGGGTAAAGCCCTCTCTGGGCTCGAGCTCTTGGAGCTGATTGGTGAGTAAAAAGCAGTATCTCCATCGTCTCCACTCTGTGGGGAGAAATAATCTGGTTGCTCCTCAGCAAGTTCGATCTCTGGATTTTTTTCATTGTCGGTGGGACACGTGCTCTACGATCACGATTGGGTTCATTTCCTCATTTTGCCTCCGAAATTTTACCATCAATTAAGTAGTGGAGTAATCAAATGATATTCTAATACAATCGAACACTCGTTCGATTACCGGAATTATCAGGAAATTCAATTCGAATCATTCAATTCATTGGCATTCTACCACTCCTCTACTAAATTTTTTATTTTCTCTCTTTTGCGAAAGGCACTTGGCATGCGAGCGAAGCAATCACAAGGAAATCAATATATCTTCTATAAAAACGAATTTACCTGAGTATCCTTTACTGAATTGGTCTTCAGGATAGCGTTAGAAGACCGAAGTTTGTATTCATCCAAAAGTGCATTATTTTCCTGCAATAAACCTTCCACTTCATGCTGCGAGATAATTTTCTCCTCATCCTCCAAATCTGTTTGGCTCGATTCACTCGTTTCAGAACTGTCCCCAGGCTATATAAATGCAATACTCAATGAATCGTCTAATGATTCATCAATTAATTAATTAATTCCCAAAGAATTAATCAATTCTCATCTCCAAAATTTGGAGTTCAATTTGAATTCTAACTATTGGCTTCAAATAAATTTCTCTCAGATACCGTAAGAAGTCGTTTCAACTAAATCCGAGATGAAGCAATTCCTCAAAAATTATTTTCTCTAAATAACCCGAGAACTATTGAACTGCGATAATAATTATCTATGAAAAGTGAAAAATGGATGTCTCTGTGGCAAGTTACAGGGTCATTGTAAATACTGAAATATTGTAATTATCTGGAATTTTTATTATTAGTGGACTAATGTGTTTATGTTCTGAAGTTTGTACTTTGCCGATGTACTCGCGTATTAATTAATTGTACGTTTCACAACTCAAACAAGACTATAACCGAACGCTTAAAATGTAAATCAAAGCGAGTCTATGAAGCCAAAATATTATTTCCGTACTACAAATACTTGTCTACCAATGACTGATAAAACTGAAATGAAAAACAAACACCAGTATTCATAACATCAATATACAAATGACTCACTTGGAAGTCACGATCGTCAAAACTGTTCTCACGTGCTAAACGCTCGATCTTCGAGTTGAGGGTCTCCTCCTCTGATTCATCAGACTCTTGATCATCCGAACTTATCTGGGTGTACTTCCTCTTCTGGTCCACAATTGTTGATTCGGTGGCAGATTTTTCATCGGGAGTTGTTGACTGTGGGACATGGAAATATTCTTCATCACGCGTGAAATTTTCCTAGATACCAACAAAATATTTGGAAAATAATTTCAAAGGTCCTGGGGTGGGAGAATTGACAGGACTCCACCGTAGGGCGAACCAACTCGTTATCCTGTTATTATTTGGGTCTTTACTACTTGCCATTTCATCATTAACGCTAACTTGAATCCTGGTCGATGGAGGCGAGTGATTCGACTTTGAGGTATCAAGACACGAAAGACTGGACAGGGTTAATTGAATGGATTTAATCAGGCTCCTGTTCGCTTCTTGGAGACTCTTCTCCTAAACCCATCACCAATTCAATTGATCAATTATAAATGCAACAAATAAACATTCATGCACCACTTCATTAAATTAAAATCAATCATTCATTTGAATTAAATATCACTTACCAAGGGACGATTATTAGCGATGCGTTTTTGCCTGAGGGTCTTGATCCCGTTGGTTTTGATTGTTCTTAGACGCCTTCGAGTTTTCTGAACGTACCTGACAATGTCACTGGGATCGATCGTCGGATAACCGAGAATTACACCCCCAAGATTCCATGTTAATCTTGATAAGCGGAGGAGGATCAGCCATGGAAGGAAGAGCACCCAGGGAAGAGGTCTCACGAGTTCCATGCTGTGGAAGGATTTTCCATTTTCCTCAATGGGTGATTCGTGGCAGGGAAGGCTCCACTGCGCTGACTTTTCCACGATCCACAACGTTCGATCCAGAACACGAAGTAATACTTGACCCATGGACATCTGAGCTAGGGCTGTGAGGCATGATGTCATCAGGTATTTCATACTCTCGATTACGTGGTCAGCCATCTGTAGAAAATTTCTGCATGAAAAAATCATTGAACATTGATAATTAATATTAATAATTACTGGATTGCATCATTGAGGCGATAAGAATTCAACCAATTGATATACCGAATTGTCAAAATACAAATTATGGAATTTGAACTCGTGGATGACGGGATTAATTTATATTTCGATTTTTTTTTTGCCGATTTAGTTGAAAATACTAGTCATAAGTCAAAGAATTCTGCAACAGCGAGATAAATCTTGGGATTAAAAGACAACGGTCAACAAAAGAATTTAAAAATAAAAGTCTAAACGATCAAAAGACATTAATCACGAGTCGACCCCTCACCAAACAATATATCTGTCAATAATTTCTCATTCACCGCGTGAAAATTTCTCTCTTTCCTATTTTCATCCGAAGAATCATCATCAACTGATAAATCTCATAAATTCTTCAGTCTCAATAGTCGTACATAAATTTCGAATGTTAAATCGAAGGAAAAAAGCACCGGCCTCTTCCAAGTGTCAACTCAAGCATCCAAGCCCAAAGTACAAAGTACGCAGCGATTATTTACAAATGAATTCGTCTTCGCCGGTTTAGATTGATGATAAACCCCTCTCTTCTTCTTCTCCCCACATCAATAAAAACAACCGGCTTACATCCCAACTACTGATACTTTTCACCACAAGAATGTTAATTACTAATCGAATAAATTCCTCTGTTATTTTTCTCTACTCTCATTCTCTTTTCACTTTCTTTTGCCGTTTATCTTGTGTTTACACTCAAGCTATCGCATTTTCCTTCGTAGGTCCTCGTGTCGACCGCTGACTTTATTTTTATTCCGTTATTTATCCCAATGTAATTATGTATTCACGGAAAAGTCTGTCAAGTACATTAGATAATTAACTAAAATAATTCATTATAATTGATATTCACGTACCTTTTGCAGAATTGTGGAGTAGATGCCTGAATTTCAATTACTGAATAGGTATTTATTATTGGGGGATAAATTTTATTATCTTCGACATGTATTTTTGCATTTTAACTCTGTTTTTAGGTGATGAGAGATGATTTAGTCAGTTGATATATATGATTTAGCCCCTGGTATATCCAACGATGACCACCGATGATCACTGACTACTGTGGCGATAGTCTCTTCAGGGGCTCCGTGTAACAGACATGCACGTACATTTTGCAATGGTGGCTGGTTAGGGGAAGAGAGAGAATAGAAGACACAACTGTCGGTTTTGCAATACCGAACTGTTCACCAACTGCTCTGTACGCGGACCTTTGGTCAATACCGATATCAATCAATTGACGCGTTCATGGCCACGCGGTATGGGATTTTCTATTATCTTTCATATTTTGTATTATTGTTTTGAAACTCAGTCCTGTGATTATCAAACATTTCGCACCTTGCACGATTCCTATAACTTTTCTATATTAATTCATTTCTTAAAGTATCATTGTCCGAACATTAATCTTTTGGGTATTTAATTTCATATTGTTATTTAATTTGTTTAAAATACAAGTTCGTGAAAGGTCATGGAGAATTAGCGCTTTAGCGCTGACAATTGATCATATAATATAATTGAATTGAAGTTACCCCATTTTTTTACGATTGGAATTATTTCTGAGGTGACCGATTTCTTTGGGATTCTTTGACAATTGACACACGAGTTTGACCGAATTATTTCGTCGTATTATACCTCCCGAAGAAGCCCAATAGTCGTATTCTGCGCAGGTGTATAGGGCGGCGTGTATACCCCAGTGGCCCGTCGTTACCTTTCTTATTAACATCTCCAGGAAAGTTTTCAGTCACGCTAAGGATTGCCACCAGGTATTAGTCCAAGTGGGATTATTGTCACTGAAGTTGACGCGGGTTAAAGGACGACAGCAAAGATATCCTCGTCGTCATTTACTCCAAGTCTTTCAGCATTTCGTCAGGACGATGCAATGGGCGAAGGGAGGCGGGAACGCTCGTCAAAAAGGTAAATTAATCTTTATATTGTATAAATTATAATTATTCACGCGATATAGTATTGATGTAGAGTAATTTGGTGTCCGGTCACACTGTTCAAATCATTTTTACCATTCAGATGCGCTCCAATGGGGTCTGTTCAGATTAACTCATTGAGGATTTAGTAGAACAATTAAATTATTTAATTGAAATTTGAAAAAAAAAAATGGAGATGCCGGGGATCGAACCCGGGGCCTTTCACATGCAAAGCGAACGCTCTACCACTGAGCTACATCCCCGATGTATATAAGTTGCTGTAAAAAAATTTCGAAGTCTTAGCCTGACTGTCTTCTCACAGCATGCTTGTAACCACTTCTCCATCTCCCGAACTATTCATCTAAATTTAATATTTTACCCGAGAAATTAGACTTCTGAGAAGGGGGTGGGGTGGGAGGGATGGGGTGATCGACGGAGGGGAATCAATTGTGAATTCGCACATTCATCATCTTTTAATTAGATGGAAGGGAATTATAAGATCGAGGTCGCGTGATTTACTCGCGTTAATCGCGATTGTGATCGATTGCTTGCGCAAAACGAAATTTTGTGCCGAATTACTCACGGGTACCGTAAACAATCCGGTGACCTCGATTAGGAGAATTTTAGGGCGATGAGATAAAAAACGTACTCCTGGTTTTATTTTGATTTCGGTTTAGTGGAATAGTTTTCAGTGAAAGTAAGAAATCAGTGATGGGATTGATATAAGAGGATTGGACGACTCATTGGAATGAAATTAAATTGGAATTTATTATCAAATGTTGATCCTTCGGAGTTGGAGACCATAAAAAAAAAGTTATTACCAAATGTTGATCCTTCGGAGTTGGAGACCATAAAAAATAATATTTCAAGTCTCGAGAACGCGTTTATTAAACACGCAACATCGGAATAAATACTGTCGCTGTTTTTCACAAGTCGGAGGTTTGTCCTGTGCGTGAATACCGAGGGTAACGAACATCGCAACAGCCCTATGCAAATTTCGATTAAATCTGGGTCACGGGGTCGGCACTCAACCCCAATGAGAGCGATAGCCCTTCCACCAACACAACTCATGACGTGCGACGATTCCGTTATGCCAAGTTAAGCATCTGGCCCACGGAAACCAAGAGTCCAGGGTGAAGAAGAGTTCCTCACCTGTCTTCCGACGTTTCGGATTTATGATCAAATACTTCTCACCGATCAATTCATCAATATCTTCTTTATTTTTTTATCAGCAGCCGGGGAATGCGAACCCGCGCCTCCAAAGGGACTGGCCACACCCTCAACTCTTCCCTTTTCTTTTACAATTAATCATCAATTTATGAAGACTAATTTCACTCACGAAAGGTGAAAAAAAAAACGGCCATACCCCTAAATTCAGAATGTACACAGATAAAAAATCATTCACAACTAAAAAAAATCCGCACAAAATCTCCATTCGTTTGAATCGAAATCACTACTGCTCGCGTGACACAATTATTTCTGGTCCAGGTCGACCCTGAAGCGACATCGCCGTCAGCTGAATCTATACCACTGTGCAATTGCCTTCGTGCACGTGCACCGTTAAAGTTCGCTGTGATTTTCAGTGTTGTTCTCCTACTGTGAGCATTTTTTTCATATCCCGAGGTAGATCGATGCGTCTCGTCTGGGTCTCAACACTTTAGCTCATCTACGTTGAGGCACGTCGAGCCACACGTACCACCCTCTTCCTGTTCCTGCTTTCGCGAATCCCCCGAGCCATCCCCGCACCCCCTCTTCGTACTTCACCCCGGATCCCATCGATGTAAGCGAAATAGCTTGGGAGATTTCAGTTTAGGAGCGGCGATCGTCCTGACCTGACGCCTTACCTTAGAAAATTCTTTGATATAAAACAGGAATAAATCCTTTCACATTTTCTTGACATTTATTGTTTTTATTACTTTGATAAACTGGTTCTAGGCGAAGATCCCTATTCAGGAGTCCCCAAAAATCCTGTTCGGACTCCGAGGTAGCGCGCATAAAGTTCAAAGAGCGCAAAGGGAAGTCTAAGGATCAATTCCCATGGCCAAGTGTTTATCAGTTGACCGTTGATGAACTCGCGCGTTATCGACGCCGACGGGTGCCAAATCGGCCCGATACTCTGGGAGTCGACCACTATGAAGATGCTCTGGAGAGTTTGGTCACTGAGTACAGAAGGGCGTTTAGAGCTACCAGTGAGGATTCGCTAGTGAAGAGGAATATCGGGGACAGTGAAGTGGAAGCTGGTGATCTAGCCACGATCAAAGCTAATGGTGGACCTATGGAGACTGATAATGATGCCTCGGCTTTACCTGGGCATGTTTCCACCCGTCCACCACTTATCAGAAAGTGAGACTCAACACTGAAATAATTTTAAATAATTCAAATGTGAAATCTAGACGATTCAGTATTATTTTGCACTATCACATTTTTATTACTGGAATCGTTATCGTAAAAGTGATGATTGATTATTAAAATCAGTTTGGATTAATTGAAGAATTGTTTGTTTTAACGTTTGGCGTGTTCAGGGGCACCAGTTTGAAGACTGGTGGCAATTTTTATTCTGCCACTGAGTATTCGAACTACAGAACGTACGAGGGCTTGCATCGTCCTGAATTGGCCCGAAGACCTACCTCACTTCGAATGGAAGGTGACATGCGAACTGTCACGGAACAGTGTGAGAAATTCATCGAGTGGTTTAACGTCAGTCGACCCGATCTCGTTCGCGTGCCGACGCATCTGAAGCTCGAGGGTCAACAGGAAACATCCACAGAGAGTCATGAACAATATGTGCCATTCGTTGGTGCCAGGAGGCCCGAAATTCTTCGACAGGGTGCGCATTTGAAACTCGAGGGTGAAACTACTTATTTGCCGGAATACACTGACGTTTTTCGTCAACCGATTCATCAAGGTAATTCGTCAATTAAAATTCGTTTGAGAATTCATCTGAAAGATATCAATAATTAGTTAATGAGTTGCTATTCCTCTCGATTATCCAGAAAAACGATCGCCACTGCTTCCAGAAACTCACCTGAAGTCCGGAGGTAATTTTTCCCAAGCCACTGAAAACACTCAGCAATTCGTCGATCCCCGAGGCACAGTCGTTCCTCCTAACGACAACGATGAGTCCATCGAGGACCTCCTGGAGCTCGATAACCATCATAAAAAGGAGGAGGACATGAATCTCCTTGTCTCAAAGCTCTCCGACCTCAAACACCCACCCATGGAGACACCAGAGTACAAAGACGCCTATCGCGACTTCCCCAGGGAGCGTCCCAAACTCTTGAAACCTGAAGATGAGATAGGTCGAGCGGATGGTTCTAAAGTTCATCCATCCTCCGGTTCCGCTACATTTCGCACAAAAATAGATCAAGATCCAGAGTACAAATCGAAATATATAGACCCTGACCGTCCAATTTACAGGAAACCGCCGATTTCAATGCGCCATCCAATTGGTTCTTCTGGCTTTGACAGGCGTCTAGTTCCAGATTTACGTTCCCACACATCCACCAGTGAGGTGAGGGCTCAGTATGTCCCCCATGGACACGTTCCCAAGGTTGAGTCACTCCGGATGCCGCCGACCCTTCGTCCTGAGGGACACATGAATCTCCAGCCAGAGTATCGAGATGCCTATTGCAGGAGAGGAAGTCGAATCAATGATCCCACACATCAGGCCACTAGGCGAAAATCCAATAATTGGTTGAATAATGATAACAGCGAACAGTTTGGATCGGTCAATGCTCAAAATGATCAGGACGCTTTTCAGGTAAAAATTTATCGTAACTTATGATTTTATAACGGACGATTAAGCTCGCATGTGGAATCATTATGAAATTTTCATGGTTTACTTATACCCACCGTTTCGTACCTCAATTATCGACATTTTTGTCTGGCAAGGTCAGGCACTAGGTGAGTGTTTACTTTCGATTTCGATGAAACTTTCTTGAATTTGGCGGAGGAAGACAGAAGGAGAGAGAAGGATAATATATATTATTCTTTCATTTTCTGTTTTTTATATATATTTTTAGGTGCTTCAAACTCGAGTCCACGAGGAGAACGTAGTGGGGAAGCCTCCGATGGTGAGGAGGAGCTCTCGTGCCTCTCAGGGTCAACGACCCTCCATCGCTGATGTTAATCCTCAACTTCTGACGAATCGATCGCCGAGTCCAACGTATCGTCTTCATGTTCATAATGTTGATGATGAGCCCAGGGGATTTGCTCGTCGACGAAGGACGTCCTCCATTCGTCAGACTGGTAATAGTCCATCGCCAGACAGGGCTACTTTCGAGGACAATCAGAGGTCCTATTCACCAAGTTTTGGGAAGGAACGTCAGAGTGACGAGGCACAAGCTTTTGTTGTACTCGATAATGCTAATGTCCATGGTAATGACAGTAGACGTCGACGTCTTGATAGAAATTCAAATTTCGAGACCCTGGGGGAACGGAGAAAGAGAACTCCACCAAATTGGATGCCTCCGTGGTACGATAATGCGAGTACTATTTGATGTGATTAAATCGATAATCGATAATTACACTGCCGAGTTATTTTGGGTATAGTATTTATGTTTCTTGAAAAAAAATCGGTGTGTAGGAGATTGGGCAGTACACGTTTGGTGTGGATAGTAGTCTATACCCTTGAAGCCTTTCCGTTGTTGAAGGTTTATCGATATAGTTTAATTCACTGGTTATGAAAAAACAATATTGTGAATTTTTTACGTCAACTTCAAATGCCAACTGGCGGATTATAATTTTTTTTTGTCCCCAGGTCATTGTGAAATTGTTTATTCAATAAACTCTGATGAATTGATTAATATGAGTGATTATTTTTCGGAGTATATGTATAAATTGTGAATTTTTGGTCTTCTGTCGTTCTAAATATTTCTCTGGGGGAAGAAAATTCATGAGAAATTTCCAGTAAGTCAGTAAATATTTATAGATCGGATTATATAGGTAATGTCATATTCAAGATATATATTATATATCTCGCAGAAACTTGTGCGACATCTGGATTGAGTTTCAATAAATAGAACAAATTTACGGAGCTGTACAATTATTGATACCGAGTGACATTTCCAAGTTTTCGATTCTTTTGCAGTAAAAAGAATAATTTCTCAAATAATGGCTGATCCTGAGTTTGAGGCACTTCGTCAACAGCGATTGGCGGAATTGCAGTCACAAAACAGAGTAAAAATCTTCTAATTTATTAATTAGATACACCAAAATCCTCAGTTCTATTTTCGTTGATCATTAATATTCATTAATATTAATTATAAACACATAATACTCTATATTCCGTCATTATTAATTAATTACACATTGGGAATATGATTGTTTCACCAATAAATTTCCGGAATTACTTCAATATTGATCGTAGAGGCTGGCTGGAATTTGAGGTTATGTGAATGATTCATCTCGATAAGATCTAATGAATTAATTCAATTTTTATTGTTAAGAGAGGAAATAATGGAGATCAAGAGGCACAGCAAGAAAAACAGCGTCAGATTGAGGACATGAGGCATTCGATCCTGACACAAGTCCTGGATCAGTCAGCGAGAGCCAGATGTAAGATACTATCACTTATGATTGTCATACCTTTAAAAAATGCGTCTTTCAACTATGAAATTCTAATAGTGAACACATTATCCCTGGGAAAACCAGAAAAAGCCAAGATGGTGGAGGGGATGTTACTCAGTATGGCACAAAGAGGACAACTACCTGGAAAACTGGGGGAAAAGGAACTCATTGGTCTTCTAGAAAGTGTGAATCAACAAACCCAGAAGAAGACAACAGTCAAAGTATTTATTTTTCAAACACTCGAATGTCAAGTTAATTATTTGACAGTCCATTATTCATTCTCTATTTTTTTCAGTTTGATCGACGAAGAGCTGCACTGGATTCCGACGATGACGATTTGTAGCATTAAGTCTTCAATGAAAATGAGCAAAATGTAAGACTTGAAAAGCACGAAATGATTTCATAATGCCTACATTATAATTTCATCTGTTAAATTAAATTTTATTTACTCAATTCACGTCACAGATTACAGATCAATTAAGATACGAGTATTAAAACCACAAATCAATCTCTGCCTAATCACAAAATTTATACAGTGCTTCATTAAAATTCAAATGCTGTCGACAGCTTCTAGTCGTCGAAAACATATCTAATGACTCAGATGGAATGCCTCAATTCTCTCAATTACGAACAAATATGTTATATAAACACCTAAATAATTCACACCCATACATCTTCATGATTCTCTCAATGTCTTTCGAAGAAAAAAAAAATGCAACCAAACAATAATTAAAAGAAAGTAATGGCCATCAGTCGTAAAGTGGTATGCCAGTTCAAGTCAATATATTTTGTACCTCTGGAGTTATTTCTGCAGAGATTTAACATAAGATCTCCTACCACTCCTCTATATAATCCTCAGTATTGTCGATGAGATCGTTCAACGAATATCTCAGAGCCCCTCTTAGTCTTTCTTCATGTGACTGCTGTCTTCTTCCTCTTCCTCCTCCTCATCTCCAGCATCCAGAATATCGGGACAACAGACTCCATAACAAATCAATGAGAAAAACAGAGCTGGAAGTCCAAAAAGGACCATCGTCAATATAGGATTTCCCTTCCACATCGAAGCCAGAGTCGTTCTCATCTCGAACCACGACCTGTAAATCTGCACCAAGACACCATTACCCCCGTACCTCGGTGCAGTTTCATTTCTGATGTGTTCCAAAAACATTTCGATTACATGAGGATTTAATTTACTGGGGTCATCGTCAGGTATGTGATGATGACTCGTGCTTGTGTTAATGACAATTAAACTCGGTTTTGGCATCTCCATCATTGCAATGCTGTTCACTAACTCAGGATTGGCGATCCAACCGAACTGAAAGTGCTGGTGATATCTTTCTCGCTGTTTTTTTATTACAGACTCCACCATATCACGAAACTCCAGCATATCTGGAGCTACATCCTCCACTGCATTCTCCTCGACAACTGCCAGCACTAAATACTTATTCGTCAGGAATAATTGGTTTATGTTGCCTCTAGTGACTTTTGGAAACGTAGAGAAACGCTCTGCGTTCACCCAATTGTACACAGTGGCGTTGAGCTTGTCAAGATCACTGTGATTATATCCCCCAAAATTGTAATGAACATTTTCCTTGTAAACGAAGATCGAAGGGACCTTCTCAACTGGAGCATGCTTGTCCACCACTGCTGGATGGGATTGGTAGAAAAATGCGTGAGGCTGGAAAGCATCTGCTGTCTTGTGGTAAATATCCCAGAGGTGGCCCGATCGCTCCCCTACATATAAGAAGTATAAACCCTGGGTATCCTTTACCATGTCAAAACTCTCGGATTTTGTGATCTCTTGCACTGGAGGTCCTGTCAGACGGAGAGAGAATTTTACTATCTCCTCTCGGGTGCGATCACCATTGTACGTGAACTTGTGTTCACCCTTTAAACTGGAAAAATGAATTAATCTATTACGCATTTGATGGGTGGATTTGTTTTTTGAAATATGATTGTTGGTGGTCCTTACAATAAGATGGTCGGAAAGCCCCGGATTTTAAAATGTTGAGCAACGGCAGTAAATCTTGTGCAGTCAACTCGGCCAACTCGAATATTGCTTGCATAAAGATTTTGGGCAACGTGTGCCCAGATTGGATCTAGTCTTTTGCAGTGGGCACACCAAGGTGCATACATCTAATTTAAAAATTATTGCCTGTCAATAAATGTTATTAATTTACAAATTATTTAATTCTCACCATGACAAGCCATTGCCCCTCCTTGTGAATATCGAGAAACCTGTCACTCAGTTCAATTACCCTAGATGCTGCTGTATTAGCAAAAAATGCTATAAAAAAACAAATAATTATAATTAAACCTTCACAGAGTCTCACCAAAATGTTTAACAAAAGAGATAAAGAAATTACGTAAAATTGAGATAAATAAATCTAATTAAATTAATCTGTACACATATTTGTTTTTATTGATCGAAGAATTTGAGGTTAATGTAAATAACATTTCAATGATGATTTCGCATTATAAATCACAAAAAAGGAAAAAATGCGTGAAAAATACGGGATACAAGAATAATATTATTGTTTAACAGTTAACTCACCGCAAAAACAGTTGAAGAACACAATTTTGAGGACTGAGACCATTTCGTATGCACCGAATACGGAAAATAAATCTTATTCCTTTATTTAATTATACAAAAGCCACCTGACCAAACGTCATAAAATATTTATTGCATCCACGTAATCATTGTCTTACACCTCAGCGTTAATTTTTGATTAACAAACTGTCAAAAACACAGTGACACTCGAAATCCTGTTTTATGCATTTTTTCAGGGTGGACGCCATTACAGGAGGCGGTAACCATAATCACCCGGCAGTTTTTCAGATATTCAAACATTTATAGATGCTTCCATAGAAGTAAGGGATGCGGGTGAGAAATATACTATTTTCCAGGTATGTAATTTATTTATTGAAAATTGTAATGGCAATCATAGGCCCCAGGAATCTAAAAACCAATGCCTTTCTAAACAATAAAATCTATTTTAATTTGGGTACTTTGGTAATTTGGGTGATAATATAATCCTTTAGGGGAAAAAATTTAATGTCTCTCAGGTACGAAATCACTTGTACACGTCGACTTATTTGATCAGCAATTTGTTTGTAATTCGTTTCTCGTTTTATTCCGAATGGGGATGAACGCTGGATTTCTCCTCCTCTTCGACGTCCTCATCACTCACAACATTAGGACAACAGATAATATAAAAAATCAATGAGAAGAACAGAGTGGGAAGTCCCAAGAGGACAACAGTCAAAATAGCATTTGCTCTAAACATTCCGATGAGGGTAATCTTCAAATCGAACCACAATCTGTAAACTTGCACTAAAATACTGTTCCCTCCGTACTTTGGGGCAGTGCCATTCCTGATTTGCTCGAGGATAATTTCAATGGCATGAGAATCTAATGTTGATGGGTTGTCATCTGGTATGTGGTAATGAGAGGTGTTTGTATTTATCACGATTAAGCTAGGTCTCGGTATCTCCATCAGTGCAATGCTATTCACTAACTCAGAATTCACTGTCCAACCGAATTGAAAGTTGTCGTGATATTTTTCTCGTTTTTTCTGAATTACAGACTCAACAGCAGTACGTAATTCCAACATATCTGGATCTACATCTCCAAATTCATTTTCATCCACCACAGCCAGCACCAAGTACTTCTTCGTGAGGAATAATTGATTTATGGTACCTCGAGTCACCTCTGGAAACATGAGAAATCGCTCTCTATTCACCCAATTATAAAATGTGCTGTTCAGTTTATCGGGATCGTCTTCATTATCTCCTGTAAATTTGTAATTAACATTTTCCTTGTAAACGAGGATTGAGGGGACTTTCGTGAATTGTTGGTGAGTATCTACCAATGTTTCATTAACTTGGTAAAAAAATGTGAAGGGCTGGAAGACCTCGGCTGTTCGGTGGTAAATATCCCAGAGATCACCGGATCTCTCCCCAACGTATAAGAAGTAGAGATCCAGGAAGTTTTGGATTTTATTGAAATTCTCGGTTCTTGTGATCTCCTGCACTGGAGGACTGTTGAGGCGTACAGCGAATTTAACGATTTCCTTGTGGCTCCGATCGCCGGTGTAAATCGTTGTTTTTCCTCCTTTTGTACTGTTCAACAATAAATAAATATTTCAAAGGCAATGAAAAAATATTTTCTCCAACAATCCATTTATTTGAGGGAAGTATATGTATTTTTTAACTACTGGGGCAATTTTATATACTCACAATAAAATTGTGGGGAATCCTCGGACTTCAAATTGTTGAGCAACATTAGTGTACTTTGTGCAATCCAATTTTCCAACTTGAATGGAAGTTGCTGCAAGATTTTGGGCGGCATGAGCCCAAATTGGCTGCAGTCTCTGGCAGTGGGAGCACCAAGGGGCGTACATCTATTAAAACAATTATTCCATTAGTACCCTGTGATATTAATAAATTCAATAATTTTTACCATCACAAGCCATTGCCCCTCTTTGTAGATATCAAGGAACTTGTCATTGAGTTCAATCACATCTGCTGTCGCCGCACTCATAAAAAGTCCTGTAAACAATTATCAATGTTAATTAACATTCATGTATTCGTATAAAATGTATAGAATTGTTTATTATTTTTTAACTCACCGCAACTGCAGCTTAATAACACAATTGTGTGAAATCCAATCATTTTTTATGTTGAGAAGTTTTGAAAAAAAATTGAATATCCAAGAAATAATTTTTGATTATCAAATTTTCACACACTATTTTTCACCCCTCATGAGCATTCCACCGAGGGGGTGGACGCCATTACAGAGGGGGTTAACTACCCTCCCTCTGTGGCGGTATTTCAATATTTTTTCAAAAACATGAATAATATATTTTTCAAAATGTAGCATCTAGAATTTCATTAGAATTGTAACCGTCAATAATGCAGACACAATTTCAATTTTAAAAAATATTTATTCTATCAATTATATCATTAAATCGTAATTAAACTTAAGAGTTACTCAACGTGTTCCGCCATTGCGAATATTGAAAATCCCGACAACATGGCGGATGTCTAAAAAATAATTTCATTTCAAGAATTGAAGAGAATGTTTATTCAACTTCACACCATCAATATAATTTAACAACAAATTGAAGAACTCCACGATCAACAATTTCCATTATCAATTATTATTTGTTAATGATTAATTATTTTTCTCATTCTCCACAACAAAAGTGGCATCACTCCTCACAGAGCTCTCGCTTTCCACTCTCCTTTCCTCTGGATTTTCAATCTCAACCAGATAAGTCCCTCCACTCTCTCCACTACTCTCTTCATGTTTATCCCTTTCCAGTGTGCGCTTATCAGATCTGTAATTGATAAAATCCCATGATTCCCGGTCACTTCTTCCTCTGGAATTAACAACGCCATCCGAAAAAGCCGTCCTAACTTCCTCCTCTGCTTTCCTAGACATCGTTTCAACTGGAGCACTCTTCAATTTTCGTTTCTCATAACTACGTCCCTTAACACTCATCATCTCGAATATTTCACTGGACTTAGATTCTTGATCATCGAAAGTCGAGAACAACGGAGGAACGAACGGCATGACCCTAGGAGCCTCATCCCCAGGAGTGTTCACTTCATTCGCCTCGACATCGTAATTCAACCTAGAATTATTCGACAGGATTCGATCAATCTTCGCGATAATATTCGTCAACCTATTAGCACTCTTAGTCTTCAATTCTCCTTCAGTCTCATTAAACATCTTCAGCCTCTTCCTCAAGTCCTCACGACTTCCACAACCCACATCCCTTCCAGTCCCCGAAGATTCTGCCGTCATCGGATAACTCTTCTGAGACCTCACAGCCCCCACCGAAAATCTCCTACCAGAATTTCCTTTATTCCCAGCCACTGAAGTAGATTTAACGGATCCATCAGGATCTCCACTCAAAATCTTCAACCCGACCCCTTCCCCACTAGAATTCTTATCAAACTTGAGGACAACAGCACCAGAAGGCGCCCCAAATGTCGAATAAACGAGTACATGATCATAAGGATGATAATCCACACATGTGACAGGTACATTCTTCGGTTGAGTCTGATAAACAGCAATTTTCTTTCCTGATTCAACACTCCAGATATTAAGAACCCCATCCTCACCGCCACAAAGTACAAGTCCTCCACATGGAGATATCTTAGCAGCTGTTTGAATCCTGAGATTCTTCAGGCCATCGTATTTCTGCAATACAACACCAGTAGCAAGATCCAACATCCTCAGTGAATTATTCCTGGAGTGAACCAACAGGCGAGAGCCTAGAGGATGCAGAGCAATAGTGTTGATAGGAACCCCTTCAATTTCTTTTATTTTAATTCTCCTAGAGATCGTCCAGTCTTTATTCGCATTCCTTCGGCTCTTCCGAATAGTCCAGTGGATGATTACTCCAACGCTATCAGCAGTCAGCAACATCTCGTTCTTCTGGAAGCAGATGGAATTGACGAAGCCCTCGTGTCCCTCGAGCTCTTGAAGAAGCTCGTAGGATGACGAGGATTTTCCCCAGATTCGGATGAAGTGGTCGTAACAACCTGTTGCAATTGTCTGAAGATCTGGGGACGGATTGAATTTACCGGAGTAGATGTAAGAGGGATGAGGAAGCATGAAGATGTGATGGACTAGTCGATTTTTAACGTCCCAGACACGAGCGGTTTGGTCTGATGAGACTGATAAGAGATAATCATCATTCTGGGACCAATCCAGGGAGTAGACGAAGCTCTTGTGACCGGTGAATCTCGCGAAGACTTTCATCTCATCGATTTTATGGATAACAATCGGGTAGTCGTACTCTTCGGAGATAACGCACGCCAGGTACATTCCGTTGTTGCTGATCAGGATGTAGAAGCATCCGTTCTCACCAGTTTCGGTTGTAAAATACTGGTCATTGGGAATTTTGCAGGATTGAGCTGCTAGTCGGCTCCATTTTGGCAGGTGAACGGGCTCGGGAGTGGGAGAAGATTTTTTCACCGATGGAGATGACGGCAGATCGTTTATCAGGAGTTGATCGTAAAAAACAGGTTCTATATTCGGTGGTGAGACTGATGTTATCGTGATGTATAAGGAACTCGGGTATTTTTCACGGGCCACGGACTTCCACCATCCGAACACCTGAAATAAATTTATAAACAAATTATTTACCATTAAGAACCTTGAAGAAATGGCAATTACTATTATTAATGGATATATGTTTGGTACAGATTTTTTTGTGGTGATGAATTGTTGAAAATTATTCATTTACCTCGCACTTGTGTCTCATCACTTTTCGCACAAGTCTCTTCGGCTTATACAGTTGCAGTCTTAATTGTTTATTTAAATGACACCTCCCCTCCTTTCCGATCGGTTTCAGAAAAGCCCAGGCAATTTTATACCAGCAATTCTCTGCCCCGAATTGCTCGTAGCTCTGACTGGCTTCAGCAAAACTGAGCAAATCCACTATTTCAAACAAAATCAGCACTTGATCCTCATCAGTGCCCATCAGAGTCTCGAAATTTATTTCAAATATCAATTCTTCATCCCAATATGGCACCATCGACTTGTTCTCTTTGAAATCGAAGGTCCCAGTGATTAATGGCTGGAGGTAAAGCCCTCCGGTCCCCTCAGGCCCTTCTAATTTCAAATAATCTCCGGTACTCGTGTTTACGATATGAACAATTACCATGGGATGTCTAGTTACGTAATCAGGCTCTAGCATATCTGCTTTATGAATTTTTACAGATGTAAATTTAAATTCCTTCCTTTTCTTCTTCTTCTTTGGCTTTCTGGATTTTTCCTTTTTGGAGAGAACTGTATTTTCTGAATCTAGAGTTGAGGATGAGGTCTCTCTCTTTCCTTTTATTTTCGATATTTTTGGAGTGACATCCGGATCTTCTGAAGAGATTTTCTCTTCTTTTTCTACTGTCTCTAGTTGTTTTCTTCGTGCAGGTCTCCTCGATCGCGAAAGATCGGATGAGCGCTCGGAGTCTTCAGTCTGATTGTCATTATTAATTGACTCAATCGATTTTTTATCGTTCTTTTTAGTTCTCAATCTGCTTCTCGATTTGACTTTTCTTTGTCGATTTATCGATGAGACACTGTCTTCAGAGTGATCGATCGATGGACTCTCCGATGCAAACGATTTCACTTTTTTCGGCACTCGTTCAATGTCTTCAGACTTAGAGCCTCGAGGCTGTGACTTCCTGTCGGCTTTCGGGGATTTCCCGATTCCCGGGGAATTTAAAATCTGCGCAGAGGAGTCTAATGAATCGGTTGTATTTTCCACCGATCGCATCTCGATTTCTGTTCGCTCTGAGACTCCGTGACTCGTTTCAATCCTCAGGATTTCATCGACTTCGTGATCTGACTCGAAGGCGGCATTATCGACTCCCAGGTCGGAATCCTCTTCTTGAAGATTCACAATTTTGTTCATTCTAGGGGCTGGAACTGGAACCACCGTGTCTTCGTCGTTCAGAGATCTCCAGGAAGTACTTCGGGCTGATGTCGATGATAAAGAAGTTCTTGAAGGCAACTTTATGACACTAGCTTCTTTAGACCATCGTTTCCTCTGTTTTTTAACCGAATCCCCTGAATTATCGAATGAAGTTCGTTCATGCACTTTTAAATTTTCCTGATTGGACGTTTTCTCTAATTCTGTTTCGGATAAACTCTCGATCGTCTCTCGCCCGTTCCCATCACCCCGGTTTTTATCACTATTGTTAACATTTTCACAATGAATATCAACAACAACATCCATCGAATTCGGCTCTAATTCATTCGAACGAACATGTCGAGATCTTTTTAATTGGCGCAATCTGCGAGTCGCTGATACCGATTTCTCCATTTTCTCGTCGGATAGATCCGATATTTTATCGATTTTCACCAGATTTGTTTGGGAGCCAGTATCAAGGTCTGATGAGATGTCTGAGCTATCGAAAACCTCGGATTTCCCGGTGGATTTTCCAATCTTTCTCGAAGGAGAAGAGACACTTTCGTTTTTTCGTTCTTCCTCAATATCCGACTCGAGTGATTTTAGCTGTTGTCCTGTTTGACTTGAGGTGTTCGAATCTTTTTTAAAAGCTGCACGAAACATACGCTCCATTTTGTTACTGAATTCACCGAGTTTACCTCGTCGATTAGAATCATCATCTTCACTGGGATTTCGAGATTTTCGTGACATGATGGGGGGATGACTGAGAAACTATTAAAATTTCATTAGAATATATTTTTGGGTGTGTTTATACTTGAGAGAGGGTTTAGGCACTGCCTGTTCGTATTCCTGATACCGCCAGGTGTTCACCACCACTCCTCCACAGTACTACGACTCCATGACAACGTCGATCGATATTTCCATGACATCAAGATCCTAACTTAGTGTGAACCGAGCCAATAAAAATATAAACAACTACAATACTCGATTTTTTTTATTAAAAATTTAATTAAAGTAATTAAATTTTAATTTTTTTAATTAAATTTTAATTTAATTAAACTCCATTTGATAAATTTGACGGAGTAATTCCGTTCTGCAAGTGATTGTTGTTAACTTCGTTATCATCGATCACGGCTTGCCTAGTCACTTCCTGAAATTGTCGATTAAAAAAAACAAGAGTAAGAAAAGAATTGGGGAAAGGGGGAGCTGATAGAAATTCATGAGAAATTACAGCTTCAATTGCAGACTCATATTCTTGTTCGCATTGTTTAATTAATGGATCCGTTGACTTGGGTCTCGCAGATTCTCTCCGTGATCTTCCATCGGGGCCATCTCCATCGGCATCAACACGAGTCGCTCGCATTTTCAATCGAATCTCCCGATTTTTAGCTTCTATCACTTTTTCACGACGAGTTTCTCTGTCCAGTAGCTGAAAATCCGGAATTAGAGAGTCAGATCGATTGAATTAATTCGTTTGCAAATGATCAGAGGAATTACCGCAGTAAGAAGAAGCTTGTCGTTCTTCCCATTGACAGTAAGTGCTTCTGAAAATTCCAATAAATATGTTGTTCCATTTTTTCCAGCTACTGCGGCTAAGTGGCCGTGCTCGTGGGGTTTTATGCATGTCAAGGCTTCATCGCAGACTTTTATGCTCAATGCTGGGGAGTCCTGCTGCACTAGGAGATCCCAAACGTCCAGGGTGCCGTCCATTTTTGTGAGGAAAAATACTGAAAAGCGAGTTGGACTCCATACACCACTCGTCAGCATTTCCCGATGACCCCTTTCATAAATAAATTGTATCAGTAATATCCAATCAGAATATCGTCATTACTATTTAATTTAAGGGCCGGATGGAGTCTCTCGGAAAAATAATTTACTCCAAAATTGGGATTCCTAATTACTCTGCCAATTAATTGTTTTTTCCGATAATTGTTAGCTAGCGTTCTAGCCGTTAACAACCGCTAGAACGCTAGCTAACAATTATTGATAAAAAAAGATTAATTGCCAGAGTAATTAGGAATCCCAATTTTGGAGTAAATTATCTTTTCCAGATAATCCAACCGGTCCTTAAAGAGTGGATTCATAAAAAATTGATATCTTCTGTTCTGTTCCTGGATTAATGAAAGTAAATGACAGCCTGAATAATTACGGGGTCCAGGTGATACAAGCCTCTCGACAATCCTCAGACCACACTCGAGCTGTCCAATCTCCAACCGTGAGAAAATTCTTAACAAACGTAGGATTTCGCTCTACACTAATTACCGGGCCATACTGTGCTCTAAATCTCGTTGCTATTTTTTCTCCTGGTGTTTTTCCCTTTCTGTTACCCGATATCACCATTCCTTCAGGCCCCAAAAGAGAAAAATAACAGAAAACCGGATGAGTAAATGTACATCTTGAAATTATTAATCCAATTATTAAAATTATCGAATTAATTTCAGAGGAAAGATCAATGAAATTAATTAAATTCAGGATTAAATTGAGGTGTCACCGTTTTCTAAGCCACACATGAAACGAGTCCCAATGGACGATTCGAATTGCAGAGCTGAAATTCCTGTGGCACGATCTATGTTCTGCTCCTCTGGTTTAACTAAATCAATGACTAATGATTCTATTGGTGCTTGAAGCTTTCTAGTATCCCACCACTTGATCTGACCGTCTCGGGATGCACTGAAGAATTCAGTTCCAGTTTTCGAATTAATCCACAAGGCTTTGTCGCATGGATCCCGGTGGCTATTCTCTGGGAGGCTCATTTCGACGGGTTCAACACCTCTTCGGATGTCCCAACTTGCTACTTGACCTGACATCAAACCACTCACCAAGATATTGCTGTCCTTGGGGCTGTAATCCATCGTCACTATTGGAAATGAGGGTCTCAGAGTGATAAATGGTGTATTCGGGTTGTCTGGAATTTAAATAATTCTCAATGCTCTTCTGAAAAATAATAAACATTGAGATATTTACCAACGTCCCAGATATATGAATTGCAGCTAAAAATTTTTGATTTTCTGAACTCTGTGTCGCAATAACTGACGGCTAATCGATTTCCCTGATCGGGTGACCAAGAAAGATGAGTGATTGGTCTCTTCAGGGGTACGATGTCCCGATAAACATTCACTGTTCTTGAAAATGTTCTTTGAATCAGTGGTGTAATCTCCTCGTCTTGGAAGTACTGCTCGTAAATATTACAGGCGTTGTTCTGAAGAATCGTGTGCTCCATGGGCTTCATAAAAAATACCAAAAAATTTCAATTCGATAAAATAAATCAACCGATAATCAATCGGTTTTTAATTATATTTGATTTTTAAGGGGATCGTTACTGGAAGTAATTGCAACATTGTGTGAATGTAAAGCTCGTCTTTTTCGACTTTCCTTCGATAACGAACAGTTTGCTCCAGATCATGCATGTTGATATCCTTGGGCCATCCACCCTCCACATGGTGCTGTCCAGATTCTTTAAAGGTAGCAGTTGTCGTATTTACCTAATTATCATACGTTATATAATGCCCATGTAATTATAGGTAAAATAATTATAAGTGGAAACATTACGGAATTATTGGTAAAAAAAGGACTTTGGGATTATATTGAGAGATTTCTCGTTCGTTATATTAAATCCCATGAAATACCTCGTGTACTGCAAATTTTCTACTGAATTGCGTCTCCTGGGTGACAGGATCGAGCCTTATATATTCCTTCATGAAATTAGGTTCACTCTTAACATCCACTTCGATCTTATCGTGCTCAGAAAAATTACACCATTTACCAAATAGCGAACGAGTTTTACTGTACACGTGTTCGCAGTCCATTTTGTTATTGTATGGTTGTCTGGATTTATGTTTTTATTCTGTACTTCTGTTTTACATGTGAAAATACAAGTGATCATTGAGTCAATATCGATGCCAATGGCAACGGGTCAACAAAGCTGCATTTTTTATTCGCAAGGACTGGATCTGCTGATTGGAACTACTTGCTGATTGTTATCGTTTTTAATGTTTATCTATTTTTTCCGAGATGTATGTATGTACTAGAAAATTATCATATGAAAAATTAATCAATCCCAAATGAAAATTTGAGATTTGCCGATTTCAGTGATTTTATTGCTATCATAATTATTTTAGACTATTTTAAGAATCAATTGTTATAGAAATATTTATCAACATTTTCTTGAATGGAATTCCTTGTCAATTTGCGGGCGCCTGAATGTCTAGTCGATCTGCGCATGTCTGAAAATTCTTTTTGGATTGTTACATGTGATTGTTCGGATCGAGGTACACTATAATAAATTTCTGTTATTAACTATTAATTTATTATGAAAGAAAAATTGATCTATTTGAATTTGCAAAATGATTTTTACATTATTTGCAGATCATAAAAGTTGGCCTTTGAAATCGATAATTTTTTATGCAGTCGTTGCAATCACGATTGCCCGTACGTGAAGTCTACGTCATTTTCCACGTGACGTGATATATTCAGTGGATAATAATAATATTTCGCAAAATCAGAAACAGACGCCAGAATATCTACGACTGTAGTTCACAAGGATAGTAAAATCGAACGATATTTTAATTTCTACGAGTTTAGTAAGAAGAATTCTGATTTTTAATCGCGAAATGGAGGAAATTGCGGCGGCACTGCGTGAACTGGTGCAGACAAATCGACAAATTGTGCAACAGAATCAATTAATTGTGGAAAAATTAAGTGGAATTCAGACCGACTTGGCAAGTGATAGAGAGGAGCGCCTCGCAAGGAAGCAATTTAAGGCCAAGGTTTGACAATTATTCCTCAGATAAAATTCTTTAAAGATCGAATCATCTGGATATTCCATCGAATATCTCTTTAAAAATCGAATCGTCTGGATATCAAATCAGAATATTGATAAAAAATTCGAGCGCGATAGAATTACGATTACTTATTCGAAATGAAAAATTTCTGTCGGGATTATTTTTTATCGCACATGTCCATTAAATTATTTTCTATTTAAATATCTCCCAATGGAATTCCACCATTCACCGTCACGTGATGTACGATCTACAAATTTCCAACAGGAAATTTTAAATATTATAATAAAAATTACGGAGATTATGTTCGCTTACCGATTACGGAAGTGATCAAATTTATGTGGTGATAATAACTAATTAATTTCGAGTAATTTCAGTGTTTTTCATTTTTTCGAGTGGTTATCTAAAATATATTGATGCAGGCATTCAGAGAAATGGATATCCAGTACATTATGAAGCACAAGAGCGTGGGTGCTGCAAAAGCTGCTGAAAGATTAGAGGAGCATGGGTACGACGTTGCCAAGGCCGTCAGAGTAAATGAATACAATAAATTTAATTAACAATACTTTATTAGAAAAAATAATGCATTTATCTTTATGATATGTTTAGAGATGGGGAGGACACAGTGAAGTCGGATTAGAACGTGTTCTTATACATTACGAAAAGAAGAAGAATCGAGCAGCCATTGAAATGTGGTGAAAGTTTTTTTACACCGAGAACTTCGGAAATTTTCAATGTTCCATGTGCCTCTGTAATATTTCAATTTTCCAAAACTAATTAAGATTAACGGTCTCTAAACAATCATAACTATACGCTCACTGGATTTAGCTGCAATATTTTTTTATATCTCAATTGAGCCGATCAGTTCAGGGGAAAATAAATGTGAACACAAGTCTTCTAATCCATATATTTTGGTCTTCACTGAATTAATCATCTGTGCGCACAAGGACCGGGGATTTAGGATTCAGCACTTGAGCAATGGTAAATATCATTTTATATAAATTGAGATATTCCTCAGAAGATGGGTTTAATGTTTTCATGAGGGGGACTGCAGTTAAAACCAATAAGTCGTTTAAATCCCTTTGATAAAGTACTTGTTGCAGTCGTTGGCTCGTCGCGAATAATGATAACAATTCCTTCTTATTGAAGTATTGAATGGCTAATGATCTAGTGAATATAGAAAAATACGCGTAACTATTCTCATTCCAGATTCCATTGTGCAACCACCCGTTAGGAGAAGACTCTTCGATTTTAGAAATATTAGCACCTGATCTTCGAGTTCTCAACGTATCATATTTTTTAGTACTACAAATTTTGCTTAAATCATCCAATTCGAAGTACTTCTTCTTCAGAGACGCCGAATTCTCAGGAGTTTCATGCAGATCTCGATATAATTCTCCAAATCCTTTGATTAATTTGACATGATTATTAGAAGCAAGAGATTCTGATTGATTTGTATGCTGAAATGAAAAATGAAAATTAATTGGAATGAAAGAATATTTTTAACAGATATCTTATAGAAAAAATCGGGGAAGAAATTGACTCACGAATAACTCCAAATCATTTAGGAATTTATTCACTCCTTTTTTCCTCTGGTTGTCATTCTGTTTGTTAACGTAAGAATTATAAATTTTTAATGGCTTTAGTAACTCTTCGGGGACTCCGAAGTGATTTAGGGCCTCCATCACGTCCATCGTTACTAGTTTCTTCTTTGTAACAACCCTTTCTTGATTATCACCATGGACTCGACAATTTTTACTTGGTGACTCTAAAGAAGGTGATGATGCGCTGTTTGATGACTCCAGAGAGAATTTCTTGATGAGATTGTCTAGCTCTGTGACTGATGGATACCTAGATTTAGTCCTCAAATTATTTTTGCTACTCCCTGCACTCCTCAGGTCGTTATTGGATTTTGAATTTTTAGAACTCATGTTTCGAACACTCATTTTGTTTCTGGCGATAAAATTTTTTGATTTGGCTTCATTGTCAATCTCCTTTTCTTTCATAATTTTTGATTTTGATTTGAGATTATTTGTTGAATATATTTGTTGCAGGGTGGGTTTCGAATTCTTTCGTTTGGCCTCTGCAGTTTTTAGAGACATGGCCTCTCGAAATCTCTGAGCTTGACCCAAAGCCTTTTCAATTGAACTAGCGATTTCTTCTGCCTGAGTGTTCGCATCCGGAATCTATCGTTGAAATATTTAAAATCATTATTTATTATCAATTAATATCCCCTCAATAAATAATTTTGAAAAAGTGGACTATTGATGTTAATGAAAATCATATTCATGGAACAAACGACTTGGAAGTTCTCTTGATACTTTCAGACAATATAACAACGAAATACTTTATCGAGACTCACTGGAGCACAAGTGCAACAGTTTTCATCAACTTCTTGAGTCACCAGACTCTCGACGATCCAAGGACGCAGAACAAAATTTGCGGCATCGCATTCGGCCTGTAATATTTTCCTGACATTTTCAGTTGATGTCACGGTAAATTCCATAAATTGCAGCAATAATAGCAAATTTCCCTCTCTGGTCCCTTTATCATCCCTTGATCCCTGTTTTAAGAAAAAACTTGATTAACTCATGGTACGTAAATAACAAATGCAGATTTTTTTATCGAAAACGTTGACCTTTCATTGATGATATAAATGATACAAAATGAAGGTAAAATATATCATATATTATGACGAATATATAATAAAGACTTAGTGATAGAATTTATTATTTCTTCTTAAAATCCGTATTTTTTTAATTTTCACAATTCGATTCTGTACTGGTGTTGATATAGCAAGTGTTCCACGAGGATATTAATCAGTCAAAATAAACACCAGGAGACAATGAACATTCCTTAGTAGAATTAAGTTCTCACATAACAACCATTGTTCCTCATATACATTTGATTTAATATCAAAATTTCTTTCAGCTCTCAATTTTGCGCCATGGAAATATATAAAACACTCTGAAATCACTTCTCTTCGTTCCGGAATGATTGTAATCGGGGAATTGACGGACACAATATTTCAAAGTGAAGGAAACTGTATATTTCTTTTATATAAAAATAAAAACCGCTTCCAACTTTTAGTGAATGAGTGATTTCGAGAAATAATGACATTCAATAAACTTTCTCATTGCCGAAATAATTTTGGAGATGCAACTAAAAAATTTGATAATTTATATTTGATAATTAAGTGATTACTAGTGACCGGACGGAAAAATGTCAAATAACCATTTTGACATGACATTTTTCCTCAAACTATTCATTGATAGAATAATCACGTAATTACTCGTCACTTTTCAATCGCACTTGATGTTTTCAAATATCCCTCCATTAATGCCTACATTTTTTATTCTCATGATAATCAATAATCTGGAATGATGCCCCGTGTAATGACTGAAACGATTTGACTACAAACATTGAGATATATTAATTGAAACTAACGACTTAAAAATCAGAGAAAATAATGAATGATATTATTAATGAATGAAGCTAGACTCGATTCGACAGTTTTCAGCTTTCGCTGGACGCTGAGTTCTCCCCGGGAAGAATACAATTGAATTTATTGAGATTGTGTGACTCTCCTGAGTCTTTCGAGTTTTGTGAGGGTGAATGCGGCACATATGGGACCAGGATGAGGTCTAAACCGGGTCGATTGTCGATATCAGAAACGAGGAGGTGTGCGTCGTTGTCGATGCTCTTAACGTTTTTTTTTCCATCCGCATTATTTTGTGCATCTTAACGACTTAAAGTTCGTCCTTTCTTGGCACGTCGTCATCCTCGTCCTCCTCTTGGGCCTCCTCAGCGGATTGGCCATAAGTACCATCAGACTCGACGAATTTGGTCAGACCTTCCAGTGTCCTCTCACCACTGTATTCAACAGCCTGAAAATAATTACATTCTCTTAGTGGGATGAAAAAAAAATAAATCAAGAATATCCAAGTATTTCAATCAGATATTTGCATCAAATTTTATACAACCTTTAATCAATGATAATTACCTCATTTGTGCCCTTCTTGTACAGAATAATAGTTGGGAAACTGTTGACCTTGACTTCCTCAAGTTCATTAGCAGTGGCATCCATCTTGGCAATGACAACATCATCGGTGTCCTTGAAGTTCTCTCCAAGCTAAAAAAAATAACAAACATTTTGTTAATCATATGTCAACAAGATGAACAATGTCTTATCGATATTAACCTTTTCATAAATTGGAATGAGCTGTTTGCAGTGACCACACCATGGTGCATAGAACTCAACGAGAACCTTCTTGTTTTTGTCCATGGCGACGTCAGCAAAATTGGTGCCAACGAGTACCTTGACAGGCTTGCTGTCCCAGTCCTCAGGAAGTGCCTCAGTCAAGAGATGCCTCTTGAGTTTACCATCGACAAATGCACTAACGAATTCGAGTACGTTATCAGCGCTGAGGTCAGGATTCTCAGGCTTGTATTTAGCCATGTCCTCCTCCAACTTGATGATCCTCATGCCAGGTGCGTCATCCTTCTTCAATCCGAAGAATTCCAGAATTCTCTCGTGGTCATTCTCATCGACATTGATGGTAACGAACAGAACTTCACCCCTGAATTTCTTAGCAGGCACCTTGATAGCCTCCACGTACTTGTCAAAGTGACCAGCCTCTTTGCTTATAAACAGAAGGAGATGACTCTTGATTTCACCGCCGAAGATTTTCTGCGCGGTGTCCTGGTTGAAGTCAACGATGAGTGGAAGAGAATTCTTGGCGATGAACTTCTGGAGATTTTCAGAGGATAGTTCACCCTCGAATACAGCTTTGCCCTCGTCAAAGTTCTTGAAAAGAATGACAGCTCCATCTTCAGCCTCGTATCCTCCAAAGATATCTTCGCTGCTCACGATACCGAAGACATAAGCGTCAACGGCATTTGCAACTTCCGTGTATGTTTTAGCTTTGTCAGACTCTGGGTCTTTGAAGAAACCGACGATTGCAACGGTGCTGGCTTCAGTGAAAGCTTTTACGTCGTCGGCTGTGGCCAAGGGTTTCGCTGCTGGTCCAGTCTTCTTGGTTACCCAGGAGATGATGTCGTCAGCCTGACGTCCACCCGTGTATTCAATCATCGAGCCTTTCCTGTAGAATTTCAGAGTGGGGTAACCACGGACTCCGTGTTTCTCAGCGAGCTCTGACTCGACAGTTGCATCCACTTTGGCAAGCTTCACGTCTGATCCTTGCTCTTTGAGCTTTTGAGCCGCCTTGGCGTACTCTGGGGCGAGAGCCTTGCAGTGTCCACACCATGGGGCATCTGTAAAAAAATTTCCAAATTTTTCTCTCCATTTATCTCGCAAGATTTCTCAACTCGATTGCTCAAAGAAGATGCCACGGATTTGAGGGAATGCCGAGAGAAGGCCACGTAATTAATTTATCTCTCTGGTTTCAGATAATTAGAGTGCAAAAGTGGAAGAGACGTTTATGTAATTGCTAAATCTGTTTTTGTTTCATATTTCTGTATATAATGCAATGTTATCAAGGCTTATCAATGCAAAACACATTTTGAATATATTTAACTGGTGAAAACGCCGTCTGAATAAATAATAAACCGTTTTTGTTGAATCAAGGTGATTCAATACTTTTTACATTTGTAAAAACATTTTTCATCGTCTGGATCAAATTGTGATGATTCCACCAAAAATTGTGTGATAGTGAAGAAATAGATATATTCAAAAGACTTCAGCATATGACGATTAAAAGATGAGATATGGAGGCTTCAAAATTCTGCTAGATGTGCCGACTTACAATTAGAGAAATAGAAAGTCAAGATGAATCATCACTGTACGCTTCTTCAGACTGTAGCAAATTCTATTACGGGTCAAATGGATTGTGATTGGATAAATTATGATAATCATTTTTAATATTTAAATAAATACCATAAATCTCTTATCTCCTAAAATTATCCGGTAATTATCTTGATAACGAATTGAATCCCCAGAAGCAGATCAATTATGTTTTTTGCTCGAGGTGATTTTTTTTTCATTCATTTTATCAATTTATCTTCAACAAGACACGTAAGGCTTCAAATATTATTCCCAGAATAATTACCCAATTGCAGATAACAGACAAAAAAATGTCTAACAAATATTCCTCGGAACTCTTCAACTTCACCCCAGAATTAAATAAAAATGATAAAATGTCGAATCGCGATTACTTAGTTGCGGTTTATCACTCCATTTTTGAAGTTATCTACGTCCACAACGTCACGTCAGAACTCTATGAAAAATACCTGACAAATTGCGGGATAAAATCGCCGAAAAACCGGTGAAGAATGCCGAACAATGCCCAATTATTTGTCAGCAACAAAAGAAAAAATAACAATCATTTCCGGATGGTGCGGAGCATTTCCTCCCGACCTCTCATGCATCAAGAAACCGGCCATATGGATTGACTGATAACACCACATCATCCTCTCAAAACTTACATAATTCCCGATAATAACCCAAGACATCAAAGACCCAAGTATTCCACAGGTGTTTTTCATCATCGAATTTATTGAACCCCATTGAATTAACTCACCCGATACAACAGAAGTAATAGCAAACGGTACTCCAAAGACCCCACGAGCCCAAAGTATCCCCGACAATCCCAAATAACCGTTAGAAATCCAGAAAAAACTCGACGACAAGAAACAAACATTTCCATCAAGTCATCTGTCTCATGATGACGTGTAACCCATCTCAATTCTGACTTAATCTTAACCGTATGTCAACTAACATCAGCCGGCACGTCAAAGTGCAACATTAAACGCCAAATTCAGCATGCAATAAACATGAAAAAAAAAATATACTCACAGAATTCGAAGAGAACATACTCGTTGTCCTTCAATACCTCATCGAAGTTGTCCTTCCCAACGACAAGTACCTCATCCTCTTTCTCAATCTCCGCCAAGGACAGTGCCAAACAGGAGAGTAAAATGAAAAGTCCGGTGACTCTCATTGTTGAATTACAATAAATTCAGTGGTTAAATGTATAAAATGGAGTTTACGTCCACTGAACTGGAGGTTCTTCTGGATTCGTTGGAGATGCACGAACGACGTCGAGAGAGCTAATGGTACGAGGTAGGACGCGTAGGAGAAAAATATTTCAGTCTTGGGGTGCAACGCGGTGTGGAAGTGTGGAAACGACAACGAGGCAATCGAGGCAATACAGACCAATACAGCAATATATAAGCTCACAGTGAGTATAACGCGTGGCAGAGTCGGCGTTGATCGTGGGAAGCCAGGATTGGTCGATAGGACACCCGGAGCCACTGGTGCTCCAATCCCTCCAATTCCTCCAACTGGACGAATCGTCTCTCATTCTGGTAATGGAGATTTTCATTCTTATCGACAGCTTTTTCTCTTCTGTCTCAATCGTCTCAATTTTATTTTTCTCTCTCTCTGCAATTTTTTTATTGTTTTCCATTTCAAATTTTTATTTGACCAACTAAATATTAACTGGAAATTCAGGAAATTCTGAAAAGTCAAGTAATTTTGGAGTCATTCCCTATTTATGTACTAATATTTACTAGTATTATGGAATTATCTTTTGACATTTACACCTGTATTGCCTCATTTTAATGATTGACTACAGAGAACGCGTAATAAATTGTTATCTATCAACTATTCATATCTGCTCCCTTTTTTCATTCTGACGTTAATCCACTAGATCAACTGACAGATAATAATTGTTTAGAGCGCGTTTAGTTTAAATGATTAATTATTAATTCGCGCGTGCATGAATTTAATTACAAAAATTTTAATGTAAAAATTTATTTGCATTGAGTTTTATCAGCTGTTCAACTCTCATTCTGAATTTTCTGTTTTTTTTGGAGAAGCAAGCGGTCGTGGGATTATTGTAATTTTGATGATGTATTTGGATTTGTTGAAGTATTGGACCTGGTGAGGCGGGAGTGAATCAGATAATTCAAATTCAGGGACACGTCAGGCCTCTTGATGATATTTGTGGTTTGCCCTTCGACGAGTTTTGGCATCGTCTGGGAACAAAGTATTATAATATATAATGCATAGTTATGCAAGAAATGCTAGATCATTTTGTGGAAGAGTTGAGAGATAATTATTCAATGGGCATTGTTGAGAGCGATTGTTTAATCGCAACAGATTACAACAAGTGGAAAAGTAAAGTCAGTGTCTACTTTGAATGATTCATTGAGTGAATTGGGAATTTCGTTTCTGTCATTATTTCTGGGTGATTTAAATGACATTGATCTTCTGATATGGCAACTTTTAAGATAACTTCGGAAATCCATGCGGAACGATCGCGAAGTCATGAAAGTTGGAGACAAAATTGTGAGTAATCACTGGAAGAAGAGTTCAGTAATTTAGTGTGATTGATTTTTCCTTTTGAAATGCTCAGGAAATTTTGGTGTAGCAATTGGAATTAATTGAGTTGATTGGCATTTTTCAGATGTTGTGACCCAGTTTGCATTCGAATATCCCCCTCACATGAAACCAAAAAACTCAATGACTTACGACCACGATGGAGATTTAGTTCTAGAAAAGAAAGAAGGAAAATTGCTAATTGAACACAGTATTAGTACGCAGTTGGAACTCGTAGGTTTACAGTTATGGAGAGGAGCTTTTTTATTAGCTGATTATATTATGGCCAATCCCCGAGAGTTTGAACACCAAAATGTAGTTGAATTGGGGTCTGGAGTGGGCTTGACAAGTATTGTAGCTGCAATGTTAGCGAGAGAAGTCACTTGTACAGGTGAATGATTCATTACACCTGAAAGACGAAAATTCGCAACTGGAAAATAAAAAATAATTATTTTGTTACAGATATCGACTTAGGAGAGATCTTACCTTTGATCAAACGAAATGCTCAACAAAATTCCAAGTACATTAGAGGGAAATTCAACGTGATGGCCTTGAATTTTAAAGACACCGAGTGGTCCAAGAATTTGAAGAGAAAATTGACTGAATCGACGATAATACTTGCTGCTGATGGTGAGAAGCTTTTTTTCATTTTAAGCTCCAGTAACTCAGTAAAATTTTTAAAGTCCTCGAGATTCCTGATAAATTCTGGGAAATCTCATTTTTGAAATCTCTTCTTCAGTTATTTATGACGACAACATCACGGAACACTTTGTTTCTACTCTTGAAAGGATTTTACATTCTGACGATACAAGACGTATTGTCTATGTAGCCATGGAGAAGCGTTTTGTATTCACAATTGCCCATCTGGACTCAGTGGCCCCTTCCTACGAGGAATTTCGTCGTTGCATTTCTCGAAGAGGATTAAAATGGAGCGTGGAAGAAGTTAAACTCGAATTTCCTCAGTACTTCAAGTACGACAGAGTCAAGGAGCTGGTTCTTATGAAAATTCAAAGGATATGAGCGTGCAAAAAACGACAAATATCAATATTTTTTTCTCACCGAATTTATTGAATGTTTTTGTTTTTCCAATATACCTATTTACAATCTACGATATACAGCGTAAAATTTAAAGGGTAACGGTCGGGTATTTGTTTACTAGTATTCGTCAATTGAACGAAAGAGAATAAAAATAAAATTATGCCACGACCGCACAGGCAGTAGATTTAATTAGCTTTTTTGTGTATCGTATAATTCCTTTCACGATTAAATAATTCATACACCATTACTGTTTTGTGTCATTTCATTGGTGTGGCATGAGCACTATCTCGGAGATGTACGTATCGTAATATATTTTTAAGTGCAATTTCACGTATTTATCGATAAGTGAAACAATGAGAGGAGGTAAGTTCAAATAGTTCTATATATTTTCTTAAATCATTTGCAAAGTAATAAACTAGGATAATTGCATTTTTCTCGGCTACCTGGCCTCGAAGAAATGCACTGGTCCTCATTTATCACTTGGCAGTAGAGATAGCTTCGAAAATCGAATTTAGGACAAACTGTCTAATGATCTTTTAATCGAGTTGTTTTCGAAGTATTTGCAAGAACGTTCAGTATGAAAAGTTTTCGATTTATTTCCTGTTCTATACCACTTTCCTACAAAATTTCGACTATACATCTAATTTTTCTCTGAAAGCCTCAGATTTAACGAAGGCACTTTTGCTCTATCGCACAATGTTCGTTAACAATCGTAATTCAGTTTCAAAGTCCAACAAGAATTTTTCATGAATATCTGTGGATTGAGAATGATTTTCATCTGAACAAAAAACAAATCATACAGCATCTAGGAATATTTGTAAATAAAAACTCCAGAGCTGAAATTAATAGCCCAGTTTTCATTCATTTATTTATCTGTGACTTTATTCCTGAATTTCAATCGTGTTTAATACTTTCTCGCTTTTATCGTGTCTGAATTTTGATTAATCCATTCCAAATATTTCAATGCCCCCCTTTCCAACCCCCAGTACTCAACATAAAAATAAAAAAAAACAACTTAATCAAATTGGATAAACATTTCCGGCAGTTTAAAGCTTTGTGATTGGAACGATGGTATTATTACAGAAACGTGACCATTTCTCATTTGTCTACAGTATTTGGAAACTTCAGAAAAAAATAAAGTTGTAATCTGACTAGAGTAAAAAAAAATTGCCGAAAAGCGATACAAAAGAAGGAAAAATTCATTACTTAAATATACCAATTACGAAAACAATGCAGAGAAAAATGTGTAAGACATGCTGTGGGTGAAAGCAAAAACTCTCACATTCGTTCCTTTAACTTTGAATTAATTATTTCCGATGAAAAAAAAAATAACGTTGATTAAGAACTATTGTTGTAAATATGGAAAATCGTATTTTAAATACAAAAATTCATCTAAGAGACAGACATTCTACACTATCCTCCTTTATCCAACTCTCAACTACGATTATTTAACCAGTTTAATAGAAAAAAATGAAACTCACTCAATCAAATAATGAATTAATTCGTTGGTCGATTAATTCATTAACTTTCGATTACTCGCATCGAAATACTGTACAAAATGGATGCAAATTAAACTGAAAAAATTAAGAGTAATAACCACGCACAAACAGCATAATAAACCGATTCATTTCTTCAATTTCTCATTATTTTTGTTTATATTTCATTTGTTCACGGAGATCCAAGAAAAATTTGTGCAATCAAACCTGTATTCTATTACGTTTAAAATATGATGAGTCGATTATCTCGAGAAATATCCTATTCAACACTTCCCCAGAGACCAAGTTTTCACCCCAAGTATATCCAACAACCCTACCTCATGCCGCACTCAGTCTACCCGGATTTTCAACCGCATAAAATCTTCCAACAGACCTTGGACCTCTTACCCTTTGCCTCAACATCCCTCAATAATTATCATTTTGGGATGATTTTTGACTGACACTTGCCCCAGCAGGTACAGCATCAAGCACTAGTTTCCTTCGATGATACTCATTTCCCCCATTATCACTTGCCATTGACTTTCTCCTAATGGGTAATGGATTCTCCTGAACAATTGAATTTGTACTCTTCCTTCTCGGTGGAACATCTCCACCCACTCTTCCTCCAGCTACATCAGTCTGAGGAGTCTCTGATCTCTCACCAGCTCCATCAACTTCCCCTTTCCCATTGATAATTCCATTGGACTTGACAGGAAACGAATTGCCAGAATTTTTATTTCCATTTGTCACTGGTTTCGTTGCACCACCAATCATTGTTGCATGCTTACTGACATTATTGTGAACTGATTTCAGCCCTGAAGATGGTGGTGGTGAGCCCAAGGGTATTGTTGTCTTTCGTCGTGCATTCGAATTGGAGTTTTCATTATTGAAATTAGTTTTGGCTGTTACACTGGATTTCACTGGCTCAGCATGAACTCCTGTGGTCACCCAGCGCTCGACTTGGGCCTCGTGCGACTTCTGGAGGACTCTCCTCACAGCTCCATCCTCACCGTCTTCTTTCATGATCTCCTGGAGCTTTTGGATCGTTTGGTAAAGTACCACTGGACTGATTAGACCGAAATCGAAAAGGCTCGACATGTGGAGGACGAAATTTCTGTACAGGTTTTTCATCAATAGCTCTTTACCCTTTTTCTCCAGAAACATTTGGCATGCCAGGGGAATTTGACAGTCCCCCACGTAACCGTGTTTCATCACGTGTAAATTCCACATCTTCATTAATTCTTTTTCGCCCTCGTTCACGTCTGTGAAATCGTCTATCATCATCATGGTTTTGGTTTGCAGCCACTTTGGGTCGTTCTCACCCTCGGAATCTGCATCCATTTCTTTTGGATAGATTGGGAGGCACGTAACTGTGTGATGGTAGAGTCTAAAAAGAAAATTATTTCCTCCGATTTTAATTCTTCCATAACCCAAGGGAATTACTCGGAATGTAGAATTTACCTGTTGTGACCGGTAATGTAAGGGCGTTGGCTCTCGTAATCATTCTCGTCGAGCTCAAGGAATTCAGAGAGACTAGGCTTGGGTCGTTTGGGCCTGCAGACTAGGATGTTGGTTACACTCGTACGTCTCGTAGGGCCTGTTCGTGAAAAAGTTATCCCTGAGGGCTGGGAGATGAGCTCGTGAGGGCTTCCTGCATAGGAGCCGTCATAACAATCGTTTATTGCCACATCTATTCGAGCTCCTTGAGATATGGGCTGAAAAACAACATTCATGTATTTACTTTTCCACTAAAATCCGACGACAGAAAATTCAATTCCTTTCGTAAACACAAGCTGACGCTAAAAATACGTACTCAATACGTACTCAATATTTATCATCTCAAAAATGGAATAGAAACACAAATAAAATATTCGATTATTTTCTTCCAAATCTTTTCAATCTTTTTTAATGTGGAATTGATGACAGGGAGACTTACAACGTAGGTAAAGGTGAAACGTGAGTGGCACAGCTTCAAGTGTTTCAGTAACGAGTAAAGCCTACCACAGTCGAGGGAACACCAGGGACAGTGGAGATCCTCGCAGGCCTCTGTTTGTTGTCGACTGTTATTATTGTATAAAAATTGATAAACGATTTGTTGTGTTCCACTGGACGTATCCATTTTCTCCATCGTACTCGTAATTTTCGATGGAGTTAGGGGAGTGGAATTTGGCAGTGATCCGTTGTTATTATTAACATTCGTAGAGCAACGATCTAAATCGGCTGAAAAAAAAATTTTCTCGTTAATTTCCATGTCATTAAAACTAGTAATTGATATCAGGAAGAGGGAAGAGGATAGATTCGTACTGTTTCCAGGTCGATTCTCCTTATTATCTCCATTAGGCAGTGGATGAATAAGTGCTGGTCTATCTACAAGACCGTTGCTGGGCTCTGTTGTCCAGCTAAGTCGAAATTTCAGTGTTGGCCCACGACTAAATACCTCGAAAGGGCCGCACTCTTTGATATCACTTATGGTTTCCCAAGAGCTATGTTTCTTAGGACTTGATCTAACATTGGTTTGCACTTCTTGCAAACCTAATTCGTAATCACCGTCCGTTAAAAGACAGCGATTGTGCTTATCGTAGACGATCAGCTCCGAGCCGTACAATTTCACCTCTTCTCCACCATTTTTTATGGCTACTGGTGATGATTTTCGTCTCTTCTGAGCAGGCTCTGCAATTACATCTTTATTGATAATGAAATTTATTAGATATCGGATATTGGACAATTGTGGTCTTTACCTGAATCCAAATCACAGTTACTCATAAGGCAGCCATTGTTCGACATACAATAAACTCTCAGAAGTAGCATGTACGTTTTGGCCACGTGTCCATTGTTCAAGGTGAAAGACTCATTTGGTATGGAGATCGTTGGCGCCTTTGGTGGTGGTTGATTCTCAGATGGATTTATTGGTACATCGCTTGTGCCTACTGACACTTGCATTATTGGTGAACTCACGTCCTTGCGTTTCTTGTGGCAAATTTTCAACAAAAGTGTCTCCACTTTAACGGGATCCTGTGGTGCCTCCACTGCACGACAGATTTTTATTTATTCATTGCGAAATTTAAGGGATTCGAGGGAGGGCAATTGGAACTGACGTCTAGGGGTGAGAAGGGTAGGGGGATAGTTAATGTTAATTGACTCACTTTTCTTATCGTAAAAACCTAAAAAAGTGAGAGTCATGAAGCCACGGATGCCAGGGTTTTGGCTGAGATTGGTCTTATCCACAAGCCTCTGTAATAATGAGTCGATCCGAAAGCCACGACGAGACTTATGGCTTCGAGACATGCGTTGCTTCATGTAGGATAAATTTCGGTAAAGAAATATTGGCTGAAAATTGAAGAAAATATTCGATAATTGGTCGTTTAATGAGGCCCATGCAGAAGTCAAAAATCAAGACAAAATAACGGAGTCTTCTTCGGCAGGGATTTTATCGATCGGAAGACAATGTTAAGGCTTCGGTAAATTTTTAGCTTTCATTGCGGCACCCATGTGATAATTCGAATTATTAAATATGCAACATGTCAAATAAATTTCGCCCTTCTCTCACCAAATTATAAACAAAACATAATACATACCTTGCAATCTCTCAAATGTAATTTTACAACACTCATATTAAAATACAAACAAATGAAATTTAGAAAAATCCATACAGTTCTCACAATAAATCTTCATATTGCATCAATTTGTTATAATGATTCCGGTCAACATTTTCAATAAAAAACTCTGCATTATTTTTCATTTTACCATGCACAAATAGAAAAAATTGAATAAATTATTATGACTCACCGAAATCTGATTCCGCGTTCGTAAAAAACGATAGATCTGCGTCGGTTCTGAAATAAATTCAATTAAATTATGAAATTATTAACAAAAAGTCGTGAAATATTCTATTAATATTATATGATTATTTCTCTTCGTATCAGAGTCCAAAAAAATGTTAAATTGGATGGATTATGGATTGAACCGCCAGGTGGCAACGATTCGAATATATTCTCATGAGTCCAAGAACTTGGGGAGGCTTAAAAGATCTTGATGACATGAAAATCGCTGATCCTTCTGTGATTCAGAACGGGAGATGATGACTCGTTTTGGCTCGCAATTGCGAGATGCCTGTTACGGCAATCCTTGTTACGATTATACAGGCCAAACCTCTCTGATTCCGTTCTCCGAATGCAATCACTGAAGGCTCGTATTTATTAAAAAGAAAAAATTAAATGGAGCCAATAAAAAAATGTGAGCTTTATCTGGGGTGAATTCTGCTGCATCAGCAATCGCCGATGGACTTCTCGGTTTCAACACAGACACATCCATTATATATGTCAATGAAAAAACATGTCCATTAATTTTAATTACTATCCCGTAATGTCAACTGTTCAAACTGCTTACAATTAAAAATATTTTGACGTTGATTCTGCGTTTTCAATCATTTTCAATTTTCCAGACAATTTTAAATAATTTTCACCCCAAGATATCTCTCCATAAAACAATGATATATTGAAAATAAAAAAAAACAGGTGTGTAGAGAAGAATTCAACGTTTCCTTTGTTATAATTTACCCATCAAAGTAATCCACAACAAAATCAGGTACCATTCGACCGAAAGTGAGTGGATTTTGGCGCGAACAGTAAACGACAAAAGTAAAACAAAAGAGTGCTGAAATAAAGTGAAAAAATCGTCGATCTTTAGTTAAACAGAATAAACGTTGTTAGTGTAAATTAATGACAGGTGTCGAATGACTTGGGTGAGAAAAAAGAGGTGGGAGGTAAGTGAACCGACGCGCGCGACAACTCCATGTAAATTGGGGTTATGTTCATTATCACTGACAACTAACAATTGTTCTAGAGCAATGTACCTTCTCACCAGTGCATCCTCCAGCAAAGTACATTTCACTTACGAGAGAATAATGAGGCAAGAGATGAGATTAATAATGAACATTGGAGGACTCACTTTCAAAGGCCTGAAGAAAGAGCTCGTGGTCCGCCTGAATTTGATCCATTCTCGGTGGTTTTTGACTCTCCAACTCCTTTTCCCGCTTCTTCGGCGGCATTTTAACTCTATTCACCAGTCTCTTGTTATTACCACTTATTTATTCGATTCCTTGTATAAAAATAAATGTCTCATTTAACAAACACGATTACACCCACTCCGCGCGAAAAAGCGAGAACTGTCGGAACTGTCGGATGGAGACTGCCAACTGCCAAATGCCAGCCCTGCCACTAGTTTTATTCTCCACAATTTCGATTAACACGCCCTCCCCTCGGTTCATTTGAGAACCTCATCAATCTTTACTATAGGAACACCGAAACAGTTCATTTCATTCTTCTCCTAGATGGAATAATTATTATAAAAGGGATTCGAATGATTTTTTCTGTTAAAAATTCTTTGTAAATTGCCTCAAGCCATTCAACGATTCCCTCTTGTCAAAAGTCTGGTACTTCGAGTTGTAAGAATGAATTGATATACTAATCTACTTGTAGGGGAATTATCGAATGAATTATTACTGGAATGTATTACTGAAAGGTTTCTTGAGACAAAAAAATTCACTGGAGTACAATTAAATCGTTTTTTTATTATCGAAAAAATGTTTAAAGAACAAGAGTCTCTTGCAGCTTCAGTTGTTTCTTGCTTTTGGCCTTGACCTGTGCTGCAATACGATCTAAATCTCTTCTTCCTTGGCTGGTGAGTTTTCTTCCACCGAGTGGTGCCTTCTCGATGAGCTTCAGCTGCTCCAGACTCTGGAGTGCTTTTCTGGCAACACCACCAGCTGATCTGCAGAAGTGGCTGGGGTGAGTTCCATTGCGTTTGCGGCCACCAAAAATCTTGGTAACAGCACCAACGCCGATTGGGCTGCGAATGTAAATGTGACGAACAAGTGCAGCACAACGGATGTAGTACCAGTCAGGATCGTAGGGTGCCAACTCCTTGAATCTGGCTGATTTTACGATGTCGACCCACTCGGGGACACGCATCTTGCCTGTCCTAAAATCCAGAAATAATTACAACAACAATTCATTGCATTTACAAATTTTTATGAATTAAGGCACTTCGACAAAATTTCTATCACCCCTGCACATATGAATTACCCAGAATTCGAGGTTAGAAATAATTCCAAAAGGTAGTTACTCACTTCTTCAGGAAGGCGGCGAAGGCCTTCACGAATTTATGTTGGTCGACGTCCTTGAGCGTTACAGACGGCATCTAGAGTGATAAATAATTTACAATTTAATTATTGATGAAACATAAAAAGGAAATGAAGTAAACTGAAGCACATGGGTTCCAATGCCACTGCGACAACTTTCTCATCGTTGTTTTTACGTTTAGTTGTATAACTTGAAGCAGAGACTACACTCGAGAGTCGATTAAAGGGCAGTGAAATCGATTAACAATTATAAATTATTGAATGCGATCTTTAATTTGTTTAAATAACACATTGATTGTCAATACCACACACCTCTGTGACGGAGCTGACCGGAAAGAAGATTTTCAAGATGGTGGATATGGTTTTTCAGCGGCATTCGACCGGAAGTGGTGATTTTTTAAACTAAAATGTTATTTGAAGGCGCAAAATTCAAAAGTCTTTCAATACTATGCAAATCAAAAAAAAATATCTGATAAAAAGCTATCCTATTTTTTTAAACATTTTTTTTTTATAGATTCCATCTGGGACATTATAAATGCTCATAAAATAATTAACTCTTCTTATATTTTCTTTATACTTTATTCTGATTTTCTTTTTCATCGTGTTAAAGAAAATAATTTTCAAAAAGGCAAGTGACAACTAAAGGTAATTCCTCGAAAATTTGAGTCATCAGCACAAAGATATTTTTTTCACACAAAGAGAATAATAAAAACATTGTCATTGCATTGCACAACTGCAGCGCGCTCTGCGTTGTTATTTTTCAATTGGTCGGAGAAAAATATACAGTTCATCATGGAGTTCGTTGGTACGTGTGCAAGTTTCCTTAATTATTAAAACCACTATTTTAGCTAAAAGTCCCAAATTAATCCACCGAACACCTCAACTTCACTAATCAAAGGAAATCTATAAAAATCATCGAACAAAATTGGTTAATTCCGTTAATTTTCACCGTACGAATATCCATATTGAAAAGTGAGATTTCAGGCTAGGGCTATGACAACAATGACTGCATGTATCTCTTTCGCGAACATAATCCAAAAATTTGCCTCATTATCACAATCCAACAGCCCAGAAACTCAAGGATAAAACTCCAGAAAACCAAAGAATTTTCACTTTCCAATTTTTTAAAATGCATGTCATGTCAAGATACAATAGTTTAGCAATGTTTATCTTCAGATTCAGAAAAGAAAGACACAAATGAAAACCACTGCACGTCGTGTCCTACGATGACCCTTGATTCAAAGGACCGCGAAACACCTTTAGAGAAAATGGAAAATAGTGGTACAACGATAGAGACAACTCCAAAGGACCCAGAGCCCGATAAAGTCACAGAATCTCACGAGGACACACGAGAGAAAATAGACTTTAAAGTTATCTTCAATAAGAAAAAAATTGATGTTAATTTTCCGCTGGATGGAACGATTGCAGAACTGAAGGAGTACCTGCAGGAGGTTATATCAGTGCCAAAGGATATGCAAAAGGTCATGATTAAAGGGCTGGCCAAAGACGAACAGACGTTGAAGGAACTTGGAGTTACCAATGGTAAATGCAATGATAAAAATAGAATTGTTACACGATTATATGATTGCAATACGTGTAAATAATTTCAGGTGCAAAATTGATGATTGTTGGATCCAAGTTGGATGATGTACTTCTGGTAGCAACAGCTCCCTCGAAACAGGAGATCCAGGATGAAGCAGCAGCTGCGAGTAGTAAAGAACCTCTGACACAGCAGAAAATTCATAGAAAAATATTGGATAAAGGAATACCAGAGGACGCCATGCCTGGTATCATAGATGCTACGGTGAGATATTCATTTTATCAATAAATTTGAACTCTCGATTATTTTATTTTTTAACTGGCAGAAATTGATAAATTTTTATTTCAGGATCCTCTGCCGGACTTTCCACTCGCTGGAATGCTTAATAAAATGGGAGGAAAGGTCAGGCTAACGTTTAAACTTGAACAGGATCAACTTTGGATTGGGACTAAAGAGAGAACCGATAAAATTCCTATGAATTCGATAAAAGGAATTCACAGTGAACCCATTCCGGAACATCCCCAGTATCACATTATGGTAAATTCTATTTGAGATTGCAATTTTAATTAGAACGCTTTTATTTGGAAAGGAAAAATTGATAATTAATTGAAAATATAAAAATCTTTTGCAGGCAATACAATTAGGCTCAACTGAAGCCTCGAGATATTGGATTTACTGGGTGCCCGCCCAGTACATTGCCGCCATAAAGGATGCGATTCTTGGAAAATGGTGCTACTTTTGATCGATTCTCCACAAACAAAAAAAAAACAAAGTATTTTCCAACGTATTGAAATGATCGACGAAAAAGTGTGATTAAGATGTGAATGTTCATCATAAAAGGACTACTAGTCACGTCTTTTTTTAAAAGTAAGTTTTCTAACTTATTACGTTTATTTACCTGCTCGATCTTCTTTACATCCCGGTAAATGTCATCTCCATCTTACTCAAACTAAAGATCACAACAAATAAAAAGGAGAAATTTACAGCTGTTTAGTGATATCTGCTTGTTTGTTATTCTGAAAAAAAAAACGAACGAAAGGAAATATCTTCAATTTATCAGTTATTGAAGTGTTAATTGGTGATAAAAAAAATCCAAGTAATTGCATATAAAGTATATAAATATAGATTATATTAAATAAAGAAAACCGGGATCGAATCGATCTTTCAGTCAATGCCTTGTGATAATGAAGAAAAAAATTTTAAACTAATGAAGGACGATGATTTATCGCACTCCAATTTCATAAAAGTAAAATTCAACAACGAACGTATCACAATGAAAAGTGATTTAATACCATTCGTCTATTTTCGCGTTGGCCTAAGCATCTTGGTAGAGGAGGTGCAATTGGTGATCAATCACTGATAAACCATGATAAGCATGCCAATGGTACATCAAATTTTTTTTAGTGTAAATCAGTAAAGCACAATGTAACGATTTTCTACAAAATTGATATTTTATACCAATAATATAAAATTTGTGTGACCAACTTAATGTGACAAATCAAAATAATAATAATCCTGGCAAAAAGCGAAATAAAGAAGTTCAGAAAACCATGCACTTAAAAGTCACTAATTGAGAAAATTGAGAAATTATTTTTCAAAGCTCTCAGAAAATTCTCTACGCGGTGCCAATAGTATTCGAATGTGATTCGAAAAAACAACAAATGCGAGAACTGAATAGAAAGAGCCTCTTGAATCCCCCAAAGAGCCCCAGGGGGTCCATCGAATAACATTGAAAGAGCAATAGAGGCAGTAAAGAAAGATGAGGCGTACATCTGTCCCGCATGTGGATGCAGGAAACGCCTCATCACAATGTTAAATATCTCCGAGAAGTGTAGGCGCATCCTGACCTTTTATTCTCCATCTCTCTCCGATTCTCTCCGACTCTGTCCCTCACCCAAGAACACCTCTGGCATCTGCCAGAGGCATTCACAGGTCCAGAGAATTAGCTAAACCTCCTTCTCTCCATCCCAACAAACTCCCTCCAACCAATCCCGAGAAGAAAGTCTCAACCACGTGTTCTGTGATCAATACCTTCCCCACCAATTCCTCAACATATCTTCAGTCTTTGAAACTGCTCAGTGTTAAATCTAAGTGGTCCAAGGACGGTCAAGTCACTTTGCCCGATGTTGTAAATCGCCAATACCTCAATTTTCACCATTTTCCACTTTTTTTATTGTTTACATCGTCCCTTTACCCCCAAAAAATACATGAAGAACAATTGTTTTGGTGAATTTTAATAAACACCTCTTAATTATACGCCACTTGGAAGTGACAACTGATGAAGGAGAAAAGAAAAAAAATCATGGTCAATACATTTTGTCATCGCTGATAAGATAAGTGACGATGAAATTTAACATTCTTCATTACTGAACGATCAGGTGGGAATAAAAATGAGTCATTACTCATTATTACGAATCACTGCACGAAGCCAACAAAATGGATGTGGAGGAGAAGAACAAACAATTAGACATTGTTCGGGAGATTTTCCTTGGGTTAAATCGCCAATATCTCAGTCGAGGAGTAAAATTAGAGACTTTGAAGTCCTCAGTTCAATGCAGGGACTTGGTGAATGCCAGAAAATTTTTAAATCTTCCCTTGAGCTTCCGGACGTTTGCTGCAGTAATTTTTATTTCCCTGATTTGTGGAGGGATTATTCATGGGCGTGATCATCTAGTTAATTATGTTTATAACTCGAGATGTTATGTTCCGAATAATTACTTAGTCTGGGAGTTTACGAGACCAGTGTCAGATTGTGATTTCTGTCGTGGGATCGATTCTGCTTTAATCATTGAAAATGTTACCAAAGAGGTTTTTGAAAAATTTGCGTACAGCTCTAGACCAATTGTCGTGAAGAAAGCCATTGGGAATTGGAGAGCTGGGAAGGTCTTTAGTCTGGATTTTTTTCGTGATTTGTATGAGAGAATTGAAGGAAGTTACGAGTCAGTGGAGGAAGAGTGCCAATTTCTTCATTTCAAGAGTAATTTCTCGAGTCTTAAGGAGGTGTTTGAGATGAGCCAAGGCAGGAGGGAAAATAAAGAAGGTGGCAGCTGGTATGTCGGTTGGAAAAACTGTCATCCTGAGGTACTGCAGGAAATGAGAAAGTATTATGAACCACCGGATTTCCTTCCGGATGATGCTGAAGTGCCCCACACCAATTATGTCTTCTTGGGGTACGACGAGGGCGCAATAATGCATGTAAGTATCTCAATAATAATCTTCATTTTTTTTAATTATCATACTATTCATCAATAGTTCATCAATTTCTGGATTTAATTTGTCGACTTGAGATGAATTTATTTTAGAAAGTAGATGTATAGTAGATGTAATTGATAATTAATTTTATATCTTAATTCTGTTTCAACAGTTGGATTATATTCCACGATTGATGTGGCAGGGACAAATATTAGGAGACAAAACGTGGACTGTGGCACCGACTCCGGAGTGCGATAACGTCTGCAATAAATTTAATTTCTCAGTGAATAGTGGAGACGTCATTTTACTGGATACAAGAGTCTGGTATCATGGGACGTACGTCAAAAAAGGACAATTCAGCCTCACTGTGACATCTGAATACGGATAATTGCACATATGATATTAATTATAAAATATAGATATTTTTTATAATTTTACAAATGTTAACATGGATAATGTTTTAATAATGAAATAAATTGTGCCATGCTATCGTGTTTATTTATGCAAATTTACATCATATTTTGCACGAAAATAATGTGAGAAATAATATTTTAATAATCACAATTTTATGTATCGAAAATCCGTGGAATTTATCCATTCTTGTCCACTCCATCTCTTTGGCGGTAATTATTTCATGGGTGAAGAAAGAAAGACGATAAAAAGAAACTGAAAAATACAGTTGAATGCATGGTCAAACGGAATGCAACATAACTCATTGCCTCAACAGCCTTTTCTCCAAAAATGTATAAAGTACGAAAGAACCCAAGAAGGATAATTAACAACAATCAACGATAATTGCTGGAGTGATTATAATGAGAATACTTTTTTTTTAACGTGGGAGAATTAGTCGTTTTCACTGATCCTTCTTCTCCGTTGCCTGCTGGAAACTGGGTGGACTCTCCTGAAAGGTAAAATAATATTATTAAAAATTGCGTAAGATATTTTTTTCTCTATTACATTTCGAAGATGTAAAAATATAATGTTCAATTAATCGTTGAAGAATTAATTATTCTGCAATTAGAATTGAAGATTGAGGTCAATTCCAATTTTATCATCCCCTCAATTATGGGTAATTAGGAATTTTACTTACGTAGTAAGCAGGTGGTGGTACGTATGCACACTGCGGTCGATTTGGATCATAGTATGCACTTTGGGCGGCTTCTGCAGCTTTAGCATCTAAATTAAATGAACAAACAGTATATGAATGGATAAATTATAAAATTGAGAGAAAGAATACTGTGAGCGCAATGAAATTCACTACAATTCATACATACAAGCGTACACTTTAATTACACTGTATTTACTCTGATTAGGCATATTTAAAAAGAGCAAAAATCACAGGGAAATCACTAGTCCCGGGGAAGATGAACGAAAATGCAGATGGTGTGCTTTCCTTATTATTGGGGAAAAAAAATTCTTCAGCACCAATCAATCAACACAACTCATACTGGTCATTCCACTGAACTTCCCAGTACAATCCTTCATCAAACTCCTGAGGCACATTTTTGTATTATGTCACTGGCATAAAAATCGTTCCCAGGCATTGAAATGATAATAAATTAAATTTAACAAATAACTTGACAGTTTATTTCGTAATGTTTCACAGGTTTCTATGAATTTTTTATCTACTATTACTTGCCAAACTTGGAAAAGCCTCGACGGAGGACAAAATATGACTAACCAGTGAGATAATAACTGGGAGCAGTGAAAGCCAATCTCTTACCGCAGGTCACTCTAAGGTATATTGTGCAATACCGTTGCGTAATATTGAAAAAAAAAGAAGAAAAATATCAAGTTTATGGGATAAAACACCTGGTGGTGGCTCCAAAAAGTATTTCACCATATCAGCACCTTCAGCTCCAGAAATTATCATTATCCAGAAGGGAAAAACGGTGTACCTTGAGTTATACCAAATAAACTGTTGAAAATTCCGCCCAATTGATAGGTATTCATAAATGAAAAAGAACAATTCGTCAACGTTATTATCATTTAATACGTGCATTCATTGGACACAAAGCTACATGATTTTTCATTAACATTTTTTGTATTATCTCATATTATTCCTCTTTATAAAATCGTTAGGAATAAGCACTGATAGAAGAACATTGATAATCTAGTGTAAATTGTTTGGAATGGATGTCTGCAAAAGGCAAACATCGGAAGTAACTAAATTGCTAGAATTATGTTAGATTTAATAGCCATAAGGTAGTCATGAGACTTTAGTAGTGAGGTGGATACTGATTGTAGGAGCCTTGAGGGTAGCCACTCGGTTGCGGATAAGCTGAATACGGTGGTGGATTTTGCGGGTAATTATTGTAATTCGGTTGATAACCCGGATACGCACCTGCTTGATTAGCCTGAGGATTATAATTGGGATTTGCCCAGCCAGGATTGCCATTCTGCTGTGGGGGTTGTCCGCCCCATGCCCCCTGTCCTTGGGGAGCTCCACCACTCACGTAAGGCGAGTTTATCCCTGGATACGGTGGAGGCATGTCCGTCATGTACACAGAATTTGCTGTAAAATTTAAAGAGGAAAACTTATTGAGTAATTCATTAATGGATTTTTAATTTTATTTCATATACTGGCTATTTTAGATTGGATTTGAGGGATGACGTATTAAAATTACCTGGGGGTACATCTGGGAATACATTGGTGGGTGGCATCCATCCATAGTAGCCTTGAGGAGCTGCCTGATAGGCTGGAGGTGGTGCTGCATACCAGTCTGATGTTGGAGGCTGGTAAGGTGGTGGAGCGTCGTAACCAGGTCCATTTCGTGAAGCTAATTGAAAACATCGTTTATTTATTGATTGTTTTTACTTATCCCAGTTGGAAAACAATGAAATTACCCATAGAAGCTGCCCTGAGCATGGCCTGTCCAAACTCGATAGCTCCACCACTCTTAAAATGCAACTTGAATTTGCACTCTCCAATCCAATTGCCATTCGGTTGTGCCCTGCATTTGCCCTTGATGTAGTTGGCCCCAAACATTGGCTGCTCCAGCTCCACTTCACTCAACGTCACAAAGGGAAAACTAAACGACTGCATTCTCTCCTTTCTATCCTTAGCATTGAAGATCATTCTATGGGTAGTCAAATATATCCTCCCTCTCTTTGTTCCCGTGAATTCTGGCTGCTCTTGACCATGAAATTCCATCGTCACATTGTCGCAGAATAAAAGAATGCTGTTAAGTCACAATAATTCGTTATTGCACTGCTCGAGTCTCACCATCAATTGAGTACAAAATCTGTGTCAACTACGGAATAATTGCATAATTTTCAGTCTCCAAATATTCAACTACTTAGAATTCATATGGAATATCGAATACCACAGTGTCATTAACACGAGAAAACTCTCGACCAAAAAAATCTCTTGACAAATCAGTTGTAAATAGCTAGATCATGTCAAGTCGATATCTCTCTGGAGTCATCGACACCCACATTTCATCAGTGAATCAATTATCCAATCATTCAATATGGGAAACTCCGAGAGAGACCTTGAACACATGACCAAAGTTTTTTTCGGTGCCACAAGTAATGTTTAATTGAATAAATTTAAAACGCAACGAAACGAGAGGACATAATTGGAGAATTATTGACGTAAAAATGTAATAGCGCTCTTGAACAAGGCCACGTCGTGTGCATATTGCGTTAAGTGACGCAGTTGGATTGACACAATGTTTATATTAACAATAGATATTAATTTACCATTCCCCGGCGTGCAGAAGCACACCGTCATTGGCGTGTGCTGTGTTCAGTGACATAACGTTTTTTTTTATTTGGTAAATCCCACAAAAATCACTGATGTTAATACAGGATATTGAATCACAAGTGTTCTCGTCGGTGTTTCGAGAAAACTGTAGTATTCACTTGATCAGCTGATTCATAAATCATAAGGCGGCCACCGTACCACTGCGCATGCGCTGCCAAACGGATATTCTTGATGGCCGTTCAAATGATATCAAATAATGTGTGTCAATTGCAAATATTTGTTAGTTGATTATTTCCGTGTTACTTTCCGTTCGTTTTCATTTAATTGTTCTTCAGTTGGCATTCGTGAAATCTGGTAAATGTGGAATTACTGAAGTGATTGTCTTTCAAGTCATTTCGAAAGAGGAGTCATACACGATTATCTTTCAAACAGTCACGTAGAACAGAATTGTTAAATAAAGTGTTAATGTTTCAGTGGTGACAAAATTATTTAAAACAATAGTGAATAGGTGAACAGTGTTAGGTACAATGAGTCTGTACTGGCAAAAGTGATAAAGGCAGAGGAAAATTGAATGAAGAAAAGACGTTGGTCATGCACAAAGTGTGAGTTATGTTTTGCAGATGATGATGAAAAATTCAGAAACAAAGGTGGAAAAGGGGTTGATCATAAAGTGGTAAGTTATTATCAAGAAACATCTGTAACAAGCGGGGATTTATGTCTTGAAAAGAGAGCGTGCATGAAGACAATTTATTTTGAATTTATTCAACTTTACAACAGAATTAAACTTAAAAAACATTATAAATAATATTATCGTGTATTTATCAATATTACGATAATCCAAATTTCGATGGGATGGACATCTCAAGGTACATAATCGAATTAATCTAATATATTACCAAAAAATACATATGTCAATTCTAAATCGAAATCTTAACCAACTAGATACTCATTATTAAATATACATGACATACATAGAAACTAAAATTGGCAGTGATTTTTCTGGTTAAACTCAAAAAAGTATCCTAATACTCTTCAGCAGTCCTAAATGGGTCATTGACCCCAGTCTTACGCGATTATAAAATTCTAGAAACATCATCAACAATTAATTAACGATTGAACAAACGAAGGCACGTCCTCGAGTGCTTCGAGCTCCTCTCACCACACGATAACATTAATCTCCCCTAATATTCCTAATTCTAAATTCATATTTATACATAAATACGAAGAACTTAAGTAATACTCATACTAAAACTAATTGATATGCATTTTACGATTACAATTAAAATTCGAGATGAAGTTTCTGTACATGCGAATACGTTTTACACATTTTCTATTTGCTACAATAATTATTTAAATAAGTGATAAGTGTTATGAAGATTCTGTGGTGAAATAAGGGTGTTGAAGAGCCTGAGATGCTGTTAATCTCACGTGTGGATCAAAGGTCAGCATGTTGGAGATGAGATCAATTCCACTGGAGCTGAGACTGGGAATAACGATGCGTAGAGGTGTTGCTATTCTTTGGGGAAATGCTGTGTAACTCAGAGAGACATTTTTCGGCCATGCCTCTTGAGTTGGTGTACCAATTATTTTGAAAATTCGATCGAGCTGGTCTCCCTCACTACTCCCAGGAAATAATGGTTTCAGGGTGTTCAACTCTGCTAAAACACAACCGACCGACCATAAATCGACAGGAGTAGCATAGGCACATCCTAAGAGTACCTCCGGAGCTCTGTACCATAAAGTAACGACAACAGAAGTCAGCCTCATCTCAAAGTCATAAGTCTTGGCGAATCCAAAATCAGCGATTTTGATTCTCCCCTCTGTCGTCACAAGAATATTCTGTGGTTTGAGATCCCGATGAATGATCCGATGACTGTGTAAAAAATCAACACCGAGGAGAATTTCTCTGGACATTTGATTGATCAAAGCAGGAGATGCTCCAGCTGTTGGACAATCAGAGATGAACTTGGCGAGATCCCTATCGACATGCTCAAAGACAAGCCACAATGTCAGACCTTTATCAGGTCGATCAGGCCTTCTGGTTCCATCGCTCCTCTCAGGAGATGGCAGATACATTCCATGACAGACATCCAGAAGTTTCACGATATTCGGATGCTCAAACCTCTCCAGCTGTTTCAGCCCGGCAATTTCTCTCAATGTAGATGTGGGAAGTCCATCTTCAGTCAGTGAGACTCGCACCTTCTTCAGGGCCACTACCTGACCACTCGAGACGTCTTTGGCCTTGTAAACTGTTCCATATGCTCCATCACCGATTTGCGACAATTCCTGATAGTGCGCGTGTTCGCCGATGAAGGAAGACTCCAGGGAACCCTCGGCCTTTCTTCCCGTGGTGGATTGCACGAGGCCGAGGGTTCCTGAAGTACTTGGCACTGCCTCTTCAACTTCCAGGGTTCCGGCGTCCTCTGGAGTTGTGTCAAGTGTCTCTTCTGCCAGGAGATTGGGCTCCTCTCCTTGAGGCTCTTGTTCCTCTTGCAGTTTAGCTCGTTTTTCCTGTGTGGGGGTTCCTGAGGGAGGCTCCGAGCTTGGAAGCCGGCGTCTCTCCGCCATCACAACATTTTTTTTTTCAGTGGATTTGCCTGGAATTCAATTGTGATCACGTCAATTTATTTTACAGTTAATCACAATCATTTTAGTTCGCTTGAAGAAAATGGTTCATTGGAATTTTGAGAAGTTGTTCTTTTTATTTATTTATCTCCGAAGACTTTTTTATGTAATTTTCGGTGAATGAGAAAAATTGAGTGCGAGGCGTTGAGGAATAAATGGAGACCGATGGCAACATCTGCTGCATTAACACCTGCCGCTATATTGTACCATATTCTTTAAACGAGTTCACCTTTGTTTCCTCGGTAAAAAATATAGCCGACGCTGGTTAAACAAGAGTGGATCGGCCTACCGTCAAATAAATAGGTTTGGAATTCTCAGATGTGGGAGGAACAAAAAATACTCTTGATAACACCGTTACTCAATAGGAAGTACAACCGTGGCCTGAATCACTTTTCCCTCTCTTCATGAATGGAATAAAATGGAAATAACAGAACTTCGTGTTTTATCAACTTCCGGTTTTGATAATCTGGGCTTCTTATTCTCCAATTTTTTAGTGGGAATAACGAAGCGGAAGAGTGCTAGTTCTGAGAAATTTTCAGGTCACAAATTTTCCCGTTGGGGAAAAAGGTCAGATCGCTCGGGAAAACGAAATTTATGGCGTGGAAAGAGGAAACATATTTTTTTTTTAGTTTTTTCTTCGTGGAACGCGATAATCTGACTCAGTCATATTAACATCGTTCTTCTTTCTTCGTGGAAAATGTGTTTATTTATTTCCATTTGATTATTTATTTCCATTTTGATTATTTATCCATTGCAAAAATCATTTGAATCACTATGCAACAATTTCTCTCGATTAATTAATTTTTTACGATAGACTCTCGGATTAATATTAATTTCCCCGTCAAAATAGATTTAACGATTTGAAAATGAAATATGGATTTTCTTGGGAGAATTCATGAGTCCCCTCCCCCCTTTTTCTGTCCCTATCTGAGAATTTTCTCTGATGATAAACCGTGAGAGACCGTGGGAAGTGGAACTCGTTGGGCTTTAATTTCCCCGCATTCCTTCCTCTGTTTACTCCATTCCGCTTATCGTCATCGATAGTAAAAACGAGCGTACCTCGAGTGACAACAAATGAACCACCCATTGACAAGAAATTCCATATTCAGTTACAGACGCGTAAATAAATACAGTAGCCAAGAATTTATTTGAATGATGAACTCACTCCCAAAAAGATCAACGCACATTCCCAAAGAAAAACAATTGCAAAAGTAATGCCTCTCCCAGTGCTGGCGCCTCACTCCTCAATCAATTAATTATCGATAATTAACATTTAACTATGTGACAATTATCTAATACTTTATATTCTACATAAATTAGAAATGATTAATTATTGAATGACCCCGATAATGAGTAACAATTAAATAGCGGACTGATGATTCAATTAAGAATTCAAATGACCAATCAATCAATTAGTCAATGAGTTAATTACTGAATTCAGAAAAAGGAATAACTGGTGGGTACTGGGTATTGACTGAACCCCAAAGGAACATATGACTCGATCAGATGCGACAGTGGGTTTAACACGTGATGTTATCCTGTGTCTCATATGCCTTGGGCCCACGTGGTCGATTGGGGCCGGATGCCCCGCGGTCTCTCAACGGTTCTGCATATAAGCGGCGTCGTTGTCGTTATAAGAAAGAAAAGACAGAATGAAAATTCCCCTAAAACTCGGTAAAATCCCCCAACCCCTACTCCACCCAATTCGCCAATAATACAATAATAATAAATATCAATAAAAATCCATGAAAATAAAATTCAACTTACCACCAATTAACGTCACAAATCCACAACAATATGAATTAAAATAAATATAAAAATAAATATTAATCTTGATGACCGGTAATAATGATGTAATAATTAAACTGTTCACTTTTGAGGGCTTATTCGGAGGGTATAAAATTTATGGGATGGACAATTATCCAGACTTATTTGAGCTGTCAGGGTGGATGGATTCTGGAGGACGTTTGCTCGTCTACTCCTGGTAAATTAGCGTCCTCGTTGGCCGGACGACGCTCTCACACTGCGTCGCGTTTGTTCTGAAACATGAATGGAATGCTTCCACCTTTAGGGCCCCAGGCCCCTCGATGCACGATAGTCGTTGCTCTGGAATTAAGAGAGCCAAAGGGGCAAGAGGAGAGCCAAGGAGCGGAGGAAGAAACCCACCAGTAGAGACTCGCCAGAGATTTTCAGGAGCGGTTATACATTCCAGTGGGGCCCTTTCCTTATTTATCATCCAAATCCCCACCAATATTTCCATCAATATCACCTCAATTACCTTAAATTCCCCTCATTCCACGCCCATCGAGAAATTCTCATAAACATTCCCTTTAAATTCCCCAATCTATTAAATCGATCAATTCTTGATGTACAACTGATTATAAAAGACACTTGAATATTATTTTGAAAATATTTACAAATTTATTACGTCGCTGAACAATGGAAAAATAATCAGATCATTTTAATAATTAATTGTTATAACACAAATTTAAATAAAAACATCTTCGTATTATCTCGAAATGTTCTTAATTTAAAGATCAATATTTGAATTAAATTTCTGTAAAATGTCATTCGTGCAACATTTGTTGAATTCTATTCTCGTTTCAGTGTCTTAATTGAGAATTATTTGCAAGATAATATGCAGATGTGTTATTGTCTAAATTAATCTTTATCACTGCGTTGAGTCATTGAATGCGTGGAATCTCTCGCTGTCGCGTATATCGAATCGAGTGGTCGAATAATACATTGAGTCATCCGAGTGTGACGCATTTTTATTTTTCGAATAATTTTTTTTTGTAATTGTCATTGAATTTTGATGCGGGTGCCCCGATGTTTCGGCACTTGCGGAACCTCGATGACGTCGATTAAACACTTGAATGGCAGAACAGAACAGGAAATCCGTTTATGACGACATTTCTCTCTTCAGAGTCTACAGATGCGTCAAGTTAATGACAAGCTGAATCATCTGCAGGGAGAAAATCATTACTAAGTAAATTCACTATTACAGGAAAATTCTCATATTATTTTTCATTTTTAAAAATATTTGTTGCATCAGTTGTAATAATTAATAGGCACTATAGAATCTCCATATTTCAAATGCTAACATTCACATACGTTTACTTGTGGTAAGTGAATTCACTTGGCAGGAGTCATTTTTTTCACAGTGTGAAATGCCGGTGACCTCGCTCAACTTCACAAGACGGGTTTCTCAGTTTTTTTTTTCCTGTGTTTTGGGTGATTCGAATTTTTCACATTCCAGGGGGTGTGGTGGAGTCCACTCAATAAGCGGAATTACCCCGAAAGAAATTTTACCGGGTAATTTATGAATGGAAAACATCAGAGATGAATTGAGAAATTTTATCGAGATTTTAGAAATCAAAAATTGAAGAAAATTTATGAGACAGAAATTCTTCTTTATCTTGTGTCGAGGTGGTATTGACGGGAAAGATCAGAAGGGAATGACTTTATCATTTGTGAACTCAAACATTTTGAAAACAATTTTTTTCCCTAATATAATGTATCAACTAAAAATATTCTCTAATTTCCAAAAATTTGATGATCATGAATCAAAAATACATCCTCTCGATAAAAAAATATTCCTAACAAGCCAAGTGATAAATTATCTCAAAATGATAATTAAAAATGTCACTCAAACTTAATCCTTACATTTTACCCCAGAGTGGACTAAAAAAAAATTTGAAATCTCACGATCCCATAGGGTTTTCTTTAAGAAACGATTTCCACACTTTTGAAGTGCCCCTTTGAATTGTAGACGGTCTCGAATTTTACTAGAATTCCATGAGAGTCTTAAGAACCCTAGACCCCGTGTCCCGCCCTTTTAATTGTATTGGGGTACCCATCGCAGTTCCTGACCTGTAAATATGGATTCACTATTCAATCTATCACGAGTAGAAATGTGAAATAACCGTCATTTATCGACTGGGTCAGACAGAACTGACCGTTTTCATTCTGAATTTAAAACTAATGATGATGATTCTTGACGTTCCAACATGCGCTAATAACACCAGAAACCTCACCGGCTTTTCTTTTAAGGGTAAATTTTTGTTGGTCTCACCACCAACAAAAATCCTTGATCCCTGATCCCTGAATTACATGGAAAAGCCCATCATCACTCTCCCGTCCCGTCATTATATTTCCCACAGGTTTTTTACCTGCTAGCCATCAGTGTATACCTGTCTCATCAACGTGGCTACTTCTTGCTTGGACTATAGTATACGATACCAGAAGGTTTTGGCCTTAGTGGGAGAAACTAAGTGGTGGCACAGAGTCCTCCTGGCGAATGCTTCAACCCATCGGACAGTACAGAGTGAACGACCGCAACGTTAACTCAAACAACTCAAACAACTCAAACAACTCAAACAATCTTTATCTTACCTCATTGCAACTCGCCCATTCACCCTCGCCATCAGATTTTCACTTCCCTTCATTCCTTCCTTTTCATTTCCTGTTGCTGACGCCAGCAATAGCTCCTCTCTAATTAAAATAATACAAGATTAATTATAGATTTTTATTTTATATTATATTCATCATTAAGAAGATGTGAACATTAATAAAATACAATGTGAAATGTGAAATTAGTTGAACTCTTTGTAACAAAAAAAGTGTTTGAACTAACTGGAATACAGTTTTGATAAGTGGGTCATCCGCTCCAAGAGTAACTGAGGCACAAGAATTATCCTCGAGACCAGTGAAACGAAAAGTCGATTCTTCGTCATCCGAGGAATTGGGTTTGATTAAAATTCAAAGAAGATAGCCAGTTTTTTGGGTTTTGCAAAAAATGAGGAGCAATCGGTTTTTGGTGTTTTTAAATTTATACGAGTGTTCGTGGACTGACGTTTCGATGGTTTAGAATCGAAAGATGGCGGCAGTCGGATAGATTAATTTTTTATTGTAGTGCATTTGGGGTCGAGAAGATCCTTGGAATTCAGCAGTGATGAGTTTAGGAAAAATTTGTGGAGACATGGGAGGTAATGGACTTGTTTTTCGGTGCATCCTGGGAATTTTTGTACTCCAGACGGCAGGTAAATTATTATTTATCCGTGATATCAATGCTCTTGCGAAGTGCTGGAGTACAGATTTTTTTTAGGCCACTTTCTAGCAAGTATCTCGGAATTCATGAGAGATGGGGATATTTCCACAAATAGAATTCATAGGTCTCAGCTAAAATGTGGTCTCGAAAAAACTGCAATTATCCTAGTTTTCAGGTTGAAGTATTATTCAACCCGGATGTTGAAAAATCTTGTGGTCACTTTCTTCAGGTATCTTCGGGTTTGCTTTGACGTCATTGGAAAGTATGCGAGTCAATGATCGTTTGAATTTCAAAATCATAAGCCCCATTGTGCTAAAAACGAAAGTTTAGGTGACAGTTCAATAACGAAGTCTTGCGGTAAAAAAAGAAAGAAGGATTATCTCGGTTAGAATCGGCGAGAGCCAAGGATTTAAGAAAATAACTTGTGGTTGGAATATTTGTGAGACACAAAACAGGACTAACATTTATTTTACTCTAGCTTATAGAGAGACAATTATTGAATGATTAATACTAACTGAAATTTCAAGAAAAAGAATATGAATTAAATTTCACTCATTTCATGAGTTAATTTTCTCCAATGTCCATTGACTATTGCAAAATAAATATTAATCTCAAGATTGAATACAATCGCCATGAGTCACGTAGAAAGTTGGAAATTTTGCATGACGCCGCAGATTTTCATTCTAATTCCACGGGCGTTGGATTTTTCTTTCTCCATTGGTATTATTCTGTAAAATGCAGTGCCCGCATGATAAACAGGAGTCTATCACTCTTGTTTCAGAATTAATGGTGTCTGGCCTATTTTTTATTTGACCACCTGTACGATCTTAAAATGATATCCCTTGAAGCGAAAGCTATTGTAGAAAACTGTCCAGAGCAGAAAAGTCTGTTTAGCATTCGATAGTTCTGAGAAGATGGAAAGCTCGGAAATGGCGATAAAATGCTAATTACTACGGTGTAAGTGCAATAATAAGGATGGGAATGCGAGCATTCGAGTCCATTAAGGATTTCTCACTGGTTGACTCCAGATACCGTAAGCGCAGCTATCGTACCTGCCCCAACGTTATCGCTATTGAATATAAATATCATTCACTTGTTAAACTATTATTATACTATTAAATTACATGGAGACAATTGGTTATAAACTACGCGCTATATCCACCTGAAAATGAAGTATTCACGAAATTCAATTTGTCAATAACTCAATAATTTCTCAATATTTCAGCTTTTTTTATTGTATTAGAAAATATATTTAGATTTATTTGAAAAAGAAACAAAGCCAGGGGGTATTGACACATCCGGCTCACCACACGCGACAGTTTCGTCATTCCTACTTTCGCCGGGGCATCGGTATTGTCCTGAGAAAGTGTCACAAAATAGTTAACAGTTGCATACAACAATCACTAGAATCACGATGTGAACAATCATGAAAATTGCATGAGAATTTCACTGCAGTTTCTTGAAGAATCCTATTAAAAATTGAAGATAATTGGAATCAATTCTTCGGTGAATTAGAATAGAAATGAGAAAAGTGCGAAAATGTCAGGTAAAAATCTGCATGCGTAAAATTTTTTTAAATCATAAAGACTGATAATTTAAAGAATCTATCGTTATGGCTGATGTTCGACTGTGGTTCAGTGGAAAGAATAAATATTGGGCATGGAATGGTAGAGGTACCGTTACTTCTGCCGTTACCGCCTCAAGAGCCAAACCGGGTGTACACGTTAATACATAAGACACTCATGTGTTGTATGTGCAACCGTGGACACTTGATCCAAGTGAGAGAGGTATATCAAAGGATGGGTCTTACTAAGGTCACGAGTAAAGTTAAGGAAATCCCATGAATTCCATTTGGCCAGAGTTAATATACGTTATCCACCCAGATTCTGTAATAATTGAAGATAAAATGAAGGTCATGGCACAGAGAACCCTTCGGCAATCTGCAATCCTGTTATGTCGGAAAAGTATGGTAACTTCAATGGGGCCTCTTCGTGCACCTCTCTGTACCCCCTACCCTCTTGCCCCCTAGTGCCCCCCTCTTGCCCTCTTTACCCCCTCACTCAACTCACCTACATTCTCACGCCACGTACTCACCAATCTGTCTCATCACTCTTCACTTGTCCCATTATCATTTTTTTTTTTACTTCCCAATCTAGTCAATATTTATTCCTCAAATCTCATTCCCTTTTTGCGCAAAAACTACTTGAAGATATATTTTTATTTTTCATTCAGAAAATTACATTTGACTACTTCATTATTTGACTTATTATCAAACACATCGTAAATTTTCTTTACTCTCTCCCTGCGATTTGCTGTTTAGCAAGAGAATATATGAGTGTCCATAAAGAAATGCTTTCTTCCTTGATACTTTTGTCTCGCTCGTACGCATTCCCTTTTTTCAAGTCATGAGTACAATTATTCATGTAATAACAAAAAACTGAATTCCTCTCGTATCCCAGGGCTCCGTTACCTCCACCTATCGTTTGTAGTTTTCTCTGCGACATAACATATTTTAGTTTCCTAAAAACCGTTAACTCACTGCATTATTCACAAATTCACCTCTGGCTTATTTTTTCTCTCCACACAGACCATCTTCGAGTTTAATTCGTGCTTTGTATAAATTACTGGGTGTGGATTACACATGAGTGGTTAACAGGAAGTATTTAACTCCTGTAATGAAATTATCAACGTTTCATTTAAATTCCTCTTCCTCGTTGCAGCGATAGGTCAAAATACTGAGAATTTGTTTAAACAATAAAATAATAAATGATCCTACCCTATTCTATTAAACCTATTCTTCGATTTCTGTTGGTTGCAAAAAATCAATTTGAAATGAAATTCAATTCCTGACAGATCATTGAGAATAAAAATCTACTTGAAGTTCAATGATAAAAAAAAATCGCATGACTAAAACATAAGGATAAACGATGGAGTCACGCCCAAGGGGCAATGCTCTCTCCACATACCAAGAAACATGGATCAAGGTTTTTGATCTCAGTAGAAAAGAAGAGTCTAGCGTAATTTCCAAACATTTCTCCCCATCCCATCAGCTCGATCATGAGGAATGACATCCACGAGATCGTGGTACCGTTGACATACCGATCACTCCTCTGCTCCTTGGCAGTCTTCCCATATAAGCAAACACTAGTCTATAAAATCTAAAATAATAAAGAAAAAAAAAACGTTTTATTTCAGGTGTGACGGGCATTCAGAACGAGCCAACGTCCTCCAGAGTCTCTAGAGAGGATGTGGTGCTCAGTGCAAGTTCATTTGCACCAGAAAAAACCACGTCGCCTTTTCGCGAGGGTAATGACGATTCGAGAGATTTCGTTAGCACACAACACGTGATTCAGAGCTCAAGAGGTTTTGAAAGATCAACCTCTCAGGTGAGATTCGAGGACTCGAGCCATGAGAGCCCTTTGGACGCCGAAATCACTGCTTCCAAACACATAGAGCATATTGACGAGAACAACATAGAGGTGAAACCGCCAGAATATCATGAGTAAGTGAAATTATCTCATTTCCACAATGAGGGAAACATCATAATAAACATTTGATTTGCCTTTAAAAAATTCTTTCATTCATTGAAAAATTGTCACGCGTCCAAATGGATGTGTTCTCTGATTTAATTAAATTAATTATCTGCGCAGAAAAGTATCGGCGACGGGGACGAGGCTCTCGGGGGAAGCCCAGGGGGCTCCGCGAGCACGAGATATCGTGGCGGAGCCCCATCAGCAACTCGAATCATTGCCACACCGACAGGGACGTCAAGAATTGCCGATGATTTATAATGATCGGACACTTCAACCGAGCATGCAAACCGAGATACCCAGCAATCGACAAGCCAATCCGGATATCCAGGATATTATAACTGGTATCGTTAAATTGCTCAATGGAAATGTCAACGTTGCTGTCAATACTCTCAGGCCGCACAAGCCAGTGCAAGCAACTAGGTAAAAATCAATTTTTCGCTCTTCCATTTTCCGTCATCAGCCAAAATGACTAAATTTTTATTTCTCAATTTTTATTATAAATCGTGATAAATCGTCGATCGGATTGACGAAATTGAACGTGAAATAGATCTCTTCTCGTTTTTTTCAACGTAAAAATATTTGATTTCCATTAAATTTCAGAATAAACAATCGAGGTCCACCTCGAATCTCTGATCTTCCACCCCTTCCTCCGGACTTTGACACACCGGGTATGAATCCACCCCCGCTCCCTCCACAGGAACACCCATACCCATTTGAAACCCCTCCACCAGAGCGTCCATCAATCAATCAGCTCCCCCCAACCCCCGATCGATCCCCCGCACGTCCCCCAAACCTGCGTCCATGGAATCGTCCCAACCGACGTCCCATACCGCCGTATAAACCTCTTCCTCCTCAAGAATCCAACTTTTTCTTCGACAAAGACGACAAGATCCACCGTAATAACGCAACAACTCAATCAATCCACGAAAATCCGACAGAACCCACTGAAAATCCGACGGAAAAACCCCAGAGGTTCCAACCCCCATTGAAACCAGAGAGAATTGATCCTGCAAGTACTCTAGTGCTTGGAGCGGAACTCCAGCCGATTCCCATTCCCTCACAATCAGAACCAAACAACAGCAGCTCCATCTTTCCCTCGGAGACGACCAGGAAAAAGATGAGAGACTCATCCAGCAATCCGAGTACAAGCGCTACCATTTCAACTCTGAAGATCGAAACGAGTTCCTCAATTCAAGTGATTGAACCGACGAGAACAATAATTGAGATTCAGCCATCGATAGTTCCTCTGGAGAGCAACACCGAGGCTTCCAGCAGCATCAAGCCCACCCTGGAGCCAAGTAAGAGCATTCAGGAGAGTTTTGCAAGTTCCACTGATTATGAAACTCATAAATCGACCCCGACAAAGGGTCTGGTGAATACGATGAGCTCCAAGTCATCTGGTATTGTGGAAGCCTCTTCCTCTGTGTCACCTAGTTTCTACAAACCCTCGATGAACGCCAACACCCATGCCTATCACCCTAGACCAGGAATCGTCCTCGACGATACTCTTGATTACACGAAGAAACAGACTTTCGCGACACAGCGGCCGCATTTGCCACCGAGACATCATCAGATTGGAGATATCTTCGACGTGACGGTTTCAGTAATTCAAGGACCTGGAGGCAGCTCTGGGGAGGGTGTGAGAATTCCAGTGAATCCTCATGGAGGAAGTGGAGAAGATGTCATCCTAACTTCTGCTGTTGAAGGTCAAGGATTTGTCAGCATCGACGGCAAACGGACTCATCTGAATCTCTTCGACAATACCCCAGAAACAATATCCCCTACAAAAGCTGTTTTTCCTCCAGCAAGAACACAACCACCGGTTTTTGGCACAGGCTATGCAGTACCCCAACCGGATATTCCAGTACCAGGACATACCTATCGTGGTACCACAGGTCGTCCTGTATTCAGGAAAACCACAACGGACATCGTGAGAATCGATACATGCATTGTCGGCGATTCCAGCACTTGCGATTCCAGTCAACACGAGGCGTGTGCCACTGTCCAAGGCGTATCCGCCTGTCAATGCAAGCCGGGATTCGCTAGAATAATCAGGACTCTGCCCTGTAAGAGAGTAATTAGTATTGTTGTCTCTATCAGAGTCGACAGAATCTACGATAAGGAAGTCGTTTGGAGCAACAGCTTGTTGGACAAGAACTCCGAGTCATACCAAGAGATCGCTTACGAATCGAATGTAGCGATCGAGTCAGCGATGTCAATGACTCCGTACACGGACGAGTACATGGGCTCATCCATCAATGGAATTTATCAAGGTGATGTTTCACAAGGACAGGGGGGAGTATTCGTCAATGCTACCATCAAATTGACTTATGAAGCGAGAACAGCGAGGAATTCACTATCTGCTGATCTGCAGAAACAACTGCTGGGGGTAATTCACAGGCGGAATAATAATATTGGAAAAAGTGCAGTGTTTGTTAAAACTCCTGCTGGTTCCATCTCTAATCTTCAGGACTTGGATGAATGTGCGTCAACTGAGCTCAATGATTGCCACTCTTCAGCGGTTTGTAACAATGTCTGGGGTGGATTTGTTTGTGCTTGCAAAGCCGGCTTGAAGGATCCCCACTCTGAAGATCCAGATAAAGCTGGAAGGGTCTGCCTGTCCTGTCCCGCTTCCCACTGCAATAACCGGGGATCGTGCTCTTATCAGGGAAATGTGGAACATTGCACATGTGCTGGGAATTATTACGGCGTTAAATGCGAGATTGATGGTGAAGTTGTTGCAGTGGCAATTGGCGCATCAGTTGCTGCACTGATAATAATAATTCTGACCCTCGTGTGTTTGGTTATGTGGAGTCGAAGATGGTCCAGGGAACAGAAGGCCATGGGTTCACCGGTCTATGGGTACATGCAAGGGGGAATGCCAGGAACAATGCCAAATACATTAGCTCGTGTCGGTTCAATGGGTACTTTAGCTTCAGTTAAGCAAGGACCACCCTCTAATATGCCGCCTTATATGTGGGGTCATCTAGCTGATCATATGGCAACGGCTAATTTATATGGAGGTGAGCCAATGGGACCGACAAGGCCCAGCTCAGCAGTATTCGGTTATCCGACGATGAGTGTACATGGTACTCTTCCTCCAGTTCCTCTTCCTAGGCTCCAGGCACCTCCACGCACTCGTCAGAGGCACCTCCCAGAGCCAGACAGCTCGGATTCTGAACCCCAGGACAAGGACAGAGCCGACCTCATACCCCAGAGCAGTGGATTCCATGTGCCCAGACCAAAGTCGAGGTCCTCATTGGCGAATCAGAGCGGAATTTATTACGACGTTGAATACGACCAGGGCGACGCACACCATCTTTCCAAAAATAATATACCCATGTCCACGTACAGTATGGCGAGACCGTATTACAGGACGTGAGACGGTAAATGTGAATTGTAGTCGGTACCAGGTATCACATAGTCCAATTTGAAGAATTTTTTTTTGGTACGAAGACTTCATAATTTCACCTGGGTAATTCCGTTAATTCAATTAGCGAACCAAAAACAAGTACTTCTTGTTCTGTGTCATTGGTACACACTTCACCTAGCTCAATACTACTATTTAAAATAAATAAAAGACTATGTAGTATGATTGATATTGAGAAAGCCCATTAAATTATACAAACAATAGAAATTAAGAAGGAATGAATGTGATTAAGCTTTATGCAATTCGTAGATATTATGAATCGGCACTCACGATGGATTGATTCATCAACTATTCAGTTGATTCATTTACTTATTACTATTAATTTGTAATTATGTTAAAAACATGAATAATATTGATACGATTTTTTTTACGTCGGTTAGGGTTTAGTCCTGTTCTGATCAATTGACAATCTGTTTCTGTATAAAGTCAAGGATAAATCAGACGAAATGATAATAATTAATTGACATATTTGATGGTTTGTTTTTTTTAATAGTTATTACATAATTTCCTTCGCAAGTTGAGTACAATAAACATCTGAAGAATCAACGCAATTGTTCACACATCTGTTTCACATTATACCAGTTAGGTTTAATTATCAATTTGCATCGGCTTTTTTAGAGATTAAACTGGCATCGGGTTTTTGCAGAGTAATTAGGATTCAATGAAAAAGATTACATCGTCGAAAATCGACAAATATAAAATTTATTCACTAATTTTAGATATCATTTTTTAAAATCAGCTTTGCGATTCAATTCTCGTCATATACGATCTGAAATCCCTGCATTCAGATTCATCAGGAGTTGAAGTTTAATTAATTTTATCATTAATTCTCTCTTTGTCACTCAGTTCGTGAGGCAATCGGACTGAATGAAAACAAATATCGTTCGTCACTCGGTCGAAAAGAATTTTTCTGACAATTCTGTTTACTTTCTTTTCCTTCGCCGAACTGTGAACTCAATCGCCAGAGAAGTTTCTGACGGCCTAGTGACTATTACGTTCAATACTTTAGACGGATGAGCATGCGTAAGTATTAAAAACAATTTTAATCCTCTTATTGTTATTCCACGGTGGGAATTTTAGTGTTAATTTCATTGAGGTCGGACACTGCAATTTTTAGTAGTTGGGTCTAAAAAAAAAATCCAGGAATGTCAAGAGGCATTTTGCGCAGGAAATTTTCATCCGCGAGGAGCGAAATTTCGAATGATTTGATTTTCACAGTTTTTTAATGTTCTTCGTTACCAATAATTCAATAATTTTATAAGGACGTTTTACTCCATAGCCGGACTAAAAAATAACATACACTATGCGCCTCTCATTAGTCTAGGTAATATATTTTTATATAAAAGTTACACTGGTAATTTCAAAAAAGTTCTTTATGAAGAGGTTTTAATTAGTGATAAATATCGGAAAAGTGGGAGAAGCTTGAATTTGGTTCTTTTATGCTCGTTCGTTGATGAAAAACAAACAAAATAATCTCAAATTTCACTTTCTGTCACCTCTAAAATTCATTTTTACTCATCAGTTAGTCGCGAATAAATAGACGTTAATTTCGTTGTCAGGGACTCCGAGATAATTATAGAAACATTCGTTGACTGGTAATTAGTTAGTTCGATGTTGAATTTGGTCGTCTTACCATGAATAATTCAATAGTAAAATGTTTAAACGGTTTGGCTCAAACGTGCAGCTCTCATTGGTTATGCATTAATCTCCATAAAAAGTGGATTTATGAGAGAATACCAGGGCATTTTCTTCAGAAATAAAAAAAAATTGCCCACCTAAACTTTTCTACTGGCATTTCCTCTCAGGATCACCTCTCTATCGACATTATTCATCGCCTACCAACGAAAATCACTCAATCCAGACGGTTTAACAAATTCTCTTTTCAATTTCAATAAATTAATCATCAATGAACGAGCCAAATAAATGGCTGAGAGACCCAGTGGGTAAATACACCGAGAGATATCCCGCCAATAAACAGTAGAATTCCGTTATAGTCGCACCTCAATTTAGTTTTTCATCCGATGAGGAATTGATTTCCGGGCAAAATAATGCCGAAATAGTATTTCTCTCGTCTTCGAATTTTTGATGACAACATTCAGTTTATAACGGGAGTCTAGTGTACTGATAAAAATACAAGTAGTAGTTAGATAAGAAAAAAGAGATTAAGAGCTATTTTAAAAGTAGAAAGTGTAAAGTATCACAAGAATTACAATAATTGTAATATAATCACATTATCTCTGTGGAGAATTTAAAAATTGTTTCATTTATTAATCATTATTTATCCAATCAATTATCAAGCAGTTTATCATTTAATTAATTCATTATCATTTTAAGTATTTTAAATATTTTTCAAATCGCACAATCAACAGTAAGCGCATAAATATCAATGCGAGTTATATTTTCAGATAAAATCTTGGTATTGTAAATTGGTTTTATTTTCCCTCTGCGATTAACATCAGTCTTTGATATACGACAATTGTTAAAAAAATTATGTATAAAACAAAGATAGAAAAGAGGAGAAAATGCTGACAGAGGGTTTTTTTTTTTTTTCAAGTTTTCTGTAACCAGTGGATAGGAAGTGTTTTATACCAAGGCAAGAACACTTATCGAAGGCGACTCTACTCAAGTCTCATCATTATTTTTTTATTGATTGGTGGGATGTACTCCGCCCTTTCAAAGGGATTGAACGTTATAGAAAAATTATTTCCATTCTCTTGGATTCTTGCAATATCTGAGGATTTTCGTAGAGATATGAGGTTGAAGCGTTTATCGAGAGGGTTTGAATAGTTAGAAAGAGAGTAGATCAATTATTTAATATGAAATTCATATTACGTCCAAAAAATTATTTATTCTTCATCAAATCTGGCTGTATTATCTCCCAAACGTTAGCTTAATCATGTTTTATCGCGCTCTTATGATTTTTGGATATTATCACTAAGTATTTGAGTAAAAGGACTCAATGATTCGATAATAAATATTTTTTTGAACGTATGGAAATGTGCCCGACGCAATACCAATCACTGTACGACCCCTTTAAACTCCTCGACTGAAACGATTGAAAATTCGAGGAGCCCTTAGGCCGTACACAAAGTCGCTCAATTCTCGAAGCGAATTAATTCATAGGGGATGGGATCTCGGTACTTGCACTGGTCTCGTCATTTAATTCGGCGTCGCCTGGGGCTGTGGTGATGGTGATGATGTAGGATTGACATTTGGTCTGTAAAATCTGTTGACTAGCTGTTTGAGACTCAACACACTCCCCAGTCCTTTGCCAGGCTCCATGTTAATAAACATATCCAGATTATCCTTGCATGCTGGAAATGAAAAAGGGGTAATTAGTGAGGGAAATGAAAATTTTTGTTGTGATATTAATAGACAGCTGTGGGAATAAAAACCGTTAGAAAAAGATGAAGAACCGATCTCGCAGATTTATCTCGTTTTACTTCAACACTGAATTAACATCAAAGCTTCATGAAGTGTAAGTAATGAATAATGGATTGTGGGTCAAGGTCTTACTCGGTGTAGATATCGGTGGATAATCAGGTGGTGTTTTGATCCAAGTTCCATCCTCTCGCTTCATGTGTGCTCGATTAGATGCGAAGTGTTGCAAATAAGTAGCCGCTGGTACAAGCCGGAATCTCCTGTGAAATTCTGGGCGAAGTGCCTCGTCGGATCTGAATGTTTCAGTGGCATATTTCCAGAAAAATGTGGGAAACGGGAGGGCACTCTCCAAATCGTAAACCACAGCACGTTCGTCGGGTGCATAGATTAAAATTGCATGATAATCCTGAAGGAGAGAGAGAAAAAAAATTACTCCAAGTGTCCTATTCTGATTTATCTCAAGAACCTGAAGACCTACAGCAATGGGACTACTTTTATTATCGACCCAGGGATATTTACAGATTAACGCATTACTTGAGGCCCTAAAAATCCCTGTAATTCTGTAAATCTGTCTTAATTATCGTGAAAATTGTTTCAAAGGGCGCATAAATGTCAATTAATAGAAGAATAATAACTCTCACCCAAACTATAACTTGATCCTCATCCTTGCCCTCTCTCTGCCTCCACAGTGGGACTCTTCGATCCTCATTACTTATAAAAGCTACATAACAATGCTGCAACTCTGCGGTATGTCTGGTCGCAACGTCCTGGCACAGTTTCCATACATTTTCCTCACTGAAACACATAAACCCATCAATTAAATCTCAAACGACCTTTATAATTAATCACAAACACGCATGTCACTCGTTCTCCACTCCATAAAACATGAACCTTTAACCGACTAGCTTCAACAATACTTTATTGTCCTTAACTTTCCACCTTTACGTCTTTTTATCTCAAAACAAACTCCTGAATAAAAGTGTTGCGTGCAATGATACTAATGTCGTGTGTGCAATCTCCCACGTGAATTATTAATTATCGATAAAGCCTGAATTTTATGTTGTAAAAACTAAACAAAGGAGATAAATAATGAAGATAAAATAAGAATGCCAAAGAGAGCACAAGAAAAATAGTCAACAACTTGAGTTTTTTATTGTAAATAACATAAATAAATTCCACGAATTTCGGTTTTTTCGCAATTTCATAAATCAACACATAGAATCAATTAAAGAATAATGAAAAAGCAGTAAATATGGCGTCGCAATATTAAATCCCCGTAAAGCTATTTCTCCTGCATCGTATCGATCGACGTTGTGATCTGCCGCAGTATAACCATCCGTGCACCTCAACAGGCTCCGAAAAAAAAATCCTAAAAAACTCATAAACATCTCAATCGAATAAAATTGACAGTCATATAATTACCAAAAACAGCTAGTGTAAACACAATCAGCAGCTCTGGTGAATAGTGGCACGAGTGGTTTAGCATTATTGCCAGTTACACGAGGTTCCACAGCCATTCTTTGTTTACAAACTCACACAATGGATCACTGACGGGTGGCAAGTGATAACAAACACCCGAATTCTTATTCAACACTCACATCCAATTTCCCTTTTTATCTCTATCTCAAATCCTCGGTGAATCACGTCTTCTCAATTCATGTCTTCAATTACTTTTTAGAATCGTTGTTTAATGGATTTTCAATGGGAGGTGGTGCGTCTAACCCATGCAAAACATTGTTTTGTTACTGACTGCTGGCACCACTGGCAGTGGCTCTCGTTCCTCTCGTTTTACCCCCTTTGTTGTCTTCTCTTCGTTATCCGATATTCCTTTCTCTGTCTCTCTGACGAACCCGTATGAATTTCTAGGCCAAGTGCTACTGCGCAGGAGCGTCACGTGGTGCTGGTGGGGGGTAAAAAAAGAATTGGAGAGGGGGCAATAAAGTGGATTCCCTAAGCAGAAGCACGTTCTTCAACAATTTTTACTAACTCGAGTGACTAGATCATAACCTCAAAAAATATCTGTCTTAATTCTTTGCTTCTTTTCAGAAAAATTGACAGGGCGACGCAATCAGAACAGAACATCTGAATAACTCCGGAAAAAGTGTTTAGCTTCACATGGACTATCTATCGAACGTGATCTTTTGTTTTCGGTCGATCTTAGCCTGAAATCCTAGCGGCCGCGACGTTGATGACATTCTCATCACATGTCAGATCAGGGGTCTCGTTCGATTATCGAATCGAATGAAAAATGATCGATTATCCCCATGAGATCCGCCATGTTCGATTAGTGGCCCATCTCTTTTATTATATAGGAAAAATATAATTAAAGAGAACCGACGGTAGTGGCCGTGCGGTTAGAGTGCTAGACTAGCATGCCAGAGATCCGGGTTCGATCCCGGGCACCGGCGGTCAAAAATTTATAGCGCTCTGATCTCACGGTTCCACTGCCGAGCGGTAGTCCTGTCAAAAGGACGACTGTACCTGGGCAGGTTTTTTCCCTCAGATGAGGTTTTTCCCTCCCTT